CGTGGGTCATACTGGGTCTGCTGCAGAGGAAGCTGTAGATTATGACTCTATATTAAACTGACTACCCAGGTCAAAGGAGCACAATGAGAGAGAGAGAAATTTTATGGGTGCAAGTTGGAGGGAAGACTTTACGTTTTCAAAAGTCCTTTTTAAAATGCATGGATTTGTTATACTTTTTAAAAGTTGAAAATCCAGCGTGCACAAATTTCGAGCAATGCTTTTTTTCATGGATACTGAAGCAGGCATAATAGAACTTTAGACAAACAAAATTAAAACACCATATATATCAGGTGTTGAGCTGTGAAACACTACTGGGAAACAAGAGGGATATAGGCATGATCTGGAGCAGGGATGCCAACTTGAATAAAATATTGTGGGGGCCCAGGTAAGCCCTGTCTTGCATAATCAACCACATGACGCAGTGCACACACACCTTTTGAATGGGAATGGTCATCAACTTGGGGGGGTGGTCCCCTCAAATATTTTATTGTGGGGGCCGAAGCCCACACGGTCCCTTGGGAGTTGGCTCCTACGCTCTGGAGAACCCCAAAGTTTGCACAAGTAGGAAAAAAATACTTTGACAAAAGGACCCAATTGGCCTAAAGACTGCTCAGTGACCACAGAATTCTTGAGTGTTTGTTGGGGAATGGGGGGGATGGAATGGAGTATTCTGAAGAAGCTCTGGTGGCTGGCTGGCATCCTGAACAGGAGCACTTCACACTGCACCATTTTATTACAGGCCCCACTTGTATTTATATATTATTTAATAGCTACTCACAAACCATCATAAGAATCAGAAGTCAGTAGTGTACCCACCAGTACATCCTATGGCACCTGCAAAAAAACTCAATATGTATCGCCTCAGAAATTGACGGTGCACTAAAGACCTGCTCTTCCTGCTCATTTCCTGTCAGCCCTGGTTCCACTTCTCCTACATTGAACAACATGCCCACATTTAACTGGATGCCAAGATTACACACCTGCCATCCCAGCTATTCTGAACAGAGGGGAGATGGAAATAAACTTCTCTCTGAGAGTGCTGCAGTGGCTGATGAAGGGAGACAAGGGGAAATAATTGAGGGTTTTAGCAGGAAAGGACATCTAGAGGCCAGGTCTACTTGCCAATAGACAACAGCTTTGCCCACTGAGGAACCATGGTTGAAGAAACCTGGAATACAAGTTTCTTAGAGGCTAGGTCTACCTAGGCCTTGCCACTGCTCTGTCACCAGGTGACCCAGAAATTGTAGACTTGCTATGCCTTGTATGTTTATTTATTTGGAATATTTACCATATTTTTTGCTCTATAAGACTCACTTTTTCCCTCCTAAAAAATAAGGGGAAATGTGTGTGCATCTTATGGAGTGAATGCAGGCTGCGCAGCTATCCCAGAAGCCAGAACAGCAAGAGGGATTGCTGCTTTCACTGCACAGCGATCCCTCTTGCTGTTCTGGCTTCTGAGATTCAGAATATTTTTTTTCTTGTTTTCCTCCTCCAAAAACTAGGTGCGTCTTGTGGTCTGGTGCGTCTTATAGAGGGTGCAGCCCTCTGGGGAAAAAAGCTCCTGTGGACTCCCATGCTTCTTCCTACCTGTACATATATGCAGAGCTTTTTTTCAGCTAGAACTCCATTCCAGCAACTCTCAGGTGCCATTGCCATTATAAGAGAACAGGGGAGGCGTTCATGGTGAGTTCCGGCACCTCTTTTTCTAGAAAAGTAGAACTGCATATGTATGTTGAATTTAAGAGGAAGGGTATTGGATCGTGCCTTGCCAGATATTCTCAAAGGATGGAATGCAGTTAGGAACACGGTGTGCAGAAATCCCTGAGGATATGATGTAACAACAGCTACGCCTATCCATTAAAGTATATGGAGCATAATAAAGTCTTTAATTTATTATTCCCAGAACAGGTATATTAGATCAGGCTCAGGCACTTGAAACGTTCTTTATTTCTAACCCGATTACCTCAGGGCTCTAGAAAGGTGATGCTGCCTATATAGGGAGCTTTTCAAGTATGTGGCAAAGTACCAAACATTCAAATGACCTGCCGTTTTATTTGTAGGCCCTTTCCAAGCTGTGACCCAAACAAATTGACATCTATGCCTGGATTAAGGTATCCAAATTCAGAGTCAGCTGGTCAGGAATTAGCAAATACTGTTCTTGCCACCAGCATCCCTATATAATTAAAGAGAAAAATAGAAGTGCTTTATCTGTGAAATACTCCTCTGTGTTCATCATGAAGCTCCAAAGTTCACTTTATACGACAACCTAAAATGAGAACTCTCAGCTGAGTTTTTATCCCAGTTTCCTGCTCTCTTTTCTTTTTCCTTGAGTTCTGGTACTACGACTATAATGAGCTATAATGAGAGTGTTCTCATTTATTAGGGCTGTGTACCAGATTTAACTGAGGCTCCTTGCTGCTTTGGGAGGTGTAGATATGCAAGATGAACCAAATTTATCCCCCTTCCTTCAGTTGCATGCTTGCTTTTTAATACCCCAATCAGTAATTTCAACAATCTTTCCAAATGCTGGTGGAATCCATTTCCCATCAGTCACAGCCAGCATGGGCAATGATCAGGGATGAAGGGAGCTGTAGTCAAACATTATATGGAGGGTCACAGGTTTCTCATCCCTGCTTTGTAGAATAATTAAGGAAAGGCACATTCCTTAATTCCCCCCCCCCCCTGCTTCTGTAATCTTCATAGAACTCTAGCTCAATGGTTGCCATTAATTTGATTCTGAATTGATTCTAGAATGTATTCTAATTAATTGACTGTGTGATTTTATGTACACTGCTATTTTTACTTGTTGTTAGCCACTTCGAGCCCAGCTTTGGCCGGGGAGGGCGGGATATAAATAATTATTATTATTATTATTATTATTATTATTATTCCAGAAAAGGTTTAAAGTGCACACATACACAAAAGAATCATGGGAGCTGTAGATTGTTAAGGTTGCTGAGAATGGTAGCTCTGTAAGAGGTAAATGATAGTTACTGGGATTGCTGCAGGGAATGTGTTTTAAAAGTAAGGTATGCATATAGCCCATGGCACATTCCAAAATGAGGCAACCATCTCAGGCAGTAGATCCCAATGTAGACCATAGAATCATAAAATTGTAGAGTTGGAAGGGACCCCAAGAGTCATCTAGTCCAACCCCCTGCAATGCAGGAATCTCAACTAAAGCATCCATGGCAGATGGCCATCCAACCTCTGCTTAAAGACTTCCAAGAAATGAGAGTCCACCACTTCCCAAAGGAGTCTGTTCCACAGCTCTTACTGCTCCAGAGCATTTTGGAAAATCACCGCAATCACTATACTCCACAATGGTCTTGTTTACAATCGTCTATTGGAATGAGTCCCCGGAAGTTCCAGAGTCATTGTAGAATGCTGCTGTTTCAAGGTGGAGGGAACCTCAGAGAATTCCATGTTTTCCAAACCTCTTTGCCACATTACCAAAGAAAGTTACGCAATGATGACTTCACTGTTAAGGGAGCAGTGGTGAGTTCAGAGGACTACAAAAAGAACAGCAACATACTGCATCATTTCAGATGAAAACAAAAACTATTGAGACTCATGCTTGTCTTTGAGTGACTTGATTCGTGTGTGTGCTTTAGGGGTACTCTCATTTTGACTCAAGAAAATCACTATTTTATAGTTCAAATCAGGGAAAATAAATACAGTAAATGGACAAAAGTACAAAGATTCACAAAATGTTTAGGGATATGTGCACCTCCTGCAGCCCCCCAGAAAAAAGCACTGTGTGTGTAATATAATATTCCAGGTTCTCTCCTCTCACAGACTATTTTTAGGTCCAAATACTTCTTTAAAATATATTTCTTTGTATTTTCAGATGGCCATACATACCCTGTTTCCCCGAAAGTAAGACATCCCTCGAAAATAAGACCTACTTCCAGTTTTGCCTCTCGCTGTAATAGAAGGCATCCCACCAAAATAAGACCTCCCCAATAATAAAGTCTCCCTCGAACATAAGGCCTCCCCGAAATATAAGGCCCCCAAAGCTACCGTAAGGCACCTTCTGACTCCTCTGGACCATAGCAGCGGGCGCCGCCGCACAGCTCACTGATTGGCCGCAGCGCAGATGGAGCTGTTCAGGCAGTGTGAAGTCTCTTTAAAGGAGAGAGCCCACGCCGCCGCCAGGACCAGTTGCCACCTGCTGCTCACTCTGCCCTGACAGAGTCTGGCTGACTCACAATTAGACAATAAATGTGTACTGTATTCTTCTTCATGGAAAAATAAGACACCCCCTGAAAATAAGACCTAGCGCATCTTTGGGAGCAAAAAATAATATAAGACACTGTCTTATTTTCGGGAAAACAGGGTATCACAGCCTGCAGAAAGAGACACAGTAGAAACTTTACATGCAAAAGATCTCAGTTTCAATCTCCAGTATCCCCAAGTAGGGCTGAAAAAGACTTTTGACTGAAACCCTAGAGACCAGCTGCCAGTCGGTGTAAACAATATTGAGCTAGATGGAGTAACTGCCTGACTTGATATAAGCTGACTGCCTATGCTCTAGCCCTCTAATTTATTTCCCTTCCTCCTCTCTACTTAGGAATGATTTCTTTGGACAGTTTTTGTCCAAGGCTGACAGAACTGCTTTGAAGTGACAGCTAAATACCTCAGCTTGGCATGGTGAAGTGAGCTGAGTGGGGAGGTAAAGTCTCTGCCGTATAACTGGTCACAACACAAATAATCAAACAAATAAAGAAGTTAGCAGCAGCTTTGCCAGAACTTCAACACCCACCTCAAAACAGCCGTGCGAGGCCTAGTGGCAATAGCTACTTCTGAGGTGTTAACATCACCATGAGGTGGCTTCTGCTCCTCAGTTTCATGTGACTAGAGTGCTCCTGGAATACTGTCCCTTTGGTCTTACACTGCAAAGCTACCACTTTCAAATGCAAACTTTTCAAGTGAGCTACCTAGTTCACAGAACTTATTTTCAGGACTTACAATCATTGAATTGTAGAGTTAGGAGAGATCCCAAAGGTTATCCAGTCCAACCCCCTGCAATGCAGGGATCTCATCCCCCATCCAGTTTGAAACCATACCAGACCCTGCTTAGCTTTCCAAATGTGTTAGCAGTTTTATTGACTTGGTGTTTGTTTTTTCATTATGCCATGTGAATGTAGTATTACACAAAATATCCAACATCCCCTCACATCACACATGAATTGCATGCTGGAGCATCACAAGATGAACAGGAATGGAGCTGCTGGTTCCACCACTAGGATTGTGATGGTGCTGTACCTGAAAGATAAAAATAAGAATAGTCTGTGGCAATTAGACCTTATCAGAAGTAGGTATGAGAATCTGGTCCCAATAGTACAATGAGTCAACTGCCATCTGACACCACGTATTCTACCCAACTGGCATCAGATTATAAAGGTTTCAATAGTTCCTTGCCAAAGGGGGCCATCTTGGGCCAAGTTCTCACCAAGGTGATAAACTGGTACCATTTCAAACTTCAGGCTGGAGAGCGCGCATGTCACGGTCCGGGTTACGGCAGTCGGAGTCCCGGCTTGGTATGTCAGGACCGGGGTAGAGGTCGGGAAGCAGGAATCAGCAGTCCAGGGGTCAGGAAGCTAAGGGTCCAAGAGTCAGGATATCCGGCGTCAGAAAGCTGAAACACAAGTAGGTGGGTAGCGTGTTGCCGTGGCGAAGAGCCAGAGGGAAATGCTGGTCTTATATACCCCTCCCGGCCCTTGCCACAGGTGCTACAAGTCTTCTGTCAAGCCTCACCTGTGCGGCCATGCCTTGCCCTTCCAGGCCAAGCTCAGGAAGGCCCCAGTCCTGCGAGGCCCTACCAGTCACAGGGTCCGGCTCCTGCACACACTCCTGACAGCGCATGTCTGAAATGTTCTCCATACCAAAACCAAAAACATGCACATGGAGAACTGGCTAGGCACTTCTTCTTACTGCTTCATTTGCTATAATTTTTTCTTTGAAGACACATCTGGTCACATGAGGCCTCTCCTGCCATCTGCAAAGTATGGGTTTACCACCACAGAGGGAACTAGGCCTCAGGCATAACACACAAATTATGAGAGCTCATGGGGTGTGAATCCTGTCGATGGCAGATTTCAAGACATATAATATTATATATTAAATCACTTGCTTTATGTGGTAAGTCAGGCCCACTGCATTTGGAAGCCCTCCTGCTCATTCTGCTGCCCTGGTGCCACCACCAAGATCACGGTAACTTATTGGACAGAATTTAACATTACTCAGCTCTCTAATACTTGAAGCAGCAGTTGGGTGAAACCAACAGTTGGTTCAGCTCCGGGCTTTTAATTCTTTTCCCTCACTGCATTCTTGTGATGATCCTAGATCCTTTGGCTCCCAGCTAGTTCTGTCACACAGAACTTGGCTACAAGTCTGGCTGAGCAAGGCTCCACCCCTAGGACCTGTGGTTTGACGTGAGTGCTGGGAACTGTAGCTCTGTGAGGGGTAAATCACAGTTCCCAGTGTTCTTTGAGGGTAGCCATGTGCTGTAAATGTATGGGGTGGATGTGCACCTGGTGCAGTAGGAACACAAACAGGAAACACCCAGGCCATCAATCGCAGATCACTATGTAATCCAAAAGGGGAAAAAACATGCCCAATTGCATTGGCAAACCCCCTATGGTATAACATGTTGCCCACTGAAGTTCATCTCTGTCACCCTTGCCCCTCCTTTGACACATATTTATTACATAAATAAAGTGCTTTGCTTTATACAGATAAAAATTACAACTGTACACAGATTTTTAAAAATAATAACTTGTAAGTTTCTATGAGACAAAAGTTGAGGAAATTAAGATTTAGAAAAATACGGGATTTAATTCTACTGCAAAATATATTATATACACTTTCCATAGTGGAATATTACTATAAACTCTTCATAGTTAGTTATTATATTCAAAAATAACATAAATAATGGCAAGCACTGTATCATTGTCTGCAACTTCTTTTTCTGATCTCTCTTGAAGTGGCAAACAGTAGATTGTCCCAGAGATGGTACTGTGTCTCCTTCATGGGAGTTTCGTATCTAGGAGGTCCTGGAGGATTCTGATCACGTTTTGTGGTTGGCTGGAGGCACACTCCTCAAGCTTGGGTCCCATTTGCTTGTGCAGGCTCTTAGCAAGTTTGGAGACCACTGCTCTGACGTTTCCACTCTTTCCAGGTAGCACACCATTGCCAATCATGTTGCTCAGGAAATACCAGAGAATGGGAAGGACGTGACGCTCCACAGCCTGGGGTTTCCGTGGATAAGCAAAAGCCACAAGAACTGCAATGCAGAAGAAAGATAACGAGTTGCTCACTTCTTTGAACATAGTCACACAATCAGGATGCAAAAGTTTGTTAAGAAGAAGAATCTGTGTCTCATGCAAAGGAATCCATCACACATGTCCCAAATTGGTTCTGGGTTTTGGAGGGCCCTTGGGCAAGATACCCTCCATGAGCCACCTCTTTCAGTGGGGGTCCAGGGGGCTTTTGTTAGTGGGACCCCTTGGGCCAATGCTCAATCATGCTGACGTTTGATGCTGGCTCTGCAGATACCCACTGAAAACTGTCCTAAACATACACAGAGCCTCAGTCCCAGTGTTGTTTTAGTTATCCAAGAAGCATAGCCATCTTGTGCAAGGAATTAGGGCAGGGGTGAACCTTTTGTCAGAACTATTTTTGGCCATTTGAGAGGGGTGGTGGTAAATAAAAGATGTCCCACCAGAGGGCAGGGGTAGGAAAACTTAGAATAATTTTTCAGAAGTGAAGGTCAGGGGGTTGCACCTTCTGATAGCACCAGGCTGTCTACATGCAGGTTTCTACCCCAGCAACACTTCCTGGGACACTCAGGAGACCCCAGAATATTTCATAGGCCCATGGGCATTCCTTACTGACCTGTGTGCATGGAGAATTGTGCTACTCTTATTATGCTTTTTCCACCTCTCACAATTAATAAGGTAAGCATAAACACATACATCCTACACCCCAATACCTGATAACTCTTCAATTTTTCCACTACCGTTCATTTTTACTGTATAAAAAATGCATTTGGCTATAGTCTCTGGAAGCAGAGTACAGAAAATGATAGATAGAATAGATGACTTTTCTCATTAGGTAAATGTTACTAAATGGAAGAGCTCCTGGTCTTAAGTGACCATCATTCTTAGAAACCAGAGACTTTGATGCTACATTTCCTCAGGAAATATATAGCTCTAGAACGCTGTTGGGTTTTAGTGACCTATGCCATGATAGATGGCTTGGTTATTTATTTCGTGTATTGAGCTGTCTAAAATGGCCATATCAAATTCCCAGACTGCAACTCTTAACGGGTACATGATGGGTCAAACTCCTGTGACACCAATGACCTTTGGGTGATATCTGATGAGGAAGCGACAAGCGCTCTATGAGTCCTGCCATGTGGTCAGGGGCTCACAAAGAATGATTTAACAAGTTTTGGAGTCAAAGGTTGATTGGAAAAATCAAAATGTCTGATGGAAAATTTACTGAAACCTTTGATATTAGGAGAGCTGCTTTCATGTCTGGGCGCTTGAGTCTGTTCTGTGGGGTCACGATACAAAAAGTCTGATCTCAGGTCTAGTATCAGAAATTCATTGGGAATGTGGTCACAATTTCTGCTGCTGTGGCAAGTGGCTTTGTAGTTTACATTTAAAAGGCACAGGTGTGCTTTCTGAAATGATTATTCTCTCATGTGTGTGCATAAAAGTGACTCAGTTTGAATGTAAGAAACTAATAAACAATGGTTTGTTTGACTGAGGATGAAGGTACCCACTGAGCCTCTTGCGCTTGTAGATCAGAAGGTCAGTGGTTCAAATCCGTGCAACAGAGTGAACTCCCTTTGCTCTCTCCCAGCTCCTGCCAACCTAGCAGTTTGAAAGCATGCCAGTACAAGTAGATAAATAGGTATCACTGTGGCAGGAAGGTAAAAGGCATTTCCATGCGCTCTGGCACTCGTCACGCTGTCCTGTTGCACCAGAAGCAGTTTAGTCATGCTGGCCACATGACCCAGAAAGCTGTCTGTGGACAAACACTGGCTCCCTCGACCTGAAGCAAGATGAGTCCTGCACCCCATAGTCACCTCTGACTGGACTTAACTGTCCATGGGTCCTTTACCTTTGCCTTTTACCTCTCTCATAACCCACAATAGAAAACTTCCAGTTTGTTAAACCAGTTTCTCATTACAGTTGAACTAGGAAACTGTGGTTTAATGTGGCTTTGCAAACAAATTGTTATTTGATATCCTTGTTGGTAGTTTATGATTAAACCAGTTTTCTGCTTCATATGTAACAGTAAACTGTATAGTGAGATATATATATATACACATACATACATACACTCTAAAGACAAGACAAGAAGCAGCCCTCACTTCCACTTCAAAAAGGTGTAAACGACAATAAAAGAAATTGTGCTGTGAAGAAAGAAGCCCTTTGCCTCCTGCTGTTATACAAGCTATTGGTTTGTTCATTGCCATGTGTACTGCAGTTTAGTGAAGTCATTTGTTACCTGACAGGTGGTCTGTGATCCCCTGCAGAGCTCGACCACTGGTGAAGCGCACCCTGCTGGCAAATGTTTGAAGCAGAAGAAGATTATCTGAAAGGGACAGAAACACATTGTTTGGACATTGTTATAAACCAAGAAAATAAACAACAACAACTTTAATATTTCTCCCCCGCCCCCATCTGACTGGGTTGCCCCAGCTACTCCATGTAGCTTCAAACAAATATAAAAGATTCATCAAACACTGAAATATTCCCTATACAGGGCTGCCTTCAGAAAGAGACAGAAAGTTATCTGTATCTAGAGAAAAGCGGATCTCTCAAATTCTCATTTTTTCAATCTCAAATCCGGTTCTCCACCTTTCCCCCATTTTATTTTTAAAGTCCTCATGAAAATTCACTAGCAGTTTAGTGTGGATTTTTCCTAACACATTTTTGTATGCAGCTTTCCCTAAGATATGCTATTTTCACTTATATGCATTTTTATGTACACTTTACCCTAGTATATGCATAACTGTACACATGACTTGCTTGTAGAACTGCACTGCAAAATCCCGAGATGAGCAGATCTCCCAAACTAGATGTGTTTCAGTTTGTTTTATTGCTTCAGGAATTGTGAATTGGGTAGATTCGCCTTTAAGTGTGAATTGAATCAAATTTCTATCCCATCCCTAGGTGCAGGTAAAGGTAAGCATTGCTTCCCTACAGCACATCCCTTTTCTTTGCCTCTACTGAAAATAGATCTGGTTAAACACCTTTCAATCACATGTTGGTTCTCTTTTCAGAACGACAAAGGGAAAAGGGGGAGTACACATGTATTGTGCTTGGTTTAAAATGAATTTCAAAGGCAGTTTTAAAGGTGAAGTAAAGTCTTTATGGATACTGTACTAATAAGTGAATGATCATCAATAATGAATACTTTGCACATCTCTTCTATTTCTTATATTAGCATTTCAAAGCACTTTTTCATCCCGCTGAAGCCAGCAACTATTCTTTTCATTCATCACTGAAATAACAATGTTGTCTGGCTCCGCGCACACATCATCACCATCAGAAAACAGAGAGTGTCAAACAAAAAATTGATTTTCTGTTTTCTGTTTTCTGTTTTCTGTTTTCTTAGCTTTGCTTTTTTCCAGTTGATTCTTGACTGCTATGAATTGTGAAGGGGCAAATGTTTAAGGGACCTGGGGGGTAAACTCTTTTTGAAAAAAAACAAACCAAAAACTTTCCACATTCTTTTTGTATTTATTTAAAACTCCATCATACTCATCACTGAGCTAAAAGTGGATTGCAAATTAAAATGGACAAGTGGACAACTATATATTCAAGAATTGCATAATAATAATAATAATAATAATAATATCAACACCAAGCAAAAGGAAACACATTATAAAATGTGCTAAAAGCATCACCCTGGCTGTTAAAAGCTAGTCCAAATAGAAATACTTTACACTGCTTCCAAAAGATAACTGTAAAAGTGACTGCCTGGGGGAAGGGAGATTCATAATCTAGAGGCAGCACAATAAATGCATGTCACTATGTATGTCCTTGTTCACTGATTTTGACAGACACATGCAGAAATTAAGATGGCATTCTAGAGAGGATGAGCCAGAACTCAATGGCATTGCACATGATTTGCATGTTTAAGGTCCCAGCTTTAAAATCTGGTGATTCTGATTAAGACGCAGGTAAATACGTTCTGTCTGTTACCTTCACAGCCGATGACGACGGTCAGAAATGAATAAGCCATACCGCTCTAAGTGGACCTCCGTATGAGACAGTATGAGACATCCTTCTATCTTATGTCAGCTGAGTTTCCAGGAACTGCAACTTTTCTGAAGCAGCTGTCTTAAGAACAGCCTACTGGATCACGCAAGTGACTCGTCTAGACCGGCATCCTGTTCTCACATTGGCCAACCATATGCCTATGGGAAGCCCACAAGAAGGACCTGAGCGCAACCACACCCTCCCCTCCTGCGGTTTACAGCAACTGGTATTCAGAAGCTTGCTACCTCCAGTTGTGGAGGCAGAACACATCCATCAAGGTTAGTAGCCACTCATATAGCCTTATTCCTCCATGAATCTGTCTGTTCCTCTTCTAAAGCCAGCCAACTTGGTGGCCATCACTGCCTCATGTGGGAGCGAATTTCACAGTTTAACTATTCACTGTTTGGAAAAGTACTTCCTTTTCTCTGTCCTAAATCTTCCAGCGTTCAGCTTCATTGGCTATCAATATGCTCTGGTGTGTTGTGAGGCAGGGAGAAGAACTTTATCCATTTTCTCCATCTAGGCATAATTTTATAAATTTATGTCACCTCTTACTTTATTTTCTCTAAACAAAAAAGCCCCCAACTCTGCAACCTTTCTACATAGGGAAGTTGATCTACTCTTGATTATTCTGGTTGTCCTTTTCTGAACTTTTCCAATTTCACAATACAGTAGTACCTCGGATTACATATGCTTCAGGTTACATACGCTTCAGGTTACAGACTCCACTAACCCAGAAATATTACCTCGGGTTAAGAACTTTGCTTCAGGATGAGAACAGAAATCGTGCTCTGGCGGCTCGGCAGCAGCAGGAGGCCCCATTAGCTAAAGTGGTGCTTCAGGTTAAGAACAGTTTCAGGTTAAGAACGGACCTCCGGAACGAATTAAGTACTTAACCCGAGGTACCACTGTATCTTTTTTTAAAGTGAGGTGACCAGAATGGTATACAGAATTCCAAATGTGGTTGTACCACAGTTTTGTTTGTTATGATACTAGCAGTTCTTTTTTTCACTTCCTTTCCTAATCATCCCAAACATGGAATTTGCCTTTTTCACAACTGCTGCACACTGGTTCAACCATCAATATCAAGCTATCTGCTACAGTTCCATGGTGAAATTATTATTATTATTATTATTATTATTATTATTATTATTATTTTGCCCTGACATGCATCATTTTACACTTATTTACGCTGAATTGCATTTGCCATTTTATTGCCCTTTCACTTAGTTTGGAGAGGTCCTTTTGTCACTCTTCACAATCTTTTTTTGGCTTTGGGTTTCCAGAACATTTTGGTATCATCAGCAAACATGGCCACCTTCACTGCTCACCACTAGCTCTAGATGTATGATGAACAAATTAAAAAGCACACGTCCCAAAACCAATCCTTGGGAACTCCGTTTTCTAAGTTGCACAGGGAGCCTCCTCAAGTTAAGGAAGGCTCCTCACTACACAAGTCATGATGAACACAGGAAGGGCAGGAGGAACAGTGTGGCTTTGGAGTGCTTGGCCCCCATAGCCACTGTCACCATTTTAACCTTCTCCCCATGAGTAATGTGTGAAGACAACACATGTTGCACTTAAATCCTTTTAATTTCTGTGGAAATTAAGAACATAACGTAAGAATGTAAGAGGAGCCCAAAGGTCTATCTAGTCCAGCATCCTGTTTTAACACTGACCAACCTGATGGCCATGGGATGGCCACAAGCAGATCCTGAGTGCAACAGCACCCTCTCCACTTGTACTGGTATTCAAAAGCATATTGCCTCTGACTGTTGGTTGGAACTGTCTTTGTCTGGACTGGACGCAAAGAATTCAAGAGTCTAGATGACTGCCCATATGCTCCACCGTCTCCAAGAAATCAGAACATGGATCAAATTCATTTCTGACCTCAAACACAGTGGCCATTCTCCTTCACACACGCACAATCTGTCCTTAGAAAATCTGTCCTATAAGAAAATTAGCAAACCGACTAGGAAACATGTATGCTAGCTCCAACTTCAGTCCTGACTCTTGATCACCCTATAGTATGTCTTGCCTACCCACCCAACACTGCATTTCCACTGCCAACATAAATCCACGTGGCCTGGGATTTATAGCAGTCCTTGGTTGTGTAGTTATTGGCAACAGCAATTTCAGCCTACGGAGAACAACGTTTGGAACAAGCCGTCATTTAGACCTGGATTTATGCTTGTTTGTTCTTCAGAAATGAACTCAGCAAACCATAAATTTCCTTTGCAAAAGAAGAGTGCAGCCTGGGAATATTTATGGACTACAGACAGGAGAAGGAGCTAGCTGAGACTCATAACTTAAGGCTTCCCATGGAACCTGCGCAGAAGAAGCTTATTTGTGGGACTATCCCCACTTCAAGAGCAAAATAACTCACTAGGATGTCCAGATAGTTACAAGAACAAAATACTTTGGGGGATGGAGACACATGACTTTTTACCAGGAGAAGTCCATTTGTACAATTACCAAAGGGTATGTGGAAGAATGTGGGAAACTGATAGAAACTAGCTTTATCGTGTGACCAGGTGCTATGATCACCCTAGTACACTATATTTTTCACCAGATGCTGGGGCTTAGTAAACAAATCTCATAATGTGACCTTCCTATGAACAATTGATATCCCTATTCATTCATTCATTCATTCATTCATTCATTCATTTCATGCTCATACTTGAAGTGACAAGTGGTCACTTCACGGCCTAGGACTGTCGTACCTACGGGACCGCCTCTCCTGGTATGCCCCACGGAGGACCTTAAGGTCCATAAATATCAACACCCTAGAGGTCCCGGGTCCTAAGGAAGTTAGATTAGCCTCAACCAGAGCCAGGGCTTTTCAACACTGGCTCCAGCCTAGTGGAACGCTCTGTCTCATGAGACCAGGGCCCTGCAGGATCTGATTTCTTTCCGCAGGGCCTGTAAGACAGAGTTGTTCCACCTGGCCTTTGGCTTGGAGACAATTTGATTCCCTCCCCCTCTTTCTTTTTTCCTTTCTCCTCCTGTAATGAGGCTGCATTTTAATGTTTTAATGTTGTATTTTAATCTTGTTTTTAAGTTGTATTCATTCAACTTGTTTTATTATTGGTTGTTAGCCGCACTGAGCCCAGCTTTGGCTGGGGAGGGCGGGGTATAAATAAAAAATTATTTTTATTTTTATTATTTTTATTATTTTTTATTTTTTTTATTTTTTTATTTTTTTTATTTTTTTAATTTTTATTAATTTATGCCTCTGACGCTAAGTGTTCTCAGCTGTACATTTGTTAGAAATTGGATTTGATACCAAGTTGAGCAAGATGGGACACGGGTGGCGCTGTGGGTAAAACCTCAGCACCTAGGGCTTGCCGATCGCATGGTCGGCGGTTCGAATCCCCGCGGCGGGGTGAGCTCCCGTCTTTCGGTCCTAGCTCCTGCCCACCTAGCAGTTCGAAAGCACCCTAAGTGCAAGTAGATAAATAGGTACCGCTTTATAGCGGGAAGGTAAACGGCGTTTCCGTGTGCTGCGCTGGTGCCGGCTCGCCAGAGCAGCTTCGTCACGCTGGCCACGTGACCCGGAAGTGTCTCCGGACAGCGCTGGCCCCCGGCCTCTTAAGTGAGATGGGCGCACAACCCTAGATTCGGACACGACTGGCCCGTACGGGCAGGGGTACCTTTACCTTTACCTTTTACCTGAGCAAGATGAGCACCACAACCCCAGAGTCGTCCGCAACTGGACCTAATGGCCAGGGGTCCCTTTACCTTTATAACATAAAACTGCTTCATGACAATATTCATAGAAGTCAACTATTTCCATGGATTTCAACATTCTCCACATCCAACATGCTTTGGAAAGGACTTCCAGGATATGGCAACTTACAATCTGAGCACATGCAGAGCATTCACAAGACTGGTTCAACATGCTGAAAGCCACCAGAAATGCCAATCCATGTTTAGCAGGCTAACATGAAGAACTGCTGTGATAGAAAATGCTGCTGAAACCCAAGCTACGTGTCTCAAGTGTTTTCCATTGGTTTGTTCTAACCTTCTAAACCCATCCCACGCTCCCAGCCCATAGTTCTACTTGATTCTACCTTTCAAACATGCTCATTGGTCCAGGTCAAAGTCTCCTAACTATGTAAGCCTATACATGTTTGCTCAGAAGTAAGTTACATAGTGTTCAATACTTTGCTTCTGTCCTGGCTTTAGTCCTGCCTTCTAATAAGCATGTTCAGGACTCTTTTTGGGCTGTATCTCTCCACATGCTGCAGAATGAGATGGGATTGTGGTGGCAGAATGTTCAGGTTCAAACCGCAGATCTGAAACATCACATTTCTTAATATTCTCCAACATATTTCCTGCAAGTAGAAAACCAGCATGGCAGGGAGATGGCAGGACCAGAACCTCTCCCCTTGATGTCCTAAATTTCTACATGCATGAAATTTTTAATGCGGTGAACAATGAAAAATGTGGATCCACACCTGAAATCTGAAATTATAGCATTTACCCTTGCATCTTAGACACAGTTGTAATGCAAATGTTGGTCCAGCCTTCAACATAAAGCTAATTTTATAACACCCAAATTCTATTTGAAATCAATATTTTCTGAACACCCTAGTACCAAGAGCAATACACAAATGTATCTGCTCCTACTGAGTACAGTGGTACCTCGGGTTACATACGCTTCAGGTTACATACGCTTCAAGTTACAGACTCCGCTAACCCAGAAATAGCGCTTCAAGTTAAGAACTTTGCTTCAGGATGAGAACAGAAATCGTGCTCCGGCGGTGCGGCAGCAGCAGGAGGCCCCATTAGCTAAAGTGGTGCTTCAGGTTAAGAACAGTTTCAGGTTAAGTACGGACCTCCGGAACAAATTAAGTACTTAACCTGAGGTACCACTGTACAGATCACCCAGGACAAGTCACTTTAATCACACTGGACAAGCTTTTAATGAGGCGTTATTCCCTGACAGCAGCGCAACATTTTCCCCTGGTGACCCTCACTGAAAGGTCATCTCTCATTTCAGCTCCAAGTCTGCCGTCATTCCACATGCATAACATTTCTTTTCTTGTAAGAATTTAGCACAGGGGAAAGGTGGCAGATTTACAGCTCCAGAAACAGGTTTACTCTGTGTAGACAAAAGTAGAACCAAAGTAGCACAGTTTAAAAAAAAAAAAAAACCAGCACATCTCTCCATAAGCAGTAAACAAACAAAAGGGCTAAAATATTAAACTTAAGCTGTCATAAATTATGTCGGTTTTCTTTCATTAGAGTTGCTCTGTGAGTTTGTTACTATATTTTTTCTCTTCAGAAGGGGAATGCTTGTAGGAGTAGGATTTTCTGCATCAGATGCCAAAGGAACATGGCTGGCCATGGGTACAATGTATCCTGAAAGGGGGCAGCACACAGAATTCCATTTCTTCCTCAGGCAGCAAAATATATTGAGCTAACTCTGGGTAAGGCAGATGAAGAAAAGAAAAAAAACCCCAAAAACCAAATTAGGCTGTAGCTATGAGGTCAGCTTATAGACTCAGATATCAAGTTACACAATTTGGACTCTGAGATAAACAAGCAATGGCTGCTCCTCATCTCAGATAATTTTTAAAACACTTAAAAACTATTTTAAAATGTTTCATTTTAGCTTTAGAAGTGTCTACTCTACAAGCAGCTTCATAAGAGAGCCTTCTATGGAGGCATATGGGGTCCAGCCTTGATCTCTGGTGGGAAGCAATATAAAGGTGTGATAGAAAGGTAAACATAAATTAATAAATACCTAGATGAATAATCATTTTGTCCAGCACTTTCACTGCAGCGTTGTAGATCCCAGAATTCTTTGAGTTTAGGTTGTCAGTGACTACAGTCACCACAGAGACCAGGACTGGATTTAAACCATCTTTGAGGATTGGGATCATGGAAGCAACTGACTCTAATGCATACTGATTCACTTTCTTGTTCGAGTCCTGAAGTCTCGGAGTAAAAGCATCAAAGATCTGTTAACACAAAAAAGAACAAGTAAATCCTACTGTAAATAGCATACTGCGCTGTTAGCACAGAAAAGTGGAGAAACAGAGTCAGTTACAAGTCTACATATGGAAGCAAAACATTTCAATATAGTGTCTTCACAGCCATCAGAACCTCCTTTTGTACGTACTACCATTTCTCATAGTGGAGAGATAGCTCCTAACAAACCAAACTAAAAAACTGGGGATAATTTTGGTTTGAGATAGGGAGATATCCTTGTCTAATTTACTGCGTTATGTTGAGGAAGTTTTACAAAAGTTAGCTCTATGATGGTGAAGGAATAATCAAGCCAGGATCAGCAACATGTAGTTAAGGGAGGGCATTGACTGACTGACTGACTGACTGACTGACTGATTGATTGATTCTTTGGGTCATTAATAGGATGTGGTGCTCTATAGTTACCTCCCTGCCCTCTTGAAAGTAAGCAGTTTTGTTTTGTTTTTAACTCCTGTATACAACCTGTAAACAAACCAAGATCTCTTCTTTCCACAGTTTACAGAGAGATGGAGGCCAAGAAGCAGCAACTGCTACGAAGGTTCTTCAGAAACAGCAGCACATTGAACATTGCCCTTACATAAGGGCAAAATATATGTTATATTAGCTATGTAGTTGTGCATTTAAGCGCTAGCAATCCACACTGGGATCTTAGCAAGGGGCTGTAACTCAAAATGGAATATTAGCATGGCAAAACCTATTTGGTTTTTTGCAACTTTCTGACTAGTTGCAGGACCTTAGCCAGACCTAGCAGAGTAAACGCAGAATCCACAGAAGCAATTGGCGACTTGGCTGCAAACAGGATAGACGAAGCAGGAACCAGGAACTTGTAGTTAGGTGTTTATTATATACAGTGGACTATTTACAGGAACAGAACACGGATCTTTAGCTAGCTCTCTCATACACGACTCACAACTCCTACACTGACACACAGAACTCTGAACACTGAACTCCAGAACTAACACATTCCAGTTAGTAGGCCATTAATTATCACTCCCTTGAGAGAGCTTGACCAATCAGGGAGCTGTCTCCATGTCTCTGTTATCACCAGGCAGACTTACTCCTTCACATGACCTTCTGGCTGTCTGCCAAACCTTAATTGCCTCTGTGTGAGTAGCTGCACGTACACAGTTTCCCAACAGGGGGGAGGCTCAGAAACTTTACTCCCCACTGTAGCCATAATCCAAATTGTGCAATTTGAATTGGGAGAGAGGATCTTTCCATTTGGATCTCTTTTATTGTACTTACAGGTACAGAGCCTCCAAAATCTGGATCACAACCACAGTAGGGCCAAGGATTAAACCTCCTTCCCCCATTACACTACCAATCTGTGCTTAAAGGCACAGCCATGTATCTCACATAATACATAGTTCGCCCATCAGTTAAACTGAGTAGGGAATCGGGATTAAGATGGCCCAACCTAATCTCAACGAATGGGTCACCTGTATTAGGCTCCTGGCACCCAAATGTATGGCATCCAAGTACCTGTATGATATTTGAGGACACAAGCTGGGGGTTGTTCTTGCAGTGCTCCATTAGCAACGCCACTCCCTCCATTCGCATCTGGAATTCCTTCGCCACCAGCATCTTGTTCAGCTCCTTGAGCTGCTCCATCATTTCGATGCTGCGAAGGGACGAGCGGCGAGCCACCACCTGCGGGATGCTTAGGACATCTGGGACAGAGCTGGTATTGAGAACCAAAGGTTTATTCATTGTGTTATGCATTCATAGTACTTAAATGACAGCACTCAATTATATTGCCCGATTACATTGCTCTCATGACTAGGAGTGGGGGAATTGTCTGTTTCTCATTTTCTCATTTTTTCAATCATAGCTTCTGTTCTTGCACGTTTCCACATCAGTTTGTGGTTGTGGTTGTTAAAAAGAATCCTCATGAAAATTCATACATGTCTTAGTGTGAATTTATCCTAATGCACACACTTTTATATGCAGTTTTGCCTGCTATATATTTTTGTACACAATTTTCATAATTTAATGGCTTTTTGTAGGTTATTTTCTTGAATATATGCATGTTATGCACACTTTAGTATCTGCATTTTTGGTAACACATTACTCAGTTGGAGAACTGTCCTGCAAAACATTAATAACTGCATACGCTGAAAGACAGCTGTGTTTCAGTTCTTCAGTTGTTTTGGGAAGGGCCAGTTGGGCAGGTTCACTTTTGAATGCAAGCTGAAATGAATTTTTCCTCAATCCCTAACTCAGCACCAACACAATTTTTGAAATTCAAAATGTATAGTGCACTGAAGCAAAATGTTTTAACTTACTGAACCCACATAATTCCCTTTGGCTGTAAAGTTATCGGATGTGCCAAACTGGAAGATGACTGGCAAAAAAATGGAAGCGGGGAAAGTGAAAGAAGGCTGAGGTGGAGGAAATCAGGAAGGTCCTGTCTATGGTTTAGAGAGCAAGGGGCTAGGATTCATGGGGATGGGCAGCACATGCCTCTGGTAATTTCATTCAATAACACAATCAAGGGCCTTTTCAGGAGACATTTTTATTGAATGGAGGAAACTACAATGGATCCCACGAAAACATATCATGCTAAAAGATAGCAAAAAGAAAAACAGCTCTGAGCATGCAGAGTAGTTTAGAAGAGCAAAGGGGTGCTCCATACCTTTCCTCTGAAGGCAGGCTGTCCAGTGAGGTTGTCAGACTGCTGCTCTTCGACCCTCTGTGGCTTTTGGCAGAAGGAGCTTGAGAAGATTGGTCTTCTAATCCCTGCATAGAGAAATGCATAGGCCAGGAGTGGTTAAGCTTTCTTGAGTCAAAGGCCACACTGGCCTTTGGTCAACCCTCCAAGCACTACATGCCGGCGGTCAGTGTGGCCCCAGTGGTTGTTTCTGGCCCCGCTCTCTTATTCAAACACACAGGCACACACCCACCCTCCAGAGAGCCAGTGTGGTTAAGAGCGGTAGTCTCGTAATCTGGGGAACTGGGTTCGCATCTCCGCTCCTCCACACGCAGCTGCTGGGTGACCTTGGGCTAGTCATACTTCTCTGAAGTCTCTCAGCCCCACTCACCTCACAGAGTGTTTGTTGTGGGGGAGGAAGGGAAAGGAGAATGTTAGCTGCTTTGAGACTCCTTCAGGTAGTGATAAAGCGGGATATCAAATCCAAACTCTTCTTCTTCTTCTCCATAGAAAGGAGCTGGCTTGGGAGGGTTATAGCCCCCTCTGCACTCGATCAAACTAATGACTGGGGAGGGAGCAATCCACCCCACACTGTGCCTGCTTTAAATATGCTTTCGTTTCACTATGGCTGCCATCAAAATCAGGGGGGCTTGGGAAGTTGTGTGACCCCTAATATAGGCATTTTAACAAAGAGTGAAATTACACATAGACAAGTTGCAGTATTTTCAAACTTTTCCTGTAACATTTGAAGAGGAGATGTATGGGCACAAACATATGCTTAAGATCAGAAGAAAATCTTTGCTGGATCATGCCAATGGCCTATCTAGTCCAGCATCGTGTTTTCTCACAGCAGCCAATTGGATGCCTGTGGGAAGCCTGCAAGCAGGCTGTGAGTGCACAGGGGTGGCCTGGGACATTTCAGCACTGGAGACAAAACACCCCCTGCCACCTCCACAGTGGAGAGGGGCATGAGGTTCAGAGAAGGCCTCGTTAAGCCTTGCCAGCCCACCAGACTACAGTGGGGAGGGGAGCACTTCTCTTGAAGGAGTATCAGTTTCCAAAGTTTCCTTCCCGCCCAGTAGCAAAGCTGGGTGGTGGAATGCCTCCCCTCTTGCCAACTTGCTGAGAGGAGAGGCATTCTGCAGAGCTTTGCTGCTGGTCTTAACAAGTCTGAGATATTTCATACGTCTTACTCTGAACATGATTGACCTTGGATCCAGCCCTTAATTTTTATTTACCAAAGAATGAAATATATTTGATCTTCTGATTCCGCTTTCGGTGCAAATATTTCTTATAAAAAATTTTATTAAAGCTTTTTCATAATATAGTAAGATAAAAAATAATAATCTGAATAAAAACAAAAACAGAGAGAGAAAGAGGAAATAAAACACCAAATCTTCCCAACACATTCTGTGCACCTCCATACTCACTTTCTGCTTAATTGCAGCCATGACATCACGCAAGTCATGTGACGGTAGACACTGCTTCAAATACCCATCAAATTTTGAATGGGACATAAGGATGTTCAGCATCTTCCGGCCATAAAATCTTGCACAAGGAGGGAAAAGTTAATTAAGAACATTTGATGGCAAAATTTTGACTCTGTTTCAGATAGTGCCATTGGTCTGGTTCAGGGTGGTCCAACCTCTCAGGCCAAGTGGGCCATGATAGTACTTTGACACAGAACCCGTGAGCCACACACTGAATTAAATTTCCATATTGTAAATCAAAGCGTTCACAATATAGTTACTATTATTTCACACACACAATTAATATAATTAAATACACAATTAATGAGTAAAATATAAATTTCTACAAAAGACAAATCACAAAATAATTCAGAAAAATAGAACCACCACAGATTCTGAAGGAAGTATACCATATTTCAAGACATCAAGAACGCTTTTCATTGCCAGCACTCATTCATAATAAAAATGAATGTATGTACCAATGTACCAGTGTGCTCTAGCGATGAGAGTATTGGACTAGATCAGACCTGGGAGATCAGGGTTCAGATTCTTTTCACAAACCTCTTTGGGGTAGCTGCTGTTGTTGGTTTTGTTTTTACAATCGAGTGGCATATGAATTTCATGAAATGAATGAATGACTGAATAAATAAACCACTCCCACCATACCTGGCCATTGGCCATGCTAGCTGGGGCTGATTGAAATGGAAGGCCAAAACATTTGGAGGGCAATAGGTTGAGAAAGGCTGGTCCATTTCAGCTTGCAATGAAATGCATTCAAAGACTCTCAGCTGTTTGCCTGGCAGTTTACCTTGTGTCTTGATTGCAGTCTTGAGCAAGTTTGACCAGCGTCTGCACTAGAAGCTCTGTACTCTCCCGGTTACCCGAGAGCAGTTTCTCTGCCCCAATCTGCTCCACGATGGTCAGCAAATGTTCAGCCGCACTTTTCCGGATGAGGGGGTTACGGTGGCTGCAAACACAGTGGTCCTAAGAATGAGACCTCTTCTTTTCTTATACTGCAAAGTGGAAAAAAAGACCTGGGCGCCTGGCAGCTACCCCAGCTTGCCTCAGCCAAAATATCCCAACCCAGCTAGTTCTGACCCTAACTGGCAAACTGGCTTGCAGGGGTGGGAAACCTGAATGTGAAATTTGGCTTAACTTCATGTGGGCGGAAAAGGAGGGTGGGAGCAGGAAAATGGAAAGGGGGCAGCTGAAACAGACGGAGTGGTTGAAGGAGGGGGAGCAGCCCTCTGTAAGCCACCAGTTCAGATCTCTGGCAAGAGTGTTTTGCCTCAGCTCTGGCAAACCATAGGCAAGGAAGAAGATGTAGAGGAGGAGGGGGAGCGCATGGGGTGACCACACCCATTTTGGACTCCAACCGCACCCATCATTGCCATGCATCCCCTGAAAGTTTACCCCCCAGGGACATGACCCTGGTGCCTTATTATCCAGCGTGATTGCAGCCCTACTCTACTTCAAAAGAACAAGTCATGCGTAAGAAGAAGAGGTGCGAGGGCCCAGAAAAAAATCTAGGAAAATTGGAGGGAGGGAAATTGGTCCAGATACAACTGAGGAAGTACAAGCATGCAGAAGAAAAGGCCCTTCACATACTTCACTCCATTGGCCATGAGGGCAGTCATCGCTCGTGAGGGAGTCACATTCTGCACCATGACGCCCAAGCATTGATCAGCTGCTTTCTGGATGAATTCACTAGAATCGCCTGCCTTCTGGAGAAGGACCCGAGAAATCTCTTCAACCTCTTGGTCCATATGCTTCTTCATGGCCTTGAAGAGGTCAGCTAGGGTCCCGATAGCAAACCGAGATACTTTTGACCGGAGGTTGCTAACCTGGCAATGGAAACATTACAAGCTGAAACGTTTGCGCATTCATGTGATCCTGTTTGCTGCTGCAAATGCTGACACACCAACCAAAGGCAAGACAATTTATTTGTAATTTTCCACAAAATGCCACACTTCTTATCAAAGTGTGGATAATAAACCAGGATGTGCCAATCAAGTTGAGTCACTCGCAGTGTACATCTGCATTGCCTTCCTATCATGAATAGGAGAAACATGGAATTGTTTCAGTTTTGATAATGGCTCCATCTGAATGGGCACCACAACCTGCAGATCTAACTTAAGGAAGGAGAGTACTAAATCAGGAGCTCCTAACCATCATTTAAAACATATGCATGCATCAATGCTTAATATAAATAAAATAATATAAATAGTTGCTCAGTGGTTTGAGCAACTAACGAACTTTTTGCTGCTGTGCTCCACATGAGAGACAACAACAAAAAATCATTATTTGTACCCCACCCATCTGACTGGGTTGCCCCAGCCACTCTGGGCAGCTTTCCTCACTTTTACACACAAAATACTTAACAGGAGCTGAATGTCCTAACAGATGGGGGGTGAGCTGCCAATGCCTGAAAAGAGCTGTAAATATTTATCAGTCCTAATTTCTTATATTACTTTTTAAAACTATGAAACGAAAAAAGGGGGGATTTCTGGAAGGGAAGTAAGCCATCCATTTTTCTTTCTATGTATAAACAGACACCCTGCTGTCAACACTTTGCTTGTGTTTCGCAAAGTGGGAGGGTTTGAATCCCACAGAACTGAATCCCACATTCAGATAATTAAAGTTTGAAGATGCTCCAACCTTCCCATTAACAAGGAATCAAGTCTACATCCATGATAATTTCAGAGAGAAGCCAGAGACCACAAATTACACAAATGGCCAGCCATTATTTGCTGCAGATGACAGAAGGCTTAATGGCCTTGCCAACTTTGCTATGTTAACAGCCCAGTCGGCTGATCAAACAATGAGCAAGTGTAGAAATGGCCCCTGTGGCTTCTTTTACTTCCTGCTTTTTATTAGAAGGGTTTAAAATGAGAACAATAAAAACCTCTCCATTAAGCGATCAAATAAACAGCAAAGCTGTTAAGCGCGGCCGTTGGGTAAATAAGCTTCCTAGAATCCAAGAATTGGCTGCCTCACAGAGTCCAGCACATAACGTATTTGGGTTTGGGGAAATGTAGGTAGCTCGGATCAGCTTTTGTTCTCCCCCTTTTTCTGGGTGGAAATAGAGGAAGCATTTCAGACAAAGAGATGCAGTTGATAGAAGAGACAGAATCAACATGGTTGGACTTGCAGGTTCTTCTGTGAGACATGCTGAATTTGGGTTTCAACAACTAAGTACAAAATGCATGTACATCAGGTCAGATACGAAAGCTACATATACAGTGGTACCTCAGGTTAAGTACTTAATTCGTTCTGGAGGTCCGTTCTTAACCTGAAACTGTTCTTAACCTGAAGCACCACTTTAGCTAACGGGGTCTCCCACTGCTGCTGTGCCGCCACCACACAATTTCTGTTCTCATCCTGAAGCAAAGTTATTAACTTGAAGCACTATTTCTCGGTTAGCGGAGTCTATAACCTGAAGCATATGTAACCTGAGGTACCACTTTATGACTAAACTGTATCTTTCAATCCACCTCCGATATACATCAGAAAGGCCCTAGTCCTTTCCTAATCACTGCTTTAAGTGGAGTATACACATTTGGGTCCTCAGTAACTGACATGCTTCACGGGTATTTGAGTACAAGAACCCAAGTACATTTCTCTTTCTTCTTCGTTCCTTTATTTTAGACAGATATTTGCCACTTACATGTATACATAAAATATATTTATTATATAAAACCATGGCAGAATCCAAGTATTTGCAGATGCAGAGGCCATAGCTCAGGAATGAGGAAACTTTTTCAGCCCAAGGCTGCATTCCCTTCTGAAAAACTTCCCAAAGGCCTCACGACGGTAGTGTGAGGGGCCAGAGGCAAAAGTACTTGAAGCAATGGTTGTAAAATTTACCTTTGTACAATAGGAGGATAGTTTCTGCATACACATCTCTATATTCTCCATCCAGACACACAAGAGGCATTATCAGTGCATTGCTCATGTATGCAAGTTTCTCAGAAGGTCCACATGATGCCTGTCCTCTTCAAAAGGCCACCCCATATATTTCCTCCATTTACCGTATTTTTCGCTCCATAAGACACACTTTTCCCCTCCCAAAAAGTAAGGGGAAATGTGTGTGCGTCTTATGAAGCGAATGTAGGCTGCGCAGCTATCGCTGAAGCCAGGAGAGCAAGAGGGATCGGTGTGCACCGATCCCTCTTGCTCTCCTGGCTTCAGAGATAGCCACGTAAAGCCTCTTGAGCGCAGCCAGAGTGCTCCTGCCTCTTTGCTCAAGAAGCTCTGCATTGCTTTCTTGTTTTCCTCCTCTAAAAACTGGGTGCGTCTTATAGAGCGAAAAATATGGAAATTCAGATTTGCTGTTTCGATGGTTTTGCTTTTTTGTTTTTACTTATTGGATTTTCCATTGAAACAGTAAATTATATGGGGAAATAATATGGGACAGTGTTTTGATAAGGATGACGTTTTCTGGACAAAACTTGCATGCCTCAGCAGCATTGAACAGATAATAGAAAGCCATGGGGAAGCACCCCTACAGAAGTATGGTGCAGGGTGGACAGAAAAAAAGCCTCTGAAGATTGCTAACTACAGGTTGCGTTATCTGGCTTTCACTCTAGACATCCAGAGAAACTTAGTAATTTTTTTTAAGTGACCTTCTAGGTCACGATAGCTATTAAGCATCCGAGGATGGCTTCTAAAGTGACTCAGTGGGCCAGGCTCCCAGTGGACAGGAAAGTGGGACCTCAGCTCTTCCATGGATACTAACTCAACTTTTATTCTTTCACTCCATTGCCATTCTCCTTGCTAAAACAGAGTAAAAAGTCACTGAAAGCTTAAGTTTCAGAAGCAGACAGCTTTGTGGAAAGTGAGTAAATGCATGCAAATTTAATTAATTTGCATGGATTTATTTTGTGCTGAATTCCCCCCTCCCCCATGCAGGTTATACACAGCTTATTAATTGCTTATTTTTCCAGTAGAGATAAGGAGCATATTGGGCAGCAATAGGTATAGACAGGTATAAAAGCTGCTCAGAGACCCATTGGCTAAATAAAAACAGATTGGAAAGTGTCAGGTAAGCCACAAGAGAAGATAGATTGGACATATGTTAAATGCACATTTCCCACCTCCTTTGTGGCTGCCAAGGAAACATCATGAAGTCTACACTGGAGAACTTCTGAATGGCAGGTAGCCAAGCATCGGATGCTGAAGAGTCCTTTCTCCTTCAGATGCCTGAGAGGCAATTATCAGAAAGATGGAGGGAGAGAAGAGAAGGGAAATTATTGGTCTCGCCTGGCATTTTGCAGAAACAGGATTTCTCACTGCAGTAAGAGAGTCTGAAAATGAGATGTGTCACAGAAGCCACACATTGGGAATACAGAAAAGCAAAGATGCTGAATTTTAACAGAAGCTCTTATACACTACGGTTTTAAAACTACTGTTGGGGGAAAATACATTCCACTGTGTGCTAGACAGAATCTCCTATGAATTAAGCTGAATAAAAGAGTGTGATTGATTTACTAGTTCCACATCATAGGCTCCATCCTTGGAAAGGGCTGAAACCTGCATGGCAAGTTTTTCTCTTGCGAGGCTCAAGAGGTGAAGCTTGTGGAGTCCCCCCCCCCCTTTTTTTAAGGCCAATAATCCCTCACAACTCTGCCTTTCTGAATTAACAGCACCATCTGCAGGTGATCTGGCGACAAAAATGAGCACAGGTGACAAATTCCAGAGCAACAGCTGCCAGAAAGGTAGATGTGTTTGTACTCTTAGCAACAAGAAACAATATCATAGCACCTTAAAGACTAACAGATGGATTATAGCATAAGCTTTGTGGACGATGGCTCACATCATGAGACGTGTGAATTGTTGTCCCTGGTTGGCAGATATATCCAATGAAAAAGAAAAAAATCATGTTAACTGTGAGGTCCAGCGGCAACGAAGACTGAATCTTCCACATCTTTTTGAAAGCACAGCTTTTATATTTCCATAGAAAACTAATGGTGTGTGTTAGGAAAGGCTTTTTATCAAGTTGTATATTTTAAAAAGTAGGATTATCTATGGGAATGACACATTTCAAATTAAATGTGGTAACATTGTGCAACTCACTGGCATTATTACAATGTCTGGGGGTGTTAAGCAGGGTCATGGCCAGCGCTACTATTAGACAAAGTGGGGAAGCCACCTGAGGTAACTGATTTGGGGTGTCACAAAATGGCAACTAATTGTTATTTAATTATTATTAGATACTTACTGCCTGCAAGTAGGAGAGGTGCTTTGGGGAGTTTCTTCCTCAGGTGCCAATATACCTTACCTGCCCTTGTGCTTAATGTGTATGAGGTGGGAATACTAGTGCTACTCTGCCTCAGGCAGCAACATCTCTTGGACCTGCCTTGGGCAAGATTGTATTCTTGCCCCCTTGGTGTTTATTTTGTATCTAAATGAACTTGACAATGCCCTTAACGCCACTCTCCAAAACTTGACAGCAGAGGCAATTGAGTCTTATTTTATCAGCTAATGATGTGGTCTTATTATCGTATTCCAGACTCAAGTCTTAAAAGGCTTTTTGGTCATGTTTTCTAAGTCCTGTACTCTAAATTGTACTGTACAGATAAATCAGGGGAAATTACAGTTAGCTGTCTCTGAAAAAGGTTTATTCAGTGGAAGTGGCTGCTTGGCAGCCAAATTCTAATCAAGAGCTAAACGCTGGCTTTGCTCTTGTCTCACACATAGATTTCATGCTGTCGAGAAAGCCACTCAAAGCAGGACAACTCCACAGGGGTGTCAGCTATAAGAAGCTCGTGGGACAGTATTTGACTGAACAGTTCCACAACAGCAAGGACTTTCAGCTGCCCAATGGGATTTCCCTGCCCTCTCCTCTCCCCATATGTCCCCTGCGAGACCCGTAGATCAGCTCCCAAGGATTGGGGAAGACCCTGGAACAGGGTTAGGGGCAGCACAAGGAGGACAGAGAAGTTCCAGCTACACCTCGTTTCCCTAGCAGAACTTTTTAGCTGGACACCGTCCATGGAGTTGAATTCAGGGTGTGGGGCTTAATGGGGCTGGGTGAAAAAATAGGAAGGGAGGCCCAACTTGGGCTGCCTTGACATTGCCCACAACCTTTTGAAACAATCTCACCGTTTTCCCAAACTGGGCTTGTGAAAGTCCACCATCAATTTGGTATCCTCTGTGGGTTTGTGGGAGGGAAGGAATGAGACAAAAACAGATGGAGTGTGTGCTGTCTGGAAACCAGAGGAAGTGAATTTGAATCTCACTTTATACTGTAGCCTTCATGCAGCCACAAGGCCACTCGCCTAACTTTATGGCATGAGGCACAGGGGGAAGGTACAGTTTTCTCTTTCCTTACCAATCGTTGCTATTGAGCCACTTCAGAGCATCGACCAGCCCCTGCTCTGGGTAAGACAAGGGTCTTATTTCTAAGGCATCTCTATTTACGAGGTCCTCTTCCCATTCCGGAGAACCCTGGAGGTTTGCTGGCAGGGAGTTAGCTGTAAGTATGAAGCAACAACAGCTAGGCATATAAATGCAATTAACACTGGCAGTCAGGAAATTACAATTAACGCTACAAATAAGTTGTTGTTATAAGGAGTCATATTTCATTTTACTGTTCCCATGGAGTTGTAAATGCATATCTGAATTGCATTCCATTGAAAGGACTGCAGTGAGAACAGACCGTTTTCACCGAAGTGTGTATTGGGCTGAACATCCCATTTACTCCGAGTCCCATGAGTGGCTTCTCTGGTGGGGGCAGAGGTGCACCAGGCAGTGGAAGCCCACTCTGCACCATCCCACCTTTGCACTATGGCCTATTGGTGACATCTGGCTGATCTGCAACACTGAAGAGGCATCTCACATTTGGGCTTGTTGTTCGCCTAACAATTATACCACACAATACCATATCTGTTTTTAGAGAGGTATAACTTTCCAGGAGGACCCACTGAAGTGCCGACATAGCATTAATATCAAATCATCCTGGCAGCCTGCTTTGACTGCAAAATCTAAACCATTCCACGAGACAAGGTGATACAGCAGCAGGCCGAAGCAAAACAATAATAATCACTATAAAGCTTTCTATGGACAGAGGAGAATGCTGAGTCGTATGCTATTTGCACAGGGACCTTGAAAGGGCAGGAGAAGCAGGGAGAACTCCAGAAGTAAATAAATAGAGGGTAGCTATTTCTTTAGTACCAGATGACTCAGTAGAAGATGGGAAAAATGGAAGAGACGGGGAGCAGTCCACTGTACAAAGGCAAATTTTGCATTCACTTTGGCCCTGCTGAAGACTCTCTTGTGGCCCTTGGAAGGTAGCCCAGAAGCAAATGTGGCCCTCGTGCTGAAATAATTTCTCCGGCCATGCCTTACACAGTCCCAAAAGGAAAGGGCCACAAACAATGAGGGGGTGCAAATAGAAAAGTGGCTGCAATCAAGATGTTGGCTTTTTGTAGTAGTGTAATAGATAGGGAGTTCCTAAGGCAACCTGTCGGTTTTCCATATTTGCAACATGAACCAATGCATGTTGGTTCAGCAACACGGATTGTTTTATAATTTTGCACCTCATTTTATCGTCCACGGTTGGAATCTTACACACCAAGTTCTTCTGAGCTACCCAAGAAGTTTCAAGGCATGATCCTCCACAAGCGGGCCAGTCCTGTATTTGTTGCTTGTGGTTTCTTTATTCTGTTTTATGTAATATTGGAAAAAACTCAATACAACATTCATTTTTTTAAAAAAATGTTTCAAGAAAAGATGATCTGAAAAACGCCAGTGAAAGGGGAAAGTGATATTGCCAGCTTGGCTGAGATTATACCAATAATACTTGAAGCAAGAAGTTTCTTTTCCCATTTATTTTTCCAGTATGCATTGTGGTTATGGGGGAGCCCTTGCTTGTGCCTGATACTTCTGTTGACAACCATAAAAGCTGCATTTGTTGCTAGCCTGTTTTGTGCCTCACCTGAAGCATGCCTGAGGAAGCTACTGTCATGGTTGATGACGGGGATGCTGGGCAGAGAGGGCCTGTTCACCCGTTTCTTCAGGGACGTCCCAACAGGAGCTCTGCAGGGATTGCTCAGACTGAGGCCAACAGGGGTGGTTCCGTTGCTTTTAAGTGGCCCGGAACCTGCAGAAAGTAATTCAGGGAAGTCAGCAGAGAGTGAAGGGAACTAGCAGCTGAAAAAAACATAGGGCCAGTTCCAGGTTTGAGAGGTGCCTAGGCAAAATGTGTACTCAGGTGGGTCACCTTCTCTGGTGGTGAGCCCCTGGTGGGCTTACCTGGTAGCAGTATGAATAGCAGCATGACTCCAAGCAAATCCTGAGAAGCTGGAGCCCACTGTTTAAACTTCATTCCCCTGAAAGCCTGGACAGGGGAGGCTACAATTGGTTTCCACCAGCAAGTAAGTACCGTATTTTTCACTCTATAAGACGCACCAGACCACAAGACGCACCTAGTTTTTGAAGGGGGAAAACAAGAAAAAAAATATTCTGAATCTCAGAAGCCAGAACAGCAAGAGGGATCGCTGTGCAGTGAAAGCAGCAATCCCTCTTGCTGTTCTGGCTTCTGGGATAGCTGTGCAGTCTGCATTCGCTCCATAAGACGCACACACATTTCCCCTTACTTTTTAGGAGGGAAAAAGTGAGTCTTATAGAGCAAAAAATACGGTACTTTTTTAGTCTTTCAGGCTTTTGGAGTTAACTATCATAATCTGATGCCCTTCTTTGTGTGCCTCCCCAACAAGAGGTTGCATGGCCTCCTGCTGTGGCTCTGTTTTTTGTTAACTGAGTGTTTTTAACATTTGTATATATTATTTCCTCATAGTATTTTTATGTATTTCTGTAAACCACAACACATCACTTGATGGGGATTATGTTTCTTCTAAGAAGGAGGGCACTCCACAAGTTTGGAACAGAAATAATAATTTCAATGCATTGCTTGAAACCACCTTGGAATTATATTGACATGGTGAAGTGTGCTCTGCGAATTTGGAGAAATAATAATAGTAATAGTAATTGCATTTATGACCCACCTTTTTCTCCAAGGAGCTCAAGTACTAATAGAAGTAGTAGCAGTAATAGTACAAGGACCCCTGGACTGTTAAGTCCAGTCAAAGGCAACTATGGGGTTGTGGTGCTCATCTCGCTTTCAGACCGAGGGAGCCAGTGTTTGTCCACAGACAGCTTTCCAGGTCATGTGGCCAGCATGACTAAACCGCTTCTGTCTCAATGGAACACCAGGACAGAAGCCAGAGTGCACGGAAAAGCCATTTACCTTCCCGCCACAGTGGTACGTATTTATCAACTTGCACAGGCATGCTTTCAAACTGCTAGGTTGGCAGGAGCTGGGACACCCTGTTGCGGGGATTTGAACCACCAACCTTCTGATCAGCAAGCCCAAGAGGCTCAGTGGTTTAGACCACAGCACCACCCGTGTCCCTACAGCTGTAACAGTAGCAATAGTAGGCACTCTGGGACTTTGAAGAACGATATGCAAGAAAAGCCCCACCACATACACCCAGCTCTCTGCGGCTGACAATTCTCCATCTCCCACCCACAGTAAAGAGCAAGAGCAAGTGACCTTGCACCAGAGCCTTGTTCCGGCAGAGTGCTGACTCTGCCACTTTCTCTGCTGCTGCTGCAGACCTTTGTGGAGTTTATACTGCAGCACAATCACTGCATGTCAGTTGCAATCAGATCACTTAGGGAGCTCTGCCATAAACCTTCCTCCTCCCCCATCTTAAATATGCACTCCTATTGTAACAGCTTGGATATTTCATCTGAAAAGCATCACATCTCAAGGGTGTGGAGGGTGTTTAAATCAGGGAAATTCTTACTGTATGGCTAAGTGCTTCCTGCGCATGAAAATTTCCTCCGGGCTATAGTTTATTTAATAAAATTATAAATTTTGGCGAACAGCATCTGCGTTGCTTGACTGTAATTGCTGCAGGTATACTGAAATATGGGTGCGTTTCATAGTGATGAGAATAGATCTCCATTCAACATGGTCCAGGAACTAGAATATTATTACAGGCTACCTTCTTAGACAGTCTCTCCATTGCTAGGGTAGCTCCCTTTTTAAGTGTACCTTTTGTGAAGTGCAGTGAAATCGTTGATGAAATACACTGTATAAGTGTCAAAGTCACAGATTGGTCAGCATTATAAGTGCATTATTCCAATATTGTTCATATCTACCAAAGTACACAAGGACACATCTCACCTTTTCCCTAAGAAAAGGGTCATGTTCAATAAAGACAACGAGGTTGTGGGAGCATTTCAGAGTTCACCTGGTGCTGCAGCATTGGCCCAGTTCTCACATAGGAGGTGAGGAGGCAAGTCTGTATGTAGACTATATCACTGCAGGCTGCAGTGGAAGACAGAGGAGGCTCACATGACTGCCACTCTATACACCAGGGATGGAGAAAATAGATGCTCCAGAGGTTCTTAGAGTCAAACGCCCATCAACCCCGGCCATCCCAGTCAGGGGTTCTGGGAGATGTCTTCCAATAACATCTAGACAGCCACACTTCCCTGGGAATAAGCCCCACTGAACTCAGTGGGACTTACTCCTGAGCAGACATGTGAATGCTCCTCCATAACCTCCACTCACAAAGGGGGCCTCTGGGATGTTAGCTTTTCAGGCAGCTGTCATAGACAGGGGAAGGTAGCAACCCTGTAGGTCACCTTTTTCTTCTTCTCCTGACTTACACAGTGTGCATCTGATCTCTGAAAGGCACGTTAAATGAAGGCAAATGAAATTCAGGGTGATGCAAAATGCATACGAAATCTGCATAACGAGCTCCTTTTATTTCTCAAGTCGCCACATACCTTCACGAGCAGTTTTCTGTAGATGCTCTTCAAACTTTGTCAGCCTTTCCTTCTCTCTCTCTCTTTCCTTTTCTCTTTCTTTGCGCAAAAGCTCTATCTCCTTTAACTGCTTCTGGCGCAGTTTCTCCTGAGCCGACTTTGATATGGTCACGTGGATCTGGACACAATGAAAGTAAAACGCAGTGCATGAAAAATAAGGGACACGTGTGTTGTTCTACATTAGGGATGGAAGAGGACTCTATTTTAAACGTATCTATAGATGGAATTTGGTGCTTCCAACCTGATCAAGCTTTGACCACAAAGGACCACCTCTTACACTGAGCATTTGCTTATGTCTGAGCTGCTTGCACATTATCTTTTTCTTTTCCTTTTTCTAAAAAGCCTGCATATTTATACACAAAATTATATTTAAATTTATAAACAAAAATATGTATATATTGTGTATATATAACATGCATAAAAGAGTCAAGCCTCATGCAGGACTGGATTTTTGCTGTATTATGGTATAAGTATTCTTACTTAAGTTTCTCGATACGATATATCAGTAGTTGAATTTATCTGTTTATGTGTTGGTTCCCTTAGGAAACCTGGACTGTATACACATATAAACATTCATGTAATATTATATTTATAATAATGTGTATAATATGTGAGCGTTGTTTGTATTATTTAGTGGAGCTAGTAAAAAAAACCCTCACTTCTGATCAAGATCAAGGAGCAAGACAGGAGTCAGGAAAAAATATTGCACAGATAAGCTCAACACCAAGAATTTCATAAAATTCCATCCCTACTCTACACACAAGTGAGGAATCTCTTGGCGTAATGTGATTCCACAAACCCAAACAGAACTCATCCATTTTCTTGAAACCTTATTTATTAGAAAGTAAGATAAATATTTCATCAAAATGGAGGATGCGCTAATTTTCTTGTTTTATCTTCAGTGTAGCTACTTAAATTGAGTACATAGGAATGCTGTGGGTTTCACCTGGAAACATAGTCAAAATAAAAGCATGTCTGATGTGTTCAGTAGATGTCTTTGCTTGACAAGCTATGTGGCCAATAAAAAGATAATGCCCTCCTTATGAGCTCCTGGCTAGTCCATAGAAGATCAAAGATCATAGAATCATAAAGTTGGAAGGGACCCTGAGGATCATCTAGATTAGATCGCACATTGTTTTCTTTCTTTAAAAGTGGATGCCCCTCCATTCCCCCAAATACATCCACCCCCAACTTAAAGCTCCTTCCTGAAGCTGGTTTTAGCCACCGAGAGCTACATGGGGTACCTGTTAGGAGATAAAGACTCATATGAAGGAAGAGAAGCAGGGGTCTTGAAGTTGACCATCAACTGTGAGCGCCTGAGCAGCAGGCATTGCAGGCACACAGGTCACCTGGGGCATTTAAAGCACATGACTTCATAGAATCGTAGAATTGGAAGGGACCACAAGGGTCATCTAGTCCAACCCCCTGCAATGCAGGCATCTTAGCTAAAGCATCCATGACAGATGACCATCCAACCTCTGCTTAAAAACCTCCAAGGAAGGAGAGTCCACAACCTTCCTGGCATTTAGTTGGAATCTCCTTTCTTGTTATTTGAATCCATTGGTACAGGTCCTACCCTCCAGAGCAGGAGAAAAGAAGTTTGCTCCATCTTCCATGTGACAGCCCTTCAGATATTTGAAGGTGGCTCACATAGTTCCTCTCAGTCTCCTCTTATCCAGGCTAAACATACCCAACACTCTCAACCATTCTTTATAAGGCTTGGTTTCCAGACCCTTGACCATCTTGGTCACCCTCCGCTGCACACATTCGTATTGTCATTAATTGAACCCAGAACCTTCTGCATGCAAATCAAATGTTCTACTGCTGAGCTATAGTTCTTCCCCTTGTAGTTTGCCCCCCAGCCCCAGCTGCATTTAGCAGGGAGGAAACAGCATTGGGAACCTGATTGTAGATTTCCCACAAAACATCTACAGGCAAGTCCCAGTTTAGGTGCATCTGAATCACTTAGGATCATGCACACACGCACAGCACTGAATCTGGAAGTAGCCCCAAAACATTACGAAAAGGGGTGGAACGGGGCAGCTTCTGCATGCTCTGCCAATGCTTGTGGGGATCCAAAATGGAACCCCTGCACAAAACAAGGATTGCTTGTAATTTGTTGGATGCAGCTGAAAGAGAAAGTACAAGTGTAGGCAGATATTAGGCAGAAGACTTGGGGTGGGGTTGGAGACTATTCTATAAGATGAGAAGCAGGAAATTTTCAGAAAAAGTAGGGCATGCGGCCTTATATTATTTATATAATTGATTTCACATATAGTTTCAGGCTGATATTTTAAAAAATGCTGAACCAATGCTTTTTCAGTCCAAGAAAGAGAAAAGTTTTAGCAAGCACTATTCTGAACAGATGATAAAAGAATCTGGCTTGAGCTATGTAAAAAAAGGCAAGCAATTTATATTAGCAGGAATGTAGAAGGGCAGTATTACTTGAGACCAGATCCTCAGAAATCGTTAATGAATTCCTTTATCCCTAAACTTCACTTTGAATGCCCCTTCTGAGGTTTATGTATCATTTTGTCACTGCAGGAAAACATGCAAGAAATTAAAGAAGTTTCCGAGGCTCTTTCTGCAAAATCAGCTTAATGCAATAAAAACACACTTGATTTCTTCTAGCTGCATACAATTTGTACATCTTCCTTCAGCGCATTCTTTTGGTTTACTACATTTGTTTCCCACCCTTCCTCCAAAGAACTCAGGGCAGTGTGCACAGGGTTCTCACTTTTAATCCTATGAGGAATCCCATGAGATAATTTAGATGGAGTTTAGCGCTTCCAGGCAGGTGCTTAATATTGTAAATGGGTCATGGAGATATCACACATGGGTCACTGGCAATAGGAGTTTTCATTTATCAGGCTTGCGGAGCTCTGTTGCATGAGTCTGTGCGGCCCTAAAGGTGATTACAGATGAGGGATTCTCACTGGAAAACATCCCCAGGTACCTGACAATTCAAGACATTGAAGGATGGGTCTGATCCCTACAATTCCAAACCTGCATGCTTAACTGCAGTGGCATCGTTTAAAAAGCAATAATCTAATGTCACTCACAGTCACCCTCGCTACTGCTTGCTAACTTACCATACCTTTCCCTTGGCTTAGTTAAATACACATCACCGCACCAACGTGCCCTCATTAGAGCTAGAAAGGGGAGAGAAGGCGCATACCCTTCCATTGCTCTCCTTCCACTCGTCATCTTTCAAAAGGCAAGGACTTGAGAGCTGGCCCCCTTCCTTAGCCAGACCGGGAGAGGAGGCGGTTAGTGGCAGTACGGATTCTAGTGGACACCCAGTAACCTTCAAGGATGCAGACAGGCCATTTCTGAAAGAGGGTTCCGGTGCACTGGTTTCTGATGAGCCAATAGAGCATAAGAAACACGTTAGCATGGGCAGCGAGCATGTATGAAATAACAAGTGTTACTGTGGAGAGTGTGAGCCAAGAAATTACACAATGTATTAATGTAAATCGAGAGGCTGTGCCAAGGAGATACTCCACTAGATTGAATCACTCCCTGTGTAGATGGACTTAAAAAGGTAGGGGTGTGTGTGTGTGTGTGTGTGTGAGAGAGAGAGAGAGAGAGAGAGAGAGAGAGAGAGAGAGGCCAAATGAAAGAGCTGTCCTCCTTGTTCCCATTTCCTGTCAGCTGTGGGTTATGCTATTATTACCTTTGTAAATAAATTGTAGTAGTCAAGTGGGACCTGTAACAAAATATGTTGCAGTGTATCCTCACCTCTGGAAAAGCCTGTTCCTTTTTCGGGGCTCCAGCCAATCAACCAGTCATGCCCTCCTACAGCACGCCATTAGGAACATAGAGAACATAGGAAGCTGCTTTATACTGAGTCAGAACATTTGTCTATCGATCTCAGTGTTGTCTGTTCTGACTGGCAGCAGGTCCCCAGGATTTTACAGTCAGGGTTCTTGCCTAGTCCTTGCTGGAGATGTCAGATATTGAACCTGGGAACCTTCTACCACTGAGCTACGGCACTTCCCCTACCTTGGTTTTCCTGGTTTTCTTTTCCAACTAACCCTCTGCATTCTGTGGCCACTGAGCATGCACCATCCCCTTTAGTTTGCAAGGGCTTACTATAAAACCTCAGGAGTCCCCAAGCATGCCAATAGCAACCTGCTGTTTCTCAGTGGCCCTGATTTGACTCCATTTCTACCAGTACTCACCACGTGAGTTTCCTACCAGAGGGATGGTGTTGTGCAAAGAGTTCTGCTCACCCCATCTCAAAAAAGACATGATGTTTATCTGGCAATCCAAACAAGGGGATGAAGCAGCTTACCTGCGCAAAAAGACTAAAGTTTTTGTGCGTGCGTGAGTCACCTTGCAGGGGGCGGGAAAGAAGGATGTGGGCGCATGATAGAGGTTTATAAAATTATTAATGGTGTGGAGAGCGGGCGACAAGATGTGAGGAGCAGTTGTCACTCGCTCACTAGTATGCACTTACTCATAACATTAGTGAATAAAACTGACTGTCAGTATAAAAGATAGCACTTGGTGTAGCATAATTATGTTAGGTCACCATGCAAGCACTCTTACACCACTTCACAGCTCCCCCCACAAATAATCATGGGAAATGTGGTTTGTTAAGGGTGCTGGGAATTATGGCTCAGTGAGGTCTTGTAAAGTCTTGTAACACCTTTTAGCACCCTTAACAAACCAGGAATCCTTGGGGAAGAGGAGCCATGGCTGCTAAAATGGCATAAAAGCACTTTAAATACGTGGTGTGAATCAATCTCTACTACTGGTGATTGAGGACAGGGCTTTCCATGGCTATTGTAAACTCCATGTTCAGAAGCAGTTTCCTTTGAACAACAGATACTGGGTACAGGCTGTTGCCTTCACACATTAATCATGAGCTCCCGGAGGCTGGCTGCTGTGAGAAGGAGGATGCTGGGGTAGAAGGACACTTGAACTTATCCATCAGGCTTTTTCTTTCACTCTTTCTCTGATTTTGTGATTGAGCTTGGTTCCATATGAGCTACTTCTGATTCCATCAACTGGAGTTAAAATGAGCCTTCATTTAGGAATAGTGACTCATCAGCTTAGGTAAATTGGTTATTTTCCTTTTTGAGGCAGAGAGCTCAAGCTCACACCTTTCAGCTGTTTGTTCCTGGGGATAATTATTTCTTTCAGCTATCTCTCTCTCTCTCCTGAGATAATCCCTTTGAGGAGACAGTACCTTGAAGATATCAGTCATACTCCTACTTACATTTCCTCAAGTATTTGCTCTTTCTTGATGCCCATCCCCACAGACTAACTACTGCAAGTAGCCTCTCCCTTTGTCCTGTCAAGAACACTTCAATTGTATTGTATACAGAAGCCTTCACCAACCTGGTTCCCTCTAGATATTTTGGACCACAAGTCCAATCAGCCTCGGCCAGTGCTGGCTGCAGCTGATGGGAGCTGTAGTCCAAAACATCTGGAGGGCAAAAGCTGTCAAAATTTGATACCAGGCTAGTCCTTGCCTGGGCCAGCTGTATTGAGTTATGGTGATTGCCCATAATATGTCTTGTATTAATACGTGCAGTCTTCCTTAACTTCCCTACGACTCCATATTCACTTAAACTATTTTCAGAGGCAGGGCTGGCCCAAGGCATTTTGACACCTGAGGCAAACCACAAAATGGTGTCCCCTCAACCTGGCAAGGAGGGATGATTGAAGGTCTACATCAAGAACAAGGGAAGGGGATAAAGATCTACATCAGGAATAAAGATGGGAGGAGACCATTGCACCTTTAGAGGCAGTGGGCAGGGGGCTGCTGAGGAGACAGAAGATCCAGCCTCCAGGGAGTATGCCATAGCTGTCACTGCTACCAGGGAACAGCAGGTGATGCACTTCTTGAAGGTTGGATCTGCTGCCCCTGTAGACACTGCCATCTGTGGTGCTTGCCTCATCTTGAGTCATGGGTGGGTTGGCCCTGTTCAGAGAGGTGGTCATGTTAGCTTTTTATTTAACATAGACACCGTGGCAGGTGCTGTGTACAATTTACAATTGATATGGATATTTAGTGCTTAGGTCAGATGGAGAAAGCTCTAATGGCCACACTGCCAAAATGAATAGCTTTTTCTCTCATCCATGCAGCCCTTTCAAGTGTCTCTGTTTTCCAGGGAGTGTCCTGGATTTACAGAAGTTGTCCCAGTTTCTGATTTAATCCCACTTTTCCTTAGGACATCCCTATTTCATTGGAGAAATGTTGGAGGGTATGTCCATATAGATTATGCTTCTCACATATATACGGATAGGCACATACACACACACACACACACACACACACACACACACACCTTAATAATTAATAAACCAGATCCCATTTCTCCCACCCAGCCAAGATATTCCCTCTCTCCCAACCCAACCGCATAATAGACATGAACAAGGATGGACAAATTAGAGTAGGCCATGGGAAAGGAAGTGAATCTCCTATACAGGAACATCTTTGGTTTAATGTGTTAAATGAATCTCTGCCTGTTTATAAAGATACACTCCACAGGAATCTCATTTGAACCCAGCACTGCTTACATATCTAGGAGTCCATGGGCACCTGGCTGTGTGAGATTGCTGAGCAGAGTGTGCATTCAAAAAGTCTGATTTGGAGGAGTCAGTGGAAGTGGGAAAACAAACAAGGACCACAAGGAAAACACAAAGGCCCAGATGAAAAATAAAGAGAGTGGGGTGGCTGCTTTGGGCCCTGTAGCCTGAAGCATCCCACTTCCGACCTTATTTAATATATTATTTCATCTCCTACTTTTTCAGGTTTGTATTACATACATAACAATATGCATTGGAGAGCGTCAGGATTTTGTTCGTGAAATGATGTTTTCTCTTGTGCTGTGAGAAGATCCAGGGAAAATGCCCCTTTCTCTTGGATAGGGAATTAAGAGGTATTTTAACAGAATTCAGCTCTTTGAAGCGGTTGCCTCAATAAATCCCTTCCTGACACATCCCCTGAAGTGGGATAATTACCAAAGCTAGCAGCTCAGCCACCTTGATATTAGCACCTTTGACTAGGCAATCACCCCAGAGAGCAGAATGTGAAAGCCTCCATCTTAACACACAACCCAGGACTTGCTCTCCAGATGAGCTTCTTGTGGCACAGGGAACTAAGAGAGGCCATGCTTTAAAAAGCAATGAAGTCACTCCAGAAACTAATCGGAATTTACACAACAATGCTGCTTAAAAATCAATAGCGTTTTCTCTTATTCTGTTCTTACCAGCCTACTGAGTGCTTTTACTACTAAAGCTGCCACACAGAAACAATCACCTTCCTTGCTCAGCAGATCAACAATACATCTTCACATGGCTGCTTTCTCCAACGCCACAAAGCCCAGCAGGGTGGCAACAGAAAGAGGTTCTTTCTATTTTATTATTTATTTTATGCTTTTATCACGTTTACATCCTGCCGTGCCCCCTAGGAGCTTAAGGCAGCACACGTGGCTATATTATAGCCTCACAAAATCCCTTTGAGGTAGATTAGGCACAGAGAGAGGGGTGGGGGAGAGCAATTCATATCTGAGCAGAGATTTGAACCCAAGTCTGCACTTTGACTGCAAGCTACACCATGCATGCTCTCAAGGCTGCCTCTTGCTCCCAAAAGCTAGGCAGACTGAGGATTTTTGGGTGTGGGGAGAAGTTGCATTAGTAAAACTTTTCTCCAGTGTTTTTTATTTTGCAGCTGACATAGGAATGTGGCATTGACATGTACATCACAGTGACTGCCCCCTGTGCCCTCCCATGCCTCTTGTCTGCTTCTTACCATGACTCTGACTGAAATATATCTGCAAGGAAGACTGTCCGGTGCTTTCATTCCAATAAGTACTCTTTATTTCCCCATTTTCTAATCCTGACCCCTCTGGTTCAAGATCTCTGCTCCACTCACAGCCTGGCCTAGAAGCTTCTGTTTGCTTCCTGGTTCTGCCCTCCCTTCTGCTGCCACATTGCAGCTTTCCTTCGTGATTGATCATCCAGTTTTATTTGCTACCCCGACATTGGCCTGCCCCCAAATTCTGTCTCAGAGAAATTACTTTCTTCCTACACTGGGTAAACATCTGCCAGGGTTGGTTAAGTCTAGCAACTCCTGTGTCAACACGCCAAGATCAGGTTTGATGAACATGAACAGTCCCTGCCAGCCCTTGCGATCCTTTTTAATCATGAGGAGCTGCTGAGGTCCCGTCAATGAACTTTTCAATTCCATTTTTTCTCTGTGGGCACATGAATTCATATGCCTTACCTGCTGACAAGCGGCAAGACCACATCACTCCTTCAGACTTCTGAATGCATTTGCTTTGCTTGAGCACCTTCTTGTCCAAAGGCTGCTCCAAGCTACTATGTATGTAAATGTCACATTGAGAGGGTAAGAGGACGCCGTCTGCTTCTCTGCCAAGATGTGTGCTCTCTAGACTGGTTTGCAGTTTTGTGCTGGGAAGCACAGGCATTTGCAAGCCTTCTTGTATGCATCTTGAAACATGGATGCACAAACCTTTCTCTAATAAAAGTAGCATCATGAGCATCTCTAACACCACTATCTAGTGGATTGTTGTTGTTTTTTAGGAAGATGCTTTCAGCATTAATGTCTCCCAAATGTCACACCCACATTTTCTGATAGAACATATATGCGACCTGTACCTACCCAGAGTGTTGAGGGTGCTGTCCTCAGCATTGAAAGGCCCTGTCCTCGACCTTAAAACAATTGGGAGAAAAAGGAAAATATGAAAATAACAAAGTGGGAGGAGGGAACCCAGGTTTCTGCCAGAGAGATAATATTACAGCACTTATATGGTGCTTTAAATTATTCAACATGCATACAAACACACTACCTTCAACAATCTGAAAAAGTAGGTCAGTATCACCCCCATATTGGAAATTAATGGGGAGGAGGGAAGAGATGCAGCTAGAAGACAGTGGCCATGCTCATATGTAAAATTGACCACAAACCATGCTTAGTCAGCTTGGCCTGTGACCAAAGCTGCATGGATCTCAGGTGCTCTCCTGCTTTGTCTCTCCCCTTTTTAACATGACACACAAGCCAGGACTCCTGGTTCTTTTCCCCAAATCAAGCATCACAAGCATAGTCAAGAAGAAACCTTGGCTTCTGCTCCCTGTTTGTTTGGAATGGAGGCTCACGCCTAATGCTATGCCAGATGGTCCATGGCTCATTTCCCTGATTTAGGAAGGAAGGAGCAAAGTGGGAAGAGCTCAAGCTGTATGCACCAGCACAAAGCTCATGCACAGGCTAATTTCACTACTGTAGCTATGGCTTGTGGCCAGCATTCTGTGTAAATGAGGCCAGTGACGGGCTTAAGACTACCTAACAAATCCAGGGCAGAGTTGAGGTTTGAACCAGGTACTTCCTGACGTGTAGCTCAGCCACTATGCTACACCAGAGGCACTATGGCTTAGAGTAGCTGCTGAGAGCTAGAGCAAGGGGTGGCTATTGCCTTCAGTCTGCTTAGGGGCTTCCCAGACACATCTGATTGGCCATTATGGGAAACAGGATGCTGGGAGAGCTGTACCAGTGATCTGACCCAACAGGGGTCTTTTTATGTTCAGAGCTGCCTCAGAAAGCCACAGTCATGCAATGGAGAGCTGGAGCTCACATAAAAGGGGAAAGTTGTATCCTCTGAGCTTCGGGGAAGCTGGATACTGCAGGCGAGGCTTTGAAAGAGAGAGGAAACAAAGGCAGTGCAAGAGGTCTGATAAACAAAGGAAATGAAAGCAGGAGCCATCTACCTTGTTTCAGAGGAAACTTCTGTAACAAGAGGAGCAGATTCCAGCAGGAACTGTGATGAGCCTGGAAGGAGTTCTTGAAAATTCTGAGAATTTTCTTCTTCAAGTGCCTTTGCTGATTTGGGGATAGGTGGGATCAAAGCAGTACCTAAAGACCTCCTCAGATTCTCACCATGGCTATGTAAGATCTGCAGGAAAGCATGGTTTAAAAGACACGGGACAATGACATTATCACTCAGTATTTGCAGGTAGCCAAAAGACACCTCTGTGTTGAGGCTCATGGAGTGCAAGAGTCAGCAACTGGTTTGACCCCTTTATATATATAAAATCACTTAAAATTTGCTCCTACCTCCTGAGCAGGACTTCCAAGTAATCTACTTTGACCTGCTGGTAGCCATGTATCCTCAGACATGGCTGTTACTGCCTGAACAATGTCACTTTAATGCATGAACTAAGATGTGACACGGAAAGTCACTTCACTAAGGGTTGGTCAAAACAATCAGAAAAAAACACGCGAGGCAGTAGCACTTCTAGGTGAATTCTGCTGTTCTACAAAAAGCCTCCATGCCCTTGGAAACCTGAAGTCCTCTAAGCAAAAAATAAAGTGGGACTAGGATTAGTCCTGGAAAGTGGTAAAGAATAATGTGGCACAGTGGAGACAAGGTGGTACAGGGGAAACTAAGGGCTCATCAACACTTTGGCTGGTCCCTTGCTTAGAAAGCACTTGCCTGAGAGGCTTTCCCCTTGCCCCACTCCTTTCCCAGGGAAAACCCACTCTTTAGCTCTAAATCTGAGAAAACGTCAATCTGGAGAAAACCCAAATTGCCATTTGCTCCGATTGAGCACTAAAGAGTAGTTTTCCCCGGGGGTAAGCAGTGGAAGTGTGGATAAGCCCTGAGACTAACCTCATTTTCCTTCACATATTTTTATAAACAACAGTTGCTGCATCAATCTCTAAGAATAAGAGAGGGACAGATCAGCCCTTTTTTAAAAAAAAAGAAGACTCTCTAAACCAAATTCTACTGATGCAGAAAAATAAGCACTTGAGCTGCACAGAACTTTTCAAGGGGCAAAAATGTGGGAAGTTCTGTGTGGATGAAAGATAGACTATTTCAGCTGAAGTACAACATTTTCCAACATCTCGGTGCTCTCTGCATCACCTGCAGTATGATAGCGCCCTCTGCTTGTCCTCCTCCTGTCTTTGGCAGGAGAATTTCAACACTCTATTCCCTTTTTCTGTTCTTATATATTTTACTGGAATAAATTTCGATCACACTCTCCAGGATGTATCTATTATTCCTGCCAGACAGCCTTGAGCTCCGGCCAATTTTGCAACTCCTTCGACCTTCCATCAAAATCTGCTTCTCAGAAGTCTATTAATTTTTTACATTAGTGCTCCTCCTGCCGGCCCTCATCAGCTTCTCAGCTCCTGGATGATAAGGTGTGATCACCGGATCCTTGGTCCTCTGCAAATGCCACTTAACAATTTGTCATATCTAACTGCAAGTTATTAACTCCAGAGGCGCTTCATATCTCACGGACTGTGCAGTATAACACAGAGGATCTTCCCATATCAGGAAGAGATTTCTAATGCCAGGTATCTTGCCAAACTGATGTTTCCTTAATGTCACTGTGGAACTAGTGACGGCTTGTTGGCCTCGACTGCCAACAGATAGGCCTCTTGATTCCTTTGCCCAGCTGAGTAGGCAGCATCACTGATTTGATTCAGTATAAGGTAGCTTCATAGGTTCAGTTTCTTTCCTAGTACACATTTTATCCCTTTGCATGTAATTTTCTGCCCCTCTTCAAAGCAATACAATTTGAACAACAGACAGCGCATTCATACCAATTTGATTATGCTTGTGCAACAGACTCTGCAATTCAGCTGCAGACTAAATCAAATGTGATTTGGTGCAATTGACCCAACATCATAACCTCGCCATGCCGGCAAACATTAGCTCCTCAGTTTTTAATAACAGAAACAATAAAGCGAACCCAAATGCTTCTAGAAGCATAAATCTTCTCAGGCACAAATACCACCGCATTTCAGCATCTTCATTTGACAGTACCTCTTGAGTGTTTGCTATTGACTCCCGGTTGTCCGCTCTAACTTCCAAGCAGTTTCCCAACACTTTCTGCTGTCTTTCACGAGCTCCGTCAGCCTCTGGGGTAGTGGGGATGCTCTGAATAGGAGGCATGGGCTTGGAAGCGACCAGCAGTCTTTGAGAGGCAGATCTGGAAATGGTTGGTTTCAGGGCAAGTCCCTGAGGACCCACAGAGTTCAATAAGCCTGGAAATGCAAAACACAATGGATGTGACATTTTCCCCCTGAACGTATGCGCATACACTCAGTACATCACATAAAGGACAATGAGCTCCTCGTACAGCAGCTTGGTGTTGTTGGGAACAGCCTGAAAAACTTGAAAATGTCATTAGAAAAGCCAGGTACCTTTTCCCTCTCTAGAAAATTGTATACCACCACATTCTCACCCTGCAATGATGTCCAGCAGCTATGCAATTGGACAAGATACCAGGTCAAATGCTGCTGTGATTGTGGGCTGCTGGAACCAGATTCATGGCTCAAGTATATTCAGTCTCTGGAATACGTGCCAAGTGGGCATTGTCTCTTGTTGGATAGAGAGAGGAAATACACCAATAGGGCCAAACAAGAATCTGTTGTCATACCATTGAGCAGCAGTACCAAGAGTGGGGCTTGGAAATGGTTGCTGTTGGGTGATGTTGGGTGGAACAGTGGAAATGGCTCAAAGGCAATAGTTGTCCTCCATGTTACAGAGGCCTAACTGGCCTTCCCTAGAAGTCAGGCACCTAGTGTCACTGGCTCCATGCTATGGGACACTCTTCCAGAATACATTTTGCAACCTTGTGATTTTCAGGCTTCTCTTGAAGACCTTTGCAACTCTTTATGGGTTTTTCCCCCATCAGCCAGTCACTTTAATTATCATCCTATATTGTTCTTATAATGCTGTATATTTTATTGTACATCTTTCTGTATATAGTGGTACCTCGGGTTACATACACTTCAGGTTACAGACTCTGCTAACCCAGAAACAGTACCTCGGGTTAAGAACTTTGCTTCAGGATGAGAACAGAAATCCTGCTCCGGTGGTGCAGCGGCAGCAGGAGGCCCCATTAGCTAAAGTGGTGCTTCAGCTTAAGAACAGTTTCAGGTTAAGAACAGACCTCTGGAACGAATTAAGTACTTAACCCGAGGTACCACTGTACCACCTTGTAATATTGTATAAAATGGCAGTATATGAATACTTCTATCAATAAATTAAAAAGTTGTTATTTATTCAATTTCTATCTTGCTCTTCCTCCCAAAGGAGCCCATGTTTATCCACAACAATTTCATTAAGAACAGGTTTTATTTTATTATTTTACTTTAACTATTCTATTTTAAACAAACATACTGCAGTTTTCAGTGCTAACACTTTGCAGACATGTGTTGCCAGGTTGGTTCCCAGTTTTTGTGTGTGTGTGTGTCAATGGCAGATTTTGCCCACTCTTCATTTGTTCAGCTTTCAACACTGTGGTTTAACGGAGTGTTGAGCTTTAGAACTAGGAATGGAACAGAACCCATAAGTCTCACTGGGCTATTTACTATGGCTCAGTCTCCATTCTCCATCTGTAAAATGAGAACAATGGCAAATCTGTCTCAAGGGATTGTTGCAAGGCTGAAAGCTGTAAGGACTTGAAACGCTTCGCACAAAGAGCTGTTATACATCACTGCAAATAAGACCAATCCTTCTTATTGGAATCAGTAGGCAAGCATCCATCATACCTTTGCTTGATGCATGGATCCCCTCAGACATTCTCCTCTTCTTGAGCTTGTCCTTGATTTGTGCAGTTTCCACGGCTGCACTGCTCACCTCCAGTTCACTGGGATCTTGCCTTGGCAGAGTGCTAGAAAGGTCAGCCATGGCTGCTCTGTCTGTATTCTTCTTCAGAAGGCCATTCCTAATATCCAGAGGTTCTCCTTTGCCTCCCCACAAACATGCCTGCTTCTTTAGAACTGAATGAAGAGAAGCTGCAAGGGAATTTAATGAGAGGCATTCAGTTACTCAACCAGGACCCCATATTGGGGAATCAGGTTTAGTCCTCCTGCTTATTTCTGCAGAGAACAAGAAGGTCACAGTGGCCAGCTGGTTTGGCTAGAACTTCCCTCACCAGCTAGTTGCCAAATGGAAGGCTAAACAGGACCACAGCCAATGGCTGGGCTTTTGTATACTATACATCCTTCACCTTAGGCAGCAAATGTCTTTGACCAGCTCTGCTTGAAGGAATGGGCAGAGTTTCACTAGGGGTTTATTTGAAAGCCATGAATGTGAAGCAGAGTAGGCCTGTCTCTCTTCCCACATTTGCAGCACGTTGGCCAAATATTGCCTTCCTCTACTATAAAAGTCAAACAGTCCCCATGCTTGGAGATCCTCAAAAATTGTCATTCTTGCTAAAGTGACCAAAGGCAGTGTGCCTATCCCTTGGACACTTACCCAAGCATAAAAGCCAGTGAACTCTATGGGACTTACTCCTATATTTATTTTATTTTATTTGTTCATTTCGTAAAAGCTATATACCACTTGTAAGACGGATAAAAATCTCGGCTAGATATTAGGCAATTTCAGCCTGCATCTCGTTTTCCCACTTGCAAGCTGGGCTTTACTTTTACAGGAACAGGACCCATCCAGACTGGTGTAGTTCTGTGTTTGTATTCTGCAACACCCTACTGATGCAATAATGGTGCATCAGTAGTGGACAGGACAGTCCATACATTGTTCTGCTTTATTAGTTGTTCCCCAATGCTCCCCCAAGGTTACCAAGTTACTGCATTCTTCTGCAACCAAAACAAAACGAATACCCCCACAACTCTGAAAAAACTTTTGTGGTGTCAAAAGTTACGGGATTTTAGCAAGACGTTATGGGACATGCACCAACTGGAAATTAGTGTAAAGGTAAAGGGACCCCTGACCATTATGTCCAGTTGTGGTCGTCTCTGGGGTTGTGGCGCTCATCTCGCTTTATTGGCTGAGGGAGCCAGCGTACATGCTTTCGAACTGCTAGGTTGGCAGGAGTTGGGACCGAGCAACGGGAGCTCACCCCATCGTGGGGATTCGAACTGCCAACCTTCTGATCGGCAATTCCTAGGCTCTGTGGTTTAACCCACAGCGCCACCCGCGTGTCCACCCTGAAACTCTTACAGGGGCAAAGAGTGCTGAAAGAAAGGTTGCATATAGTTGCCCCAATACCATCCTGAACACAAACTATCATGAATGCACACTGTTGAGGATGTCTGGAATGGCCCCAGGTCACAAATCCCACCTAGTCTTCCCCATCCTAACCATCATCTGCTGTCGTCCATCCGTTCCCACAGAGCTGCAAATTGGAATCGATGCTCCCTCCTCTCAGCGACCTGCATCCAGGCTTTGCTTTGGGAACGCTCCCGCAATATATCGCAACAGGAGCTCGGTGCTTGGCTTTAAAAACAAAAACAACACGAATGAAATGAAAAAGGAGGGTCAGAGCAATCATTTGCTAATCTTCCATGTCTAAAGGCCTATTCAAAGGATTAGTAAGTCTTTGAAGCAGCAAATGCGTGGCTGTTTCCTAAGTTGCTTGCACAGACACTCTTCCCTCTTGGAAGTGCTCCTGCTTTAAGAAGACTGTGTTTCACTCAAGTTCAGACTGCAGTGGAGAGGTCACCAACCTTTTTGGCCTCAAGGCCCATTTGCAAAATGGAGAAACTGTCGTTTGCACAGGGCACCACACAAACACAGAGGCATCAACCTATTAAATTAGCTGCAACAGAATGCTTATTTCAAGCCTAATTTCAGCAGAGGTACAGAAGGGGACACAATGGAAGAAGGGGACACAATGTCTCATGACCAGCAGGAATGGAGCATTTGCAGCCCATTGAAAAGGCAGAATATATCCATAAGGTCCCACCTTCATGCAGTACTATGCCAACATTTTGCAATATCCTCCCCCTGCAAGAATGTGTACAACAAAAGAGTAGTAGATGCATGTGTTTGTAACTGTGCCCCCCAAAAAAAGTTTCTGTCCAGTGGTGGACCTATGTTTATGGGGCCCTGAAGCTTGAAGTGACTCTCAGACTTTGGAATTGTTGACATATATACAACAAAAAATTAATTAATTCGAGTTGTGTGACTCAAATTTGGTCTACTAGACCCAAATAATTTAAGCAATGTGGACTAAAGTCGCTTCTGGGGCCCCTCCAGGATTAGGGTTCCTGAAGCTTAAGCTTCATCAATTTCATAGTAGATCCATCCCCTGTTACTGTCTTATGTTCTTGTTGGACAATACACCCAAGTATAGAGTAGATAAACAAATGAAGGCTCATCCACTCTTGCCCTTGCCCCACAACTTTCACCCAAGGAAACCCCATCTTTACTGCCAAATCAGAGCAAACATCAACATTTGCTCCAATTTATCGCTGAAGGGAAAGCAGCATGGCAAGGGCAGAACCACTTGGACCCATGCCTAGAAAGCACAGGACAAGCAAAAAACCACTGAGACTCATGCTTTCTAGACATGGGACAAGCACAAGTCTGGATATGCCCAGAGTTTGCTAAAGAAACCGCTATTCCATACTCAGGGTTAGTTTCACATGGCTGATTTGGGCAGGGGTTTTGGATAAATACATTTTTTTATTTTGTTTTGCTTGAACTACATATTTTATATCCTTGTGAGTGGTTCAGCACACACTCAGACTCTAGGTCAACATGAGCTGGGAAGGAATTGAGAAAGTCCCATTGTGTGAGTGGCCTTCTGCTCCTCCAAATTTGCATGGAAGCTAATCATCTTCAGATTGTGTATACCTCCTGGCAGGGTTGTTTTTTATGTTTCTTTTTTGGGGGGGCATTTCCTTTACATTTGGCATTTGCTTTACACTGAAAAGATTGCATGCTAAGTAAGTTACACAAAAACTATATCACCTATTTTAAACATCTGCCACCAGTAGCACAATATTTGGTGGAAAGTACAGCGTAACAGAAAGAGAGCTGATTGTAATGAACGCATGTCAGGACAGAAGCTGCAGCATTCTCATGTCCTTATTTGTGGCACCCTGTAAATGCTGCTTAACTCTAATCAGCCTCAGTCAGGGATGATGGGGATTGTAGGCCAACATCAGGTTACCCATTCCTGGTGTATTGTAACCAGTAAAAGTATTTATGGAGAAATTTTCATGGTATATTCTGGAACACTGATGAAGCCAGACACAAATCTTAAGCAAGAGCATTCTCCAGATACATGATATGTGATAACCTAGCAGAAAGTTTCAAATACGGGAAGATAGAAAGAAAGGTCTTTACCTGCTGTGAACTCATCATGTGTTGCCATGTGTGTAAGGCAGGGCCCAGGATACTTCTACAACTAAGAGGCTACTGGTTGGCTTTCTTGTTACTGGCTCCACAGCTGCTGTTGTTTCTCTCCCAGAACATCCAAAGGTCTGCACAAAACAACAACAAAGACAATGCATTCTCTACATTCTTACACTTTATCAGCTAATGCAACTCCTGAACTCTCAGCTATAGGCTAAGGGCTGCTTCTTGTGTCTTGAGGCCCCGGGACCACCCTATAGCCTAAAGTGTAAATAAGTAGACACCACACAGGATATTGGTTTGGGATCAAATAAGGCCACAACTTTATTGGTTACAGATTGAGGTTTGGCCATAGGCATTGTGGTAAGCAACAGTGCGTGTCACTTCTGCCCATCCACAGGGAGTGTTGCTAAGGGTGAAGCTGGTGGGGGGATGCCCTGTGACCTACGTCAAATCGGGGCACCCCCCAAGCGGTTCCCTTTGGAGGAGTGGTATGGCCCTAGCCCCTGACTAGGTGTCAGACAGGAGCCACTCCTTCCAGATCCTTTTAACAGGATACCCTTACCCATGGAGGGGCAGGCAGAGGCTACAACCTCCTCTCCAAACAAAACTAGGCTTACCCAATGCCTAACTGCCTCACAAAGTTGTGATGATTGCTAGGAGGTAGGCGAAAACCCAAATGGCGGTGCCAATTAGCCAAGTGGGGAAAACCCTGGGAATGGCACCAAGGGCCGCAGTTGGTTGGTTGGCCCTGCACCCACTACCTCCCGCTGCCATTGGCTCGATTGGTGGCAGAAATACGATCTGGCCAGCAATAGGACAGTTTTCCAGGGAGGCCCAGGGCCCACCCACAAAGCCACCAGCCCACAAAGGAGGGTGAATGGACTTACATTAACAATTCCCTACACAGAGATAATCTCCACGTAAGAGGAAGAAAGCAAACATAACACCACGAGTACTGGTGTTGCATGCCAAGATGTTAATAGTAATCCATGGCTTCCTATGAAGAGTGACCCCTGTCCAAGCCCCAACCTATAACAGGCAGCCGCTTGCACATTGGAGACTTGCAATACAATGGTACGAATGCCTGATGTAAGCAGATGCATGGATCATTTCCTTATGAAGAGGCCCAAAAAACGTACAGTTATTAGTTAAGGACTAATGTACAAATATTGTAAAAGGCAACACAGGCACACAAATTAAAAGATCACTTAAAAAAATAAGTGGCTAAAATGGTGTCACTGGAAAAGGTCATACTAAAGGTGTCCCAAAGTTCTGAGGTGTTGTGAGTAAGCCTTTCAACACACATCAGGGATTGGGAACCTGTAGAGCTCTAGGGCCACTGTTATAGCTCAGTTGGTAGAACATGAGACTCTTAATCTCAGGGTCATGGACTTGTGCTCTACGTTGGGCAAAATATTCCTGCATTGCAGGGGGTTGGACCAGATGGCCCTTGCTGTCCCTTCCAACTCCACAATTCTTTGATTCTATGAACTCCCATCAGAACCACCCATCATGGCCAATGGTTGGGGAGGACAGAAGTTCTAGTACCACAACATCTGGAGACCTGCATATTTCCCATTCCGGTACTAAATATGTTAAAATAATATCTCTTTAAGCAAGTCCTAAGAGTAGCAGAAACACAATTGTCACCCGAGAAGATGGTGCTACTGTTGCGCTCTTAGCAAAACAAAGCAAGGCAAAAAACCCCACCACTCAGATCTTCCGTGATCTGAACAAAGAGATGGAAGAACTCTGAGGAAAGCACAGAACAAGCATCTGGTGATGACGACACCATGTAGCTCAAGCGAGCAAAGCCTGGCTATCCTACAGTAAACACCTAACCTAGGTCTGCAGATATTGCAGCTTATGGTAAAATTCACATTAATTTCACTGACAGGCAAGCATGATTATGATGATAAACACCTTTGACAATTCCACAGACAGGATCTGAGTGAGGGAAGAGTCATCCCCATAATAAACCAACAGTGGTGAGGACCCAGAGCGATTGATTTGTGAGGGGGAGAAATTGGATGCCTCATGCTTGGTTAAGCCATAAGACATGAGAGCGTGAGCCTAGGATGGAGCAGCCAGAAGTATTTATTCATTCTTCCAATAAAAATGAAATATTGAGAATACCTCTGTATACGCCTCAACACAAAATAAATGTGCAAGGATAAAATACTAGCCAATTAACTGTAAATTTAGATGAGTTGACCATTTATTAATTTATTGATCTATTTATCACGCCTGCAGTCTGCCAACCATTTCTCAGGCATCTTCCCCGTGCAGAAATATATTTACATTTGTTTCTCCTCGGTATTGTGCTCTGCTACATGAATTCCTAAATTTAATCACATGGAGGTGCAGGAAAGTTTCAAGAGCAGAGACAATTTGGATTTTTCATGCTGAACAAAAATCCCATCTTAGCAAGGAGAGCATGCAGTGTAGGAAAACCATTTGGCAGTAAGTGTGTCAAACAAATATATATATATATATATATATATATATATATATATATGCTCTTGTGCTCCCTTTGTATTCATATAGCTGTGGGTTTCTATCATGCAAAACAGTGGCGTAGCGTGGGGGTGCAGGGGGGGCCGGGCGCACCGGGCACAACATCGGGGGGGCGCTCGCACTCGCAGCTCTCTGCCCCTACCTGGCTCACTCACTCTCTCTCACTGCAGGGGGCGCAAATTACTTGCCTTGCCCCGGGTGCTGACAACCCACGCTACGCCACTGATGCAAAATCATAGGAATTCCTTTCTCTCTCCAGTATGATAAAACTTGTGACTGAATGAGATAAAGGGCATCTTTATGAACTAGCTAAGTGAGTTGAAGCTGTGGATGGCACCCCCCCCCTTTCATTCTTAACAATCTCTTCTCCTCTCTTGACCTCTTCCTTGATGGATAATCAGCTCTAAAGTCACCGTAGCAATTCTGGCTTTCATTGGCTTATCTGCCCTGATGCAGCAAAGAGGCACGCTAGCCTTGCATAAGGCTGCTAGGAGGGGGAGAACTCAGTCTTTCTTATAACGATTTGTTTTTAAAATTTATATCCTGCCACTTCTTCCAGAAAGGCTGTGTTCAGCTCACAATGAAAACAGCTATAAAAATACTAACACAGAAGCCCTTTCCAGGCAGCCTTGATCTCCACATACTCAGAAGGTCGTGTCTGCAAGGAGCCTACATGCACATACATTACTTGGTTCCTATTTATACATACTCAAGGGCCCCAGACCATACACACAGAAGCTTGTATGCAGGACCCTTGAATGCATGGCTGTCAAGGTAGGAGCCGTTGGGTTCCAGCCCTCTCCATATGCATTCCTTTGTACGCTATGTGTTTTTTATAAATACAGTGGTACCTCGGGTTACAGACACTTCAGGTTACAGGCGCTTCAGGTTACAGACTCTGCTAACCCAGAAATAGTACCTCGGGTTAGGAACTTTGCTCCAGGATGAGAACAGAAATTGTGCGGCGGTGGGAGACCCTATTAGCTAAAGTGGTGCTTCAGGTTAAGAACAGTTTCAGGTTAAGAACGGACCTCCAGAACGAATTAAGTTCTTAACCTGAGGTACCACTGTATACAGTATTCAACGTCCCCAATCCCATCTGCTGCCCCTGCTCCAAACCTCCCCATGGCTATTTGTATGTTGGAAAAGATTCTGCTCAGCAGAACATATGCATAGATAACTGTATGCAGAAAACAGTGGAAAGAGCAGGTTTCCTAGATGTGGATAAAGCCCTGCCTGCCTATTTGTTGTACGTGCACAAGCTCTAGTCTTCAAGTGAGATCAGGAAGGAATAAGGACAGTGTGCCTGGCTCCATTCTCTTCTCTTCCTGAAAAAAATGGTTCACGCTGATGCCAGAACAGCCCCCATTTGGTGATAATCTCAAAACAGCAAAGTAAATAAAAGCCAACAGATTTCTAATAGGAGCGTATGGACTAACATTTTTATGTGAACATTGTGTGGACACAACAAAAAGAAACCTTGCATGCATGCAGAGCACGGATGCAGCAATGAACACCCATCTGAAAGCACCCTTCAAACTGGAGATAGATAATAAAGCAGAACCTGCAACAGAATCAGGGAATGAGTGTCTCCTCCCTCCTAAAAAGAATGTTCCTGTTCAAGCTTCCAGCCAGCCAATCCCTCCAAGCAGGACATTCGACTTCTCGTCCATGTGTTTCATTTTTTGTTTTCAATGGTTACTCTTCTTTGCATGACTACTGAGCATGCTCAGTTCTCACTGGGTGAGTGTGTGCATTTGTTATATGTTTTTAATAATAATAATAATAATTTATTTATACCCTGCCTGTCTGACAGGGTTTCCCCAGCCACTCTAGGGGGAAATTGTACTTCTGCAAATAAATGCCATTTCCACAGTAGTCAAAGTTCTGGGGCTCCCCTCAATGCTAACCCTAACTTGCTGTTGTTGCCATCTCTTTATATGCCACTTCTGTTACCAAGAGGTTCTTCAAACGGGATGGAGGCCGCAGTAATTTGTCAAAAGGTTGCATAAATCAGATTCATCGCAAAGTAACCAGCCTCTTTGATTACAAGCAGAAGCATGAGTAGGAACGAGAGTGAGAGCAGGAAAGATTAATTCTGAATCCAAACTTCAGGAGCAATTAAACACCAATAATGAGTGCCAAGACTCGGACACAGCAAATTATTCAAGCATTGTGCCCAGTGTTTTCAGAGTACATATTGTTACAGTCTCCACTACAGTTGTGGCCAAGATATACTAATTTCTGAAAGGTTGGCTGATTGACTGCAAAAAGTTGCAGAACAATTTAAGGAAAACAAAGAGGAGAGAACAGAAGGTTTCTTTTCATTTGTGCTTCCTGGGGGACTGACCTAGTGGGCATCGAAGTCAACAAAAATACTTCTTGTTGACTTCAGTGAATTCTAGATCTTATGCAGAAGTTGCTAAAAACAGAAATGATATAGTTTCCAGATAATCACTCTGCAGATACTGTTGCTGCTGGAGTCAAAAACAAATCTGTGAGAATTCTTCAGTTCTTCATCAGAAAGAGGGTTGATTCATACAGGCATGTTCATCACTTGAGTGGCACAATGGTTCAGTGTATCTGGCTGTTAACCAGAAGGCTGGTGGCGTGAGCCCTCCCAGGGACTGCTGTGGGCAGGATTTCTTCTTAGCACTAGATTGGACCAGGTGACCCTCAGGATCCCTTTCCAACTCTACAGTTCTGTGATACTATAGCTGCAACATCCAGTGATGATTTGCATGTGTGAATAAGTTTAGATATAAAAACCACTGTGTGCTTGGTTCTATCTGCCCTGTTTACCCAATACGATTTCTCTTTTTTTTGTGGTACCTAGCCAATCGCTATCCTTATTTTGCTTGGAAATACTTGGAGCAGAAGTGGGGAATCCACGGCCCTCTTGCATGTTGTTGGACTTTAGCTCCCATTAGCCAGCCAGCATGGCAAATGGTCTTGGATTGTGGGAGCTGTGGTCCGCAAAACATCCAGAGCATCACAGGTTTCCCATCCCAGACTTGGAAGATGCTTTCACAAAGATGTTAATGTGTGTAGCATCAGAGAGCAGCAGATTCTCTTCCATCCTTCCTGCCCTCATAACTAGTATACTCTGGACACGTATTATCTGGATAGTACACACGGCTGAATGTTCTCCAGTTACAGCTCTTTTGAAAGACTTACAATCAGATCCATTGTGAGACTGGGCATTCTTTTTAACATTCTTATATTTTAGCAGCCCGTGCAGGACATGCTATTGCAGGGTAAATGAATGGTGGCCTCCACTATGTCATTGCTAAGGCACCCCATGAGCTGGGGACTCCGGGGGCAGGGTCCAATGCCTTGCTCCCTGCAGCTCATCAGGGGCTACTATGGCCATTCATCAACCCAGTTGGACCAGGGGACTTGGCTGCCTCGATCTAACTGCTGCTCCAGCCATGGTTCCTGAACTTGAGCAACTGGTCCTTGGGGATATGTATCTTGTCCCCACATTATCCACCCATTTTGGAACTTCACCAAAGATTCACCTGCCTCCGCCTCTTCAGATCCTTATCTGACTGCTGGGTGTCAGGAACTGAAGGGAGATTTAGTCCAAACAGATCATAAGGCCGGAAGAAATTACTATAGGGTAACCACAGCTAACCAGAAACCCTCCAGAGTCATTCCAATTTCTTGAGCAGATTAAAGCCTTATGAGATGCTACTGTCTGCAAACAAACAGATGCTACAAGGCATGGAAGCCAAAGCTGGCAATGCTAAATGACTCAGATAATTCTATAGTTCCACATGCCACCAAATAGGAGGCTGCAACTCTTGGGTCACTTCGACTCTTTCGCACCACACCTGACGCTATCTGCAAGATGGATGAGATCCTTACCTGCCTGTTGACACTTTCAGGGCAAAACCGTCTTTGCAAGCACCAAGAAGCTTCTCTACATCCTCCGGCAAGTTTCCTCTTGCCGAGTCAGAGATGAGACAGCATCTCCCGAAGTAACAGCAAGAAAAGGATTCCTCTCTAGAGAGGGAAGAGAGTAACCAGCAAACATCTCTAATAATGAGCTAAGGGAGTGCCCGCCTCATATCCCTTAGAGGAGCTGAGAGTCCCTGAAATTGCTTGTCAATGACAGGAGGATGGCATCGCTGAAAACATTCTCAGGAATTCTCAAAAGCCAGGAGGAGCCAGTGTTGAGCATTCGTTGTTCCCACCAGTTGTGCTTTTGCAGAGCTCTGCTTCTTGAAGCTGTACCCATTTGTCAAGGAGAGGCAAATGACACTTCAGCAAACTAGCTCTTGCACAGTCTTGGGATTTGCCATCTGCGTACAAAGGTGACCAAGATCCATCTACTCAATGACACCTTAGAATTCTCTCTCTGCTCCCCACTCCAGTCACTAATTTTTATTGATTGATATAGTTCCCTCACTGTGCATAATTCATTACTAAGTACAAGATTGGTGCTTGCCTAGGAAAGCTTACAGTCCTAACGTTCAACAAAGAGGAAACAGAGGACCCCTCCTGGTGTTTTCCTGCAACGTTCTTGACACATCAATAGTGCATTAGTGGCAAATTTATTCTGCTTTAGTTTGCTCATAGAATCATATAATTGTAGAGTTGGAAGGGACCCTGAGGGTCATCTAGTCCAACCCCCCTGCATACAATGCTTGTTCTGCAATGCTCCCTCAAGGTTGCTATATTATTGCTGTCAGGAAGAGTGATGTAGGACAAAAGTGGGACAAAAGTAAGCCAGAGCATTTGTGGTATAAAAAGCAGTTGTTGCTTCAACAGGAAGTTACAGACCCACATTAGGCAAAGGATTCCTGCACTGCAGGGGGTTGGACTAGATGACCCTTGGAGTCCCTACAATGCTACAATGATTCTATTCTTCTGTGTCTCGATAGGCCTGCTGAAACAGGAAATATTTCAGCTTGCTTCCAAAACAGCATAATGAAGGCTGTTCCTGTCAATAAAACAGATTTACATGAATAGCTAGGAAGTCTTTGAAAAACCTTTTCTCAATCAGTAACATGAGGCATACTGAGTAAACATCCAGATTTATTTTTTTAAAGCTTCAAATTCAGAATTTGCTTTCCCCTTTCCCTATAAAGTACTTAAAATTACACTTTTAATTAAACGGCCATCAAAAAGCCATTGCTCTTTGACGGCTCCATAGTTACTGCTTGAGTAGTCATGGGTACCCATTTTGGGAAATTTCTGAACCATTTAACAGGAACTGTTGAGCAATTACTATAGTGGTACCTCTGGTTATGAACTTAATTCGTTCCTGAGATCCATTCTTAACCTGAAAGTGTTCTTAACCTGAGGTACCACTTTAGCTAATGGGGCCTTCTGCTGCTGCTGCGCCACCGGCATGCAATTTCTGTTCTCATCCTCAGGTAAAGTTCTGCTTCCGGGTTAGTGGAGTCTGTAACCCGAAGTGTTTGTAACCCAAGGTGTTTGTAACCCAAGGTACCACTGGTTAGGGGTTCAAGGGCCAAGCTTTATTTTCACTCAGTTGAAGGAGATTCAAATAAATAAAGGCTTCAGTTGGGGCTGAATGTGTACGGAGACCTGTGCTTCCTGTTTCTGGTACCCCAAAGAAGCATGAGCTGAGCTGTATTATAACCTGAAAAGTGGAATTGTCTACTTATTAACTCTCAGTGAATTATTGTCACTGAACATATCTTGCTAATGTGCCTGAATCTGGGATGCTAGAATTGAAGTCGGGGGTGTCTCGCCCAGAGCTGAGGTTGTCAACTTTTTTAAAAGAATTTTGCTACCTTGGACTGAGTGCTCCCAAGCATGTGTAGAATTCCCTTTTCTAGAGACACACATTTCCAATAGAAGGGTTCAGACATGTGCAAAACTCCTTCTTCTGTGAAGATAACACTGTCCTCTTTTGAAAGAGTCTGCCCAGGATTGCCACCTCACCCTCAGCTCATCTAACTAAGACAGTGACAGCTCCACTGACGCTGCACAGCTAGGACAGACCATTTCAGCTGAGACAGCTTTAGGTTCTGCTCGGGAGGGGGGGGAGGTATATGCAGTACCTGAGACACAAACACATGCACTCTTGCCAAATACACCCTGTAAAATAACCCCAGCCACCGCCATGTCTCCTAGAAAGGGGTGGACCCCAAACTGCAATGCAGCATGTATGGTATGTGAGAAAGGCACAGGAGGAGCCTCGGATTGGCCGTTTGAAGCAGACCATTTTGGCGGGAAAACCATCCCTCAATTTCACTTGTGTATTCTGGCTGCCGGGGAAGGAGGCAGAAAGCAAGGGGCCGCAACCGCCCGCCCCCCGGGTAAAGCGGTGAGTGGCCATTGGGTTCACAAGAGCACACTATTCACAGAAAACAAATGCATAGAACACAACAAATGGAACCACCATTACTCTGCATGTGTGTTCATCTGTCTTATGCTAACTAACCACAAAAAGTAAAAGGTAAAGAACCCCTGGACGGTTAAGTCCCATCAAAGGCGACTATGGGGTGAGCCACTCATCTCACTTTTCAGGCCGAGGGAGCTGGCGTTTGTCCGCAAAATGTGGCCAGCATGACTAAACCACTTCTGGTGCAGCATGACGGAAACCAGAGCACACGGAAATGCCGTTTACCTTCCTGCCACAGCGGTACCTGTTTATCTACTTGCATTGGTGTGTTTTTGAACTGCTAGGTTGGTAGAAGCTAGGACAGAGCAACGGGAGCTCACCCCGTTGCGGAGATTCGAACCCCTGACCTTCTGATCAGCAGGCCCAAGAGGCTCAGTGGTTTAGACCACAGTGCCAAAATGCCCCGACTGGATTGTTTTTTCCTTCACAATTCCAAAGCCTGTCCAGAAATGGTACATCACAATTCCAAAGCCTGTCAAAAATTGTACAGTTCGGGCTACTTGACAGGCCGTGTAGGCTCATCCTTAATGGTGGAATTAAGTTTCCATGCAGCTCACTCAACATTGTGCAAGAAATGCCTACAATCATACAGCAGTACTTGCGGCACCTTTTGTCACTCACCTCCAAAAAGGCACAATGGCTACAGTGTGGTAGGTTGATAGAGTATACTCTCTTTCTCTTGTCTGCCTCTCTGCTTAACCTACCTCACAGGGTTGCTGTGAAGATAAAGCAGAGACCATGTATACAACTCTGTGTGGCTTTGTTGAAGGGTTGAGGAATGAATGGTGTTGTTTTCTTGCAACTTTACCTCACTTTCACTGAGGTAAATGTAGTTCTCTGGTTCTTCTCCTCACTCCTCCTTGATATATATATATATTTAATTAAAGGTAGGCAAACCAGTCAAGTAGCTCCTTCCCCTCACATTTTCCTCATCACATTTGAACACCCCTGTCATATTTTGGACAAAAGTCACTTGAACAGCCTGTTCTCAGTTCTCCAAGGGTTGGTTGACAATCACTGGGGCTTCAGCTGGTAGGAAACCTTCTCTGGAGTCCCCCCCCCCTTCTCCTCATAATATTTGCACTGACCCTCAATTCTGGGGAGTTCTACAGTGGTTTGAAGCAAAATATACCTCTCTAATTCAAGGATGAACAACAAATGACATGACAGTTACATAACAAACTCCCTAGCAGAATACTGTGCAACCGACTCATGTATTTCCTGCACAGTCAATGTAAACAGCCTTCTAAGGGACAGCCTAGTCCTCAGAGAGCAGCCAGAAGAGAATGCCGTTCTGGTCACTCACCTGCTTTGCAAACTCCTCTATACTTCAGGAACCAGATCCTCACATTTTTAAATTTGCCATCTCTTGGGACAGCCGCAGAACTTGGCTGTGAGGGTCTTCCCCCTTAGCGATCTTGCCTTCACCTGTAGGTCAGATGGCAGTTTTGGAAAGCTGCAGGGATCTCTGTCTCAGGCCAACCCTTGACTCACCCTTAACAAGTTATACATACAGAGCAGGCAAACAGTGTCACATACCGTGAACAAACAAGGCTGCATAGCAACAACTTCTTCAAAGAAGTATTAAGATGCAGGAGTGAGGAAGAGATTTTCCTGGTAGGCGTCTCCCTGGCTGTTTGACTGAGTGACCTTGACTGCAATCAGACAATTAGGAAGCCACAGGTTTCAAACAACAATGGAAAAGGGTTGGATATTCTGGGATTCTACACGCCTGTAACCAGATCCGATAAGCATTCACAAAACAGCAAACATCCCCACACCCGCACACACATGTTTTGAAAGCTCTATTTATGAATGAGAGGAGAAAACAAACTTCTGTTGATGGCAGGATATAATATCCGTGTTACACCCTTCCCTAAATTGGGTTTTCCTTCATGAAGGAATAATACAGTTGAGGGTTCAAATTGCCTTGCAACTCTTATGCCATATATCCTCAAAACAACCTTGTGAGGTAGGCACCATCAAGTGATTAATGAGGATGCTTCCACTCAGTGTTATTTTTCTAGAGAAAGAGGTGCTATAGCTCATTGTGAACTTTTCCCTTGTCTTAGAATGGCAGCGGTGCCCACCTGAGAGGTACCAGAACTGAGCTCTGGTGAGCTCCAGCTGAAAAAAAAGGCTTCTTTTCAGGTGAATCCATAACTGTTCTACTACTTCTCCAGCAAACATATTTTGATCCCAGACTGCCACTATTTTGGGGTGGGATAGAATCACATTTCTTGTGCAATAAACCTGCCCCCAGCCAACAAAAAAACACTGTACAGGGTAAAGGTAAAGTGAAAAGTAAAGTGACAGATACACTGGAAAGTGTGGGATGGAATAACATTTGTTCAATGCAATGTATGCAATGTATACACATCCTCCAAATAAATCAGAACCGATGGCCAATAAATAGCCTGCACATCTAACCTTCCTGCAAACTTTGTGCAGACAAATCATGGTGAATGCTCAACAAACAGGTCATCCAGAAACTACCATAACTGACTTACCAGTCTACTTTCTTTTTTCCTCACACTTTGAAACCATTCCTGTGTTTATTTAATTTCAAGTTTGTGCACTGCAAAAAAGGAATCTCACTGCACAGGATTGCACCATTCAAACTGCACCCAGGAAGGACGTGCACACACACACAAGAGAGATGAGGGGGGGAGAGAGAGGGAGATTACATAAGCATTAATTAGAGCCCAACAAAGAGGGCCACTTTTCATACAGAACTGCCACTTACTACCCGACCTAGAGCAACAGAAGGGGATTAATAATTCACCACCAAAAATCTGAACAGGGTCCTGCAGAGACACAGAAGGCAAACTCTGCAGTCCTAGCTGCAAGAGCATGCTGACTTCTAAAGTAGCCTACAGTGCTAAAGAGAAATGAAATAAACTACTGATAGAAGCAAGATTCTAGGAAAGATGATTACATGATAGTCACTCATTTGCAAAAACTCCCCATGCTGTTTTTCATTTCCTTCCCCCTCCCCCCCTCACAAGCAGAATTGTCCTACAGTATTAGGAAGTTTCAGGGCTTGTTATATATATATATATATATATATATATATATATATATATTATCTGCCCACAGGCACAGAGCACCGGCAAACACTACATTCTGACAGCTGGAGTGTAAAGCATGGATAGAACATGCAATCCAAATATAATTGGTATGTCCTGGAGAATCAAAGCATGAATATTGCATATTATTTTTGCTGTGGGAGAAGTAGCCACAGTCCATTTATAAACCATGAGAGGTAGCGCCAGATTGGTTAATCCGTTCCAATTCTGCTTCTGCTTCTTATTTTGAGGCCACAACTCCCCCTTACATTTAAAAGCACTATGATGCCACTTTAACACTTATAGCTCCCCCAAAACATCCTGGGAATTGTAGTCTGCTAATGGTGATGAGAGCTGTTAAGGAGGCCACTCATCCCAGCATAGAGCTACAATACCAAGAGTGGTTCAATAAACAATGAACCCAATGAACTCCAAAAATTGTAGCTCTATGATGGCAATAAAGGTCTCTTAACAGTTCTCAGCATACTTAACAGTTCCTAGGATGTTTGGGATGGTCAAAATGGTACAGTGGTACCTTGGGTTACATGCGCTTCAGGTTACAGACTCTGCTAACCCAGAAATAGTACCTTGGGTTAAGAACTTTGCTTCAGGATGAGAACAGAAATGGTGTGGTGGGGGCACGGCGGCAGCGGGAGACCCCATTAGCTAAAGTGGTACCTCAGGTTAAGAACAGTTTCAGGTTAAGAACAGACCTCCAGAACAAATTAAGTACCCTAGGTACCACTGTATAATAGTTCTTTTAAATGTATGGTGTGGATGTGGCCTAAATTAATCCCAAATGGAGTTTGTTCAAGCTTTGTGACCTAAATGTTAATTACAACGTTGAGTGAAATTAAAACCATTGGCTCTCTTTCTTTCTTTGTTTGCAAGGCATGGCAGGAGGCAATGGCGGCCACCAACTTGGATGGCTTTAAAAGAGGATTAGGCAAATTCATGGAGCAGAGGGCTCTCTGTGGCTACTGGCCATGATAACTATGCTCTGCCTCTGTAGTCAGAGATGGTAATGCTTCTGAATACCAGCGCCTGGAAATAACAGGAAAGGAGAGTACTTTTGTGCTCAGGTCCTGCTTGTGGGTTTCTCACAAGCATCTGGTTGGCCACTGTGGGAACAGGATGCTGGACTAGACGGGCCAATGGCCTGATCCAGCAGGCTCTTCTTAAGAACCACCATGAACTGGTGTTAGCAGCTGCTGGCGCAGATGTCATTCATGGATGTCAAAGTGAACAAGACCTTCATTGAACTAATGCTGATAATTCCAGCTCACTAATAAGTGAATGCGGCAAGACTTCCTTTTGCAGAATACATGCTGATTCTTCCAGAAGACTTGTTCTTCCACTTGTTAGGCAACTCTAGCATTAATCGTGCATTCTCCCAAGAAGGAGGCATTGATTCTTAATCAAGAATTTATAAGTGGTAGAGGGAGATACTCCAGGAGCCAAATAATTGGCTCTGGGGGGGAAAGCATCCTGAGTATTAAAGAGACCCCCTCAGGAGTGTAAATAGACACGGCTGTAGCAGCTCAGGAATTAAGGCAAATAGCTAAAGTCAATTCATCGTTTGAAAGCCTCCTGAGCTACAACAAATACCTGAGCCATAGGGACAAAAGAGGAGGTTAATGGGAATTTTTAATGTATAGTCAGGCTTCCTCAACATCGGCCCTCCAGATGTTTTTGGCCTACAACTCCCATGATCCCTAGCTAGCAGGACCAATGGTCAGGGATGATGGGAACTGTAGTCTCAAAACATCTGGAGGGCCGAGGTTGAGGAAGCCTGGTATAGGTGGCTTTTGCTAGTGACAGAATGTGCTTGTCGTGCTTATTCCATGTGGAGCTTTGACCGAAAACTAAACAGCAGAAATGCAGTATGGGAAACTCAGTGGTAGGAGCTAATTTCTGGAATGCTGTACTCGGGGGCTTGTAAAATAAACCCATGCATCCTCCTCCAGCTATACCTTTATGAACTGCTTACGTGCATAAGAACCATGTGATCTGAAGATAGCCTCACTAGGCTTCTTGTGGCTTAACAGTATACTTTGACTTTGGCCCAGAGCTCCAGATGAAGCTCCTTCGGCTGAGGAAAAGATGAGGGCAAGAAAACATAAGCTCTTAATGGGCTCTAAACAGGGTTAAGATGGGACTGTGAATAAAACATTTTTTAAAATGGACTCCCACATGAATTTTTTAGAGTGGCTGCAAGGATTTGGCCTAAAACAGTCATTTATATAGCACTTTATTACATTGAAACATGAAATGGCTTTCCTCCACTAATAACAAATTTAAGGCAAGAGACATGCTCTTGTCTTGAATTTAGGCTTGAAGTCTGCAAGTGATATACACTTGCAGAATATTATTTGTAACTGTAATAGTACCAAGAGTTCCAAACTTTAACTAGGGGATATTGTTGTAGGCAGAAAAAAAGGGAGAAAAGGAAGATTACACATTGTACATGCATTACAATCAACTTTTACTTGGCATGGTGGGTGGGGGTGTGTGTGTGTGTGTGTGTGTGTGTGTGTGTGTATTTTATTTTATTTTTTGCAGAGAGATTGCAGAGAGCTGAAGGAGCTATACAGGAGAGGCCGCTCCATTCCATGCCCATGGCATGCACACACATCCCACAGGTTTGCATTGTACTGTATTCCAAAACCCTGAAAAATCTGTGTTCAGAGATGATAGAGGGATAGAAATAATAATAAGATGCCTCTGTCATTACATGTTCCACTTCCTTAAATGTTACTCTCCTTCTCTGTTCTTTAAGAAGCTATAATCAGGGCAAACTGGTGTCTCACGGCAAAAAAGGAAGGAAAAAGATTTAAAAGATTTCTAACCCATGTTTCAGGGCTCACTGCAGTCCCGCGGCAATTTACAAAAAAATAAAATACAACACAATAAACAACAACAACCTACCCCCATCAATCCCGTCAATTTATGAGCAGCATCAATAAACTGTTTTAAAAGCACAACATGTTAAAAATTAACCAAATGCAGATTGAATTAAGAGTTTCCTTAAAAGCTAGCAGCGATGAAACCATGCATGTTTCCCTAGGAAATGAGTTCCAAAGGTTTGCAGCCACCGCCACAAAAGCCTGGCCTTGCCAATTTAACAGTTCTCACTGGAAGGTCAGAAAGCAATGCTTCAGATGAATATCTTAAAGTCTGAGCAAACAGTAGAAAGTATTTTGAATAAGAAGAATTTGTAGGAGAGAAAGCCAAGTTGGCTGTGCTTGAATTATGGGAGCCAGAAGCAGGCCCAGCTCTCTTACCTGTTTTACTGGCTCTCTTAAGAATGCTACATGGGACCATAATGTGGCTAGAGTGAGAGGAAGTCAGGGATGGAAGGTGTGGATTTTGCAAAATACACAGGCATCAAGCCCCACGATGTATTCCTCAGCAGAATTAATAGTAGGGAAGCTTTGATATTTTAATTCTTCAAGGCAGCAGCAATCCTTCATTTTATTGGACCCAAGTTTCGTTCAGCAACAATCCACCCTGAAGTAGTTGAGCAGCTTTAGGGCTACAAAGCTTTGCGAAACATTAGAAAGGCAAACTGCTTTAACAAAATAAAACACACTTTTGATGGCCTTTGGCAGGCTCCTTCATATCACTCTGAGTAGATGCTGCTGCCTGATTGCAAGAGGAACATGAGCAGCACTTAATGCTTTTTCGTTATATCCTGAGAAAAATCAAGGGATGCCGGTGATTTCTTCTTAGTAAGAAGGAAAAGTAACTTGAAAAAGAAACTTGTCTTCTCTTAAATTAAGGTATTGGGGGAGACTAGCATTATGGGCTAGAATTTTTCTATCCAATCCGCATGCAGGGCCAGAACGTCAGAACAGTGCAGAAGGAAAGAAGGGGAGGTATCTAGAGCTGTCCAGCCGCCAGCATTGGCCAAGGACCTGAGCCTCAACCTCCTCAAGGATAATTAGACAGAAAAGACTGGCTGCTGTTGCAGTCAATGCTAATCCATAAAGGAGGAGAAGAGGTGCAACTCTCCTCTTGGACTCAGCAGCCAACTTCCTACACAGCTTTCACTTCCTATGGCTTAGGATCAGAGATTAACTCCTCGCTAAGCAGGAGAGTCTTAAGGCTCAGAGTGAACAGGTTGAGCCCTGGACATTCAGTGCCTAGCCATTCTACCATTCTATAATATTCATGAACTATTCCTTTGGATATATAGACTTATATATATTAAGGTTTTTATTATTTACATAGAAACTCACAAAAAGAAATATTACTAAAGCTAGAACAAATTATTATGTTTCAAAAACCAGATATATGGCTCCCTATGGATGGTCCAATACAGCAAGGGGGTGGGGGAAGGTGTCTAATGATTACACTGTGTACTTCCTGATAATTTTACTGAAATTGTTGTAAGCCCCTCTGGAATGACAGGTCCTCATTAGCTCCACTGTAATATAAACTGGCACGGGAAGGGTCGTAGGTCAACAGAAGGATCCAGGTTCAATCACTTGCATCTCCAGGTAGGGTAAGGAAGACTCATGCCTGAAACACTGGAGACCAGCTAAAAGCCAGTATAAGCAATACTGAGATGGACCAATGGTCCAACTTAGAATTAGACAGGTCCCTAAGCATCCATTCATTTCCTACAGCAAGAGATCTCCACCAAGATCTCTTCCTAAAAATCTATGTGTGTATGGTATATGTGTGATGAAGGGCACATCCTCACATAATTCACACAGAGCTTTTCATTAATAATAATAATAATAATAATAATAATAATAATAATAATAAATTAATTGTATTTATACCCTGCCCTCCCCAGCCAAGACCGGGCTCAGGGCGGCTAACACCAAATATATAATACATTAAAAACACAAAATCAAACGACTGATTAAAATACAGTTCAAAATCACATTTAAAATCAAAATAAAATTAGGTGGGAACCCACGAATCACAACTGTAGGGTAAGGAATATTAAATGTTCACCAGGCCTGGCCACCCGTGCTGGTCCCATGTGGGCCAATAGAAGGAGCCAAAAGGCCACTTACATACAGGGACCCACAGAAAGAGGGAAGAAGGAAGAAGGAAGGGGGTCAGACTGGACCCCACCCGGCCAAAGGCCTGGCGGAACAGCTCCGTCTTGCAGGCCCTGCAGAAAGATGTCAGATCCCGCAGGGCCCTGGTCTCTTGTGATAGAGCATTCCATTTAAAAATATACGGCAGCTTCAATATATTTTAAAGGGGAAAGCATCAAGACTATTCAGACTCATTTGGAGTCAAAGGCCTGTATATAAACTCTGCTGGGCTTGTCATGACCCAAATCAACAGCACTAGCAAAGAAAATACTTCGTGTCATTACAGGTCATGACCCAAAGACTGAGAAACCCCCCTTTCCATACAAAAGCAAGCAAGTCAGCATAAAGCAAAAGGTTAATATACTAATTAGCATCATTCATATGCAGAAGGAATGGGTGCCCTGTGCTACAAAAAGAGAACAGTATTCAAGACCAGGAAGACTAAAATACATAATCACAAGCAATGTATGGCCAGGTCAGGACCTGGAGAGCAAACAGTCTGCTCACATAATCGGTAATATATTCAATGGCAAAATAACTCTGCTATGTGTGGAATGAAAAAAAAAAAAGATTAGCACAGTTTAAATGCCAAGGAACAAGGAGAGAGGCCAGAATGCCCGACCTCAGAGATCAGCAGAGTTGTCTTAAATCTGGCCCATTAATATAAAACTGTGTGTGTTTAAAAAATAAAAAGAGGGGGCATCTCTGATCAGTGTAACCACACTTAATTGAATTCTACTTCTAAATTTCTTAAACTGATCTGAAGGGCAACCTTCTCCCATCCAATCCTGTCCACAAGATCAGATTGTGGTGAGGTGTTCTTCTCCAGCTGCTTCCACCTTCAGAAATGAGGCAAGTGGGTGGCAGCCATGGAGATGGGCTTTCCAGTGGTGGTCCTTAGCTTCTGGAATTGCCTTCACAGAGAGGTTCACCTGGTGCCTTTTTAACTTCAGTTTTAGATGCCAAGTTAAGACCTTCGGTGGCAAACAGCAATATGATGAGAACTCAGCACACTGGTTGGTTTAATTGTTACATTATTGTTGTTTTAGTCTTCCAGCCTACTGCCATCTGGGGTTTTTTCTTAATTGATTGCAGTATTTTAAAGTGTCTTTATTCATGACTCCTTTGGTAAATTTGGTTCAAACTGAGAAGCACAAGAAAGAGACATACTCCAGGATAGGGAAGGCAGGCATAGAGAGAGAGACGTTCTTGACTAGAGCAACTTATCTGAACTGTGACTGGCTTCTCACTAACCTCAACTGCCCACTTTCCTATACTTGCCACAAAGAAAGTGATCCTTTTAACTCTGAGATGTTTAAATTTACTACCTCCACACTTTTTCAGTGCCATTGCAGAACAGATCGTAGCAATGCATTGCTGTGCATTTTGAGTGCATTCTGCCCAGCAGGCTACTAGCTTTTACAACACTTAGAGTCCCCTAAGAAACAGCTCACTTTAGAGCAGTAAATAAATCCTATTCAGCTCTGCTTCCCCCAAATCAGCTGAAAGCTACTTGGCAAATGGCAGAAACCACAAAGCAAAGGGAACATTTGCTGCAACAACGACAGAAAGAAAAGCAACCTACCTCCATTCTCAACTAGATGCCCCGAATTAACACTTGGGGGAATTGCTTCAGAATTTCCACAGTGAGGCAGGTCTAATGTTGGGGTTCTGCACTCCACAAAACATCATTTGCCCCTGCCCCTCTGGACCCTTCCTTGGATTTGTTTTGCTAGATACGAAAGCACCATTACCACATGCTAAGGAATTAAGCTTGCAAGCAGCACATAAGGAGATTCATTAATGCATTAGACAGGCGTGATTTGATTGGCTCCTTTTTTTAGGCATTTGGCACATGGGATGCAAACAGATCTGTGGGACCTGGGTGTCAGGGGAGACCAGGCGACCTGCCAACATGCTAGCTTTAAAAAGGAGAAAGAAAGTCAGCACCAGTTCCTGAGTGTTAAAGAATTTTCAGTCAAAAGTCAGATCACTGATGCCCATAAAACCAACAAGCAGAAGCTCCCCCCCCCCTTTCCATGGGAAAACCACATTAGTGCCTCTGTACCACTGAAAATGAATTCCTTCCTAGCATTCTTAATTTCCTCCTCACCTTCTGAAGTGCTTTTTAACCAATACGGGCCAGTATTGATGGAAAGTAAAAAGAAACAATTGCACATGGAACAGCAGTTTTGATGAGACATTGTGATAGGAAATTGGGGTCTGCTTTCCTTCCTATAGGGGCCACTGTCCTGCACAACCATTGGACAGCTAGAGTAAATGCACATCTGCGTTATAAAATGAAGAAACAAGACACAGCACACACTGAAGGGGAGGGGGAAGCAATCTGATTTGGGAGGAAATTCTTTTTCCATCAGTTCTTGATTTAATAATCGTGGAAGGGTCCCTTCCAACTGTACAATTCTATGTACTGTACACATCTCTGAATTTTGCAATGCAGTTCTCCTCCCAAGTAATGGGTTAAAAAAAATGCACATAGTGCCGTAAAGTATCCATAAAAATGCATATATTCATGAAAATAACATACACAGATGCACTATTTTAGGGGAGATTGCTTTATATTAGGCAAAACTGAATGCAAGCACGTACACTGGGAGAAATTCAAACAAAAATGTTGATGAATATTCATGTGGAACTCACACACTTATAGTCAAATGCAAACTGAGGTGGAAATGTGAATAACTGCCCTCATTAATGGGAAAAAGAGAAACCAAAATTGACAGATTTGCCCATTTGAATCATACAAAAGATTGACACGCAAAGCATTTTCGGGGTGGGGGGTGGGGTAGAGAAAACAATCCCAGTGCTTGGTCATTATTCTTGCACACAAAAATGGAACACATGATGGCTGGCCTTAGTGGGAAAGATTCCTGGCACAGCCAATTAAAAGTTTTAGCTGCTGCAGTCCCATCCTTTGACAAATCTCTACCTAAATTTCCACTTGCTGATCTCGCAGTTACTCCTGGCCTTGTAATCAATAACATTTAATTCCACCAGGCTTCATAAACAATGCTGACAAGTAATAGCAGGAGCAGCTCCAAGATCAGATAAACACCCCAAACACAGACGTGGGTAGATATACATTCCAGCTGCAGCGGCAATCAGTAATACACCTCGAGTAATGACAGGCCCAACAGTATATAACCAGGAATTAGACAGGGAGGTCTCCACAAATCATTACATTCCCAGAGCTGTAAAACATTAGATGTCAGGGCAGAGACTATTCAAGGACTAATTGGAAAGGAAAGAAGGACTACAAACCTCTTTCTAGGGATGCTTCACACAGCGCCAGGGCTGGCCCTACCATTAGGCAGAGTGAGGCAGCTGTCTCAGGTAGCAGATGCTGGAGGTGTCAATAGAGTGTCAACACTGCCCCCATTCCCCCTGAGCCCCCCAAGCTAGCCTGTTCTGCATCTCCTACCCTCATTTGCTGCCCTCAGGTGCAGTGGAGGATATTTTCCCATCATCAGCACTAAAGCAGAGTCAACTGCCCACCTGGTCAGATTTTGTATGTGGAATGTGAGGGCACCATCTTGTCCTTCACCTCAGGCAGCAAAATGCCAAGGGCTGGCCTGGAAAACCAAGTAACTATCTACAAGCAAAGAATTCTGTGTAGAAATTTACACATGGGCAGTACATACAGTTTAAATTACAATGTGGTTGGGAGGTTACAAGGTTTTTCTAGAACCCATATGTGAGGTATCATTTTTCTTCTCCTTCCTATACAGAAGTGCTTTTTCTTCTTTTGCTCTTGAAGAACTATTCTGACACTTTTAGCTCCCTCAAATACTAATAAGTCAGTGGAACAGGCACAGTGAGTCACGTATCATACTTTAAAAGTAGGGCCGAGCCTGTATTCCTCAGGAGAGGGGTTTTTTTAGAGGGTGGGAATCAGATAATTTTATTCAGCTCACCCTTGTCTAGTAATGAGAGCCATTTCGCTGAATAGTCTCTTTCTCCTTCTTTGTTTGGCTGCTGCCATTTTTTACCCACAATACCTCATAACGATACTAATTCCAGGGCATTGGGAAGAATACAAAATCCTGCCACAGTTTCAGCCGCCACCACAGACAATACAAAGAGTAGCAGCAATAAAACCAAAACAAAATAGCCCACCATGAAAAATGGAAAACTCTCTAAGGGGGGGGGGGAGGAAGCAACAAGCTGTGTTGTTTCTGCTGCCAGTGTTCATGTTAATCCCCATCTCCAAGAAACTGCTGAAGAAATTCTCCTCCCTCTGGATAATATTTGGCAAAACGAGACACAAAAACCCTCCTTTTTCTGCCCCTAAATAACAGGAAGAATTTTGGGCTGCCATTTTCATTCGGCTTTATTGTAAATTCGTTTCCTGTGTGAGAAGAGTTTACGTTGCTGAAAGTGACAGACGTGTTAGCCCTATTCAGGTTTTCATTTTCTGGGTTTCCACAATGGGTGGAAAGACCGAACCTGTTCACAGAAGATGACAAGAGATGGAAAATGGAAACAAAGGAGCATAGGTTTCTATAAAGGGGGTGGGGGTGGGAGCAACCATGAGGGGCCATTTACAGAGGAAACACAGTGGGGAGAGCTGTACATGTAAATGGCAAAACCGCTCAGGAGATGAAAAGCAGGTTTATTTCCTGTCCATTCTGCCAAGCTTTCCCGCTCTTAGGGACACAAATAGCTCAATTCATCAAGTACATCCTGATTGTTCAAATAAGTGTCAGGTGACTGTGAAAATGTCTATGGCTTGAGAACAATGATGGTGTATATTTGGGAACTAGCCGATTATCAGGAAATGAAAACCCAATAAATTTTCCACCATACAGAGATGGTGGAGTGGGCATTGCGGAAGGGGAACTTAAATCTATTAAGGCCTCATCTGCACTGTTTGTTAAGGGTGCCGAGTGGTGGTGGTGGTGGTGGTGTTGTTTAGTCGTGTCCAACTCTTCGTGACCCCATGGACCAGAGCACGCCAGGCACTCCTGTCTTCCACTGCCACCTATTCCCTTCATAGAGCTACTGTTCATGATCAATCCTTGTTCCCATAGAGCTCTGGGAATTGTAGTTCTGTGAGGGCAATACAGGTTCCCCTGTCAACTCTCAACACCTCTTAACAGACTACGGATCCCAGGATTCTTTGGGGTAAAGCCCAACTGTTAAAGTGGTATGATACCAACAGCACTGGGAGGCAGCAGCCAAACCATCATTTTGAGGTACAACCTGGATACCCTGTCTAACAACACAGCACCTGAAACAGAGGAGGAACTTGCGGCTCTTCCCAATGTTGTTAGACGACAACCAGTATCAGTCCCAGCCAGCATGGCTAGTGCTCACAGATGCTGAGAACTTTAGTTCAGCAATATCTGGAGGGTCACAAGTTCCCCATCGCGAACAACAGTGCTGTTAGAAAGGATTGCCTTTGTTAGCTATTGTTCTGCCGTTTCATGGCGTTGCTCTTTGACGTCGTAATTTTAAATTTTGTGTCTGTATTATTAAGTTTCTACTTGTTGTACAAACAACAAGTGACTGTAAGAAGAAGGTCTTTTACACACGCCATATTTGTGCACAACTGACCACACACATGGTGCCAAGAACCTGGAAATGGGGAGCACCCTGGGGAGGAGTCCTGGCTCGCGAGGAGACCCTTCCCAGAGCCCAAAGAGGGCGTCCCCTTCATGCACTGGGACAAGCAGGCCTCTCCACCTAACAGCTGGTGTGCAGGATAGCATGGCAGCAGCCCCTACCACGCCCATCAGCTGTGTGAGAGCTGGGCTGTCCCTCCAACATGACTCTGTGGACCCATCAGATGCCAGTCCATGGACCCGTGCTGTCCCTCCAGCTCACATGAGTGGAGGAATGGCACGGCTCCATGGATTGGCACAGCTGAAGGGCAGAGAAGATTCTTCCCCACCCATCAGCTGAGCTGATACTGGTGAGTCCCCCATTTTACGCGCTTTTGTATATGCATGTGGGGGTACGGAACGTATCCCCGTGTAAACGGGGAGTCAACTGTATATAAATATTCATATAAATGAATGAACGAAATGGTAATACAGTGGTACCTCGGGTTAAGAATTTAATTTGTTCTGGAGGTCCGTTCTTAACCTGAAACTGTTCTTAACCTGAGGTACTACTTTAGCTAATGAGGCCTCCCATTGCTGCCATGCCGCCGCCGCACGATTTCTGTTCTCATCCTGAAGCAAAGTTCTTAACCCAAGGTACTATTTCTGGGTTAGCGGAGTCTTTAACCTGAAGCGTCTGTAACCTGAAGCGTCTGTAACCCGAGGTACCACTGTACTATTTAATTATTATTGGGAAGTGTGCATTGTCCTAGAGATAGCTACAGCTGTCACTTGGTAGCATGGTCGTCCCTCCTCACCCCTTAGCACATTAACTGCAAGCGAAAGTAAAACTTCTCAAGTAATACCATAGTCTTGCCAATGAATTGTATTGCTACACTGTAGGTTATTAACCATTAACTATTAAAGCTTTCTTTCAAGGGGCTCAAGGTGGGGGGAGGGTAGCATGAATAAGTTTTTCCTGTTTTCTCCCTTACTATCACTCAACACTGATATACAGATATTTCCTATGATTTTTAGAGAAGTACGTGAAGGGTGCTCAGCAAGTATTTAAAGATTTAAACAAATCCAGGCTTTCCATGTGCCCTAGAGGCGACAGAATACACAGGATGACTATTGGATATGAAACAAGCACAGCTTAAGAGAGCATTCTTCCTAAAAATCATCCTGTGTTGCAGAGAAAGTTCTGAAGCTAAGAGCCAGAGCATAGATATGGGTTCTGGCAAGCACTCTAAGTCAGTTGAAGAAAAGCCGATTCACTTGTGGTGGTGGGATGAGGGAGAAGAGGGTCTGTTAGCAGGTAAGAGGGTGAGATAGTCCCCTGGGAATACTCAACTCCAATTCAGAAAAATAGCTCAGAGCAACAAGTTCCCTTAAGCAAGTTACCGAGTGTGTGTGTCTAACATTTCAAGCAAACTTACCTCAATCAAAATTAAAAAGTGGCACTAGTCGTCTTGTCCAAATGGATGTGAGAGGCTCTTCATCTTCAACTCATTGATGTGGGCATGAAAGAGATTCTTGTTGATCCCAGTCTCTCACAGCAACTGTTGCCATGGTTATAAATCATTTCTTTTTGCCCCCCAATGGTCAGCGACAGAATATAATGGGCTTACTAGGTAGGAGCAAATCCAATGTGCATAGACTGGTTCCTCTCTCAGAAGTGTGATACCAGCCAGCAATAGATGCTGTCAGTTTCATTGCCTGCACTTCAGAAAGCCAGGTTAGAGAGAGAAATCTCTGGATGAGACCCAGATAATAAAGAGAGTTTTTAAAGTCACAAGCAGAGAGATTAAAACAGAGCAACCTTTCCACATTCATGTACAAATGAAAATGGGGTGGGTTTTTTCTTTTTCTGAGCAAAGGAGGAGGTGGGAAGAATCAATGCCATTCTGTATGAAGTACAGAATAGATTGTTTTGCTACCAGTATGTGAATTGGGCAGCTGCGTGATCAGCAGGATAAATTCACACCATATTGTATTATATTTTTTATTTTTATTATTATTATTATTATTATTATTATTATTATTATTTCTTACCAGGTTTCCATGGTGGATTAAAACAAAATAAAATACAGTATATTATCAATTTAAAAATGCACAATCAGAAGCATTGGTATAGTGCAGTTTGGAATATAGCACTTCTGATAAACAGATGCAAAAATTTCAATTACTAAGAGGGCCCCATCAGCCAATCTTACGGCCGCCCCCTCTTGCATCTCTTATATGGTAACTGCAACTAATGGCTTATAGTAAGAGAGAGGGGGAGAGTATAGGATATGTGTAGAGGCATCATAGCAAGGACAGAGGTGGAAGAGAAGCAAAGTGCTGTCTATGGACCCCTGGTCCCAGAAAGCTGTGATCTGGAGCTCAGCCACAGCATATGTGTTCAGTGCTCAGTTGTGTTTGTTTTTCTTCTACCAAGAGGTTTTGGGCAGACTAAATTAAGCAATACTTATTTTGAAATCTTTTTTTTTTTAATTGCACTTTAAAAAAACAAACATCTGGAAATTATGGTAAGACAAACATGACCAAAAGGAATGGAAGAATGCACATTGACATTTCCAAGCACTTTGTCAGGAAAGAAAGGAAAGTTGTGATTCTCAGGGTGTCAAATTCCATATTAGGTTTTATATTTGCATAACGTGAAGCTAATACAGAGAAGAAAATGTTTCTAGAACAGAATGCCATTGAACCAAAGTTCCAGTAAATGAAACATTTAATTTTTTTAAAAAAGGTTTCTAGATCTAATGTTTCATACAAACTTTTAAAATGTGTACTTTCTGGTAGTGATTTAGACATCAGAGCAGATCTAGCCTGGCCTTTCTGTACTCCGAGGGTGGATTGTTCACACTCCTGATTCTTACTCGTTTGCTATCTACTCCAATGCTACCAGACTCTACACCATCCTTTACGTTACAGTGGATGGATGGGCAAGTGGGCAGGTTTGAGAGATATTAACTTGCCACTTCCCCCCTTCCTAAAAAGAGTTCAGTTGTGCAAGGGCACCATACACATCTCGATGTGAATTGCAAATATTTGGGATAATTCACAGAGAATTGTGAACCTTCAGCTCAAGCGAACGGTTTTCCCTAGGAAAAGGCAACACTGCTCTGTTTAAGAATATGACTGTTCATGCTGCTTGCTGCTTAAGCAAAAGCAGTTGTATGTGACCTGTGAAAGAAGTTTCCATATCTGACCACAGATTCCACTGCACCAGCACCTCCCATGAGGTCCAGCTATGCGCACCCCCAGGAGTCTTGTTTGTATTACTGGCGTGAAGAGGAGCACTGGGGAATTAGGCAGTTGCATGAAGTACCATGTCTATTCAGATGCTGGGAATAGAAGCCAAAGCTTGTTACCCAGGCTACTCTCTACGTTTTTGTTTGTTCGGTGGCTTTGTTGGGTGTGGAAGGAGGAAAGTTTTGGAACCGTTAAGAGCAGGTGAGATCTAAACTACGGAAGAAATTAAATTACCTGTGAAAAGACTAGATAAAATTAAGGTTCTTCCACCCACAGCTACCACAATGTGTTGGTTAACTGAACAGAAGACGTAACAAAAACTGCAGACATCCCTGCAAAAGATTTAAAAATTGCCTAATGGGTGAAATTATTGCAACAAATATCAGGGCTGCCACTATTAAATGCTGCCACAAGAAAACTGGTTTGTCAGCCATAGCCTCAGTTGCCTCCAAGTTGATCTAATGGTAATTTCTGTATGCTAAAGAGGCTTTTTGGTGCTCTCCCCTGCAATAAGTTCCTGATGGAAGTTGAAGCCCATCACTGTCTGGAGGACCACAGGTTCCCATCCCTGAGCTGAGTTTTGTGCATTGCATTCAGAAGTGCTTCCAGTGAAGAGACAAGACAGCCTTAATCCCAAAATAACTGGAGCGAAGAGATCTCCACATTTCAGGCTAAACTGCCCATTAGGCACATAGACATGGTAAGAGATTTTTTATTTCCTTAAATTTACTACCCTGCTCTTCTATACATGGCTAACAAGGATTACAATTTGCATTTGTAAAAATTAGGGGGAAGCAGTAACAGATAAACGCAGTTTAGCAAGAGATGTTAGTCCTCTAAAAATTATTACTGCAACAGGAGAAATGCCTGCCAGAAAGTGTGCTGAGTACATGAGAGAAGGCCAAGAATGAAGGTGCCAAACAGCCCTCCCTCCCTAGGCAAGGAGTTTCATAATCTTTGGTGCTCAGATGCCCTGGTCTGATCCTCTTCTGATGCCAGTTTTGGACTGATGCCTCAATGAATGAACATCATATGGTACTAGTGGAGGTACAAGGTCTACACAGCTAGCCTTTGGATGGTGGTGGAATTCTTCCAGGTTGATACTAATGTTAACAAGTCAGAACTTCCAAGTGATAGGGCTTAACCACTTAACCACTGGCTTCCAGCATAGAAAGCCTATCAGTTTCTCCCATGGGCTTTGCACTTCGCAGAAGGTAACCAGAAGTGGAAATATAAGACAAAGCTCTAATTCAAATGTTAAAAAACAAGTATTTCCAAAGTACACCACAGTACCTTGCAATCACTTCTGACCAGAAACTTCCCGCCATTCTGTGGCACTAATCTGACACCCACTGGCCATCTTTGGAACTAGATTTCTAGCAGAACAAGAAACTTTGGCACCGAACTCAAAATTATGTGGGGTTTGCCAGGGATAAATGAAGTTTTCTTGGACATCAAAACACAGCAGTAAACAAACTGTGATAGATTTAAACTAAGTTTGAGGAAGCAATGAAATAAAAATGCTAGATCTTTTGACAATCACACAGGCATCTAGTTAGCCACTGTGAGAACAGCTTGCTAGACTTGATAGGCCATGGACCTGATCCAGCAGGGTCTTGTGTTATTTAGGTTAAGAATAAACAAGTAAACAGTAAGTAAACAGTGTGTCATGCAGTATGTTTAAAAAAATAAGCAGGTTTATTGTGCCATCAGAAAAATTGCGATGCCTGGGGACTGTACCTAGGTCTTGCCCCAATGGTTTCTGTTCTGCCCCCTCAAGTGCTTTTGCCTGGCTGGAATTTGCCCTTCAGATGGGGTAGCACCTCTTGGTCAGAATGATTAAGACATGTGCGAATAACTCAAACACTTTTAAAATCACAATACAGTGGTAGAGGATGGGCTAAATTAGCTTCCACAAAAGCGTCCATGACATATTTGAAAGGAATTGCCATCAACATTTTGTATTGTGAACCATTACAGATGAAGGGCAGTATACAAATTTAATAACATCATTTCAATGTGGTCCAGAAACTGCTTCCATGATTTCCTCAATCACTTGGTTGTTCATATACAGATATGGGACCCAGTAATGTATTGGACTCAGAAACAAGGGAAGTTCCTGTTTTGTCCCCCCCCCCCCCCCGAATACTTCCACATGACATTACCATTTCATAGCAACTCTGGAATATTGCAGTCCTCAAACCACTTTTTTGCCTGTTGCCAAAACTCTGTCATTTGCCAAAAGATCCATAATGGTTGTGCAATACTTTCATTATGTGGAAAGCACTGTTATCTGTGGTAGTGGTGGCTTGGGCAATTGCTATTTTGCAACTTTTTTCTTTCGTTTTTGACAGGTGGCCTTCTCACTGCAGTTTTTAAAATGGCAGGTAGTTCAGACTTACACAGTGAACACATATAGTGCCTGACACCTATTCTCCTAAACTCCCTTGGAGTCAGAATTCTGTTATATAATATTAAATTAATTTTGAGGTAAAAGGAGTGTGCCGTAATGAATCTTTAAAAAAATATAATAGACGTCCCACCAAAATTGAAGTAACAAAGCAAGGTACATGTAAATACTTGGACTGAGTTGCTTACATTTATAGAATAAACTTAATGTAATAAGAATGTTTAAATTCTTGATATGGAAATACAGACTATAGTAATTATTGTGGGATAGTATTTGTTTTAGCTATGTCTGCCTCTCTAAAACTTTTAATACAACCCATATACTTAAAAAGAGGTGATGCTTGAGATTTCCAATAATTCACATTATTGTTGTGAACTGCCCTGAGATCTGTGAAGGGCAGTAAGCAAATTTAATAAATAATAAACAATTAGCTGCAGAACTTACTGAGCATCCCACCCCTGCAAGAACCTTCATAAAAAGGAGTCTCTGTAAAAGTAATTTCAAACCTAAGAGTGAAGGCTAGTGGAAGAATCTGATAAATCTACAGAATTGATAAATCATCATTAGTACAAAATTCAACTTGCAAGCACTCAACTATAACCCAACACATGACAGGACTAGTACATGATAAAGGCAATGTATATTTATTCACTTTACAAAGGAGGGCAGTATTTGGTTGCAACAGCTCCAATTATAGACAAATAACTGTACATTATACTGGTTAATGGCTCAAAACCTTTACCCAACCTTGCTCTCAAAAATTGTTCATACCACTTCAGTTTAATTGAACTAATGGCAACCCCTGTTCTGCCCTGAAGATTAAAAATTCCTAATAAATGTATACGTGTTGTGTTACATTATTCACAAGCATCTGCCCCCTCTTTTCATTTTTTTTTTATCCTTATCCTTCCAAAGATGGACTCTTGTCTCTGGGTCAGCATTAAACTTATATACAAGCTCAATTAAAATTAAGAGGTCAGGAACCACCAATGAACCTAATTTTCTTTTGTTTTTCTGAAGTACAAGAAAAGTGACTGATTTTACACACACACACACACATATAAAAAGTTTGGTTTCAAAAAGAAAATGCTTTGCTCAGCCTGATTGGCGTTGTACCACTGCCAAGGCCTAAGTAATTCGGTTATGAGCGAACGGACATGGGCGGAGAGAGAGAAGAGGAAGAACAATCAACATTAAGGTCTTACAAAAATATTTATTCTCTTCCAAAAAATGCAGCAAGGTGCCAACTGGAAAAGTACTTAACTAAAGAGGGCTAAGGTAGAAGTGGTCTTCATTCCGTCAGAATTTGGAACTGTTGAAACTGAGCTGCAACAAGTTTATCATCCAAAGAGCCTTGGTAAAACTATTTCATTCAAGATGCAAAATGAAATGTCCAGAAAATGGGGGGTAATCTTTGCCTACTATGTAGAAGAAAAATCTTTCACTGTGATCCCAGGAAGTATAGGACAGGTGGTAAAGGAATAAGAAGGCTGGCATTGTTACACATTCTGGGCTTGGAAATACAGTGTCCCAATATGCCATCACAGCCGTTGGGCCAAGTATCCATTGTGTGTTGTAAGCGGTTTTCAGCGTGGCAGTCCAGAAAGTTTTGGAGGCCAGTTAATAGGAGTTTTCGCCCCCTTTTAAAGCATATGCTATTCTTCTTCACTTTCATTTTCTGGATCCAAATCTGATTCCCCATTGATTTCTTTTTCTATAGCCATTTCTTGTTCGTCGCCTGAAAGTTCATCTCTTTCATCGTTCTCATCGCTTTCCTCTTTCTCATCCTCTTCATCCCAGTTCTCCTGCAGGAGAAAGTGACAAGACATGTGACTACTGTGATCACTTTTAAGAGCCTGACCTCCAAGCGTGGGGAAAGGAACTAATTGGGAGCTTTTACTTACATCTGAATCATTTTCTCCAGCCATCTCATCATCCGAACCTTCCTCTGATGATTCTGTCAGGACAGAATGCACGAGGTTTGAGACAGACCTTTCTTCAAAGAGATACTAAGAGCGTGCACTACTATATGCTAAAAAACTCTTTCATTTAACCTATTGTTATATTAGTTCGAAAGATCCAAAGCAATTTTGCTGGCAGAAAAAAAACAGGTTCAGTAGGGTTCAAAGTTTAACAGTAGTCCCCAAGCCTTCTTAAAGAAGACTAACAAGCTGGTTTCAGCCTGTAACATGGAAGCAAAAACCCCTTTATGCTTCTCATTTGGTTGTAACCCTCACCAAATCCTCTAGTCATTCAGGACCAGTAAACTAGCCAGCCAACTTCTAGAATTAATCTGACCAAACACTCTGGCACTACAATTAGGCAAGCTGCATGGTTAATAATGTTTTTAAATAGATATTTTATATCTACAAACATACACGCATACAAGTGAGATCGTGTTTTAATTATATTAATGTTTAATTGTTGTTGGGGTTTTTCAGCTGCTTCTTTATTATCTGTAAGCCACCTTGAGTCCCCATCAGGTTACTCAATGACACCATTGTTTTTGATCTCTGGACTGCGGCAGTAGCGTTTCAATTTCTGATGGGATATATACATTTTATACAGATTTTACATAAAGCCTATATGCATGCAGTCTTAAGGCTTTATATAACATCTCCTCCCCCTGTTTAGTCTATACCATGTCACCTGCCCCCACTAGCCCAAACACCTGCATGTTCAAGGGGACACCTGAAAAGGGCCCCTACATGGCTATTAATTGTATGCCTGGATGGAAACGGCCTTTTCAGATGTTTTGCTGAACTCATGAGTATAGGGGACTGGACATGCAATGCTGAACATGGGGCAGCAGGCTCAGTCCAACTCTTCCTTCCATGCAGAGACTAATACTGGAAGCAACTTTTGAGAGCCTGACATGAACACAGCAATAAAACTGATTCAACTATTTGAGGCTTATTTCAGCGATGTGGAATCATTCTCTTCCTTACCAATTGCAGTCTATAAGACCAAAATGCTACACGCACAAATCTAAATCTGAAACAAAGGGGCCACGGCCTTAACAGAGCCCATCTTGTTCCCTGATAGCTCCCAAGGCACCTCCACTTAAGTCCCTTTTCCTTACCTTCTTCATACACCAGCTTTGCAGTCTGGTTGACATCAGGCACATCCTGAGTCTGTTCCAATGCAGCAACCTGAAAAGAAATGTATGGCATTAACAGGGGCTGTAGCAATATTTTATAAAACGATGCCATTCTACCACATGTGTAGAACATGCATTACTTCATAGAAAGTAAAATGAATTGCATGCAATTAAAAAGCAGTGCTGCTCGGAGAGCTTGCTGTGTTCCTGTTGGATGAGAAAAGTTTACAATACAACTAAAAGCATGTGGATGTTTCAGACGGTTACATTAAATGTTTGCATCTCTAACACCTGATTCTACCCATATGCTCAGAAACACTTCTTGAAAATTGTAAGACTTAATGAATGCCAGAAAGTTATCCAGAATAGTATGTTATTGTAATATAAAAATAATCACACAGAGACATATACGTCTTTCAAAATATTTCCAAAGAAATATCCTCGTTTCTCTATAATAGATCATGAGGAGCCTTCTGGCATCTGAAAGACTCAAAACGTTATTGTGGCAAAAACGTCCATGGGCTAGAACTTTGTTAGCTGCTCAGATGTATTCTTCACAGTAGGCTGAACCAATATACTGCAGGATATATTGTCATCAAGATGACAATGTGGGATTTAGTTCTTAACTGCTTATGTCACGACTATTAGCTTTTAAGAAGCAACAGGACTGTGAGAAATACTGTACAGTACTATTAAAATCAATTATTAAACCCAGGAGAGTATAAGCCATGATTCTTGTAAGATGTAACATCCCTCCATTCTTACATTCATAGTTTTCCTGTGCCCTACAACCCACTTCAACTCACCTGGGTGACAATAAGGTAGAGTTTTCCATGTAAGCGAGAGAGCTTCTGCAAAGTCTTCACTCTGCTCTCCATTAACTGATATAGCATTCCCAGCTGAGGGACCAGATCTGGCAACTGAGGAGAAGGAGAGGGAGAAAGCATTTGTCTCTTAACAAGATACATGGGAATAGTCAACATTTTATTATAACACCAAGCCAGCTGCAATATTATAAATATTAAATATAAATATTAAATATACACATATACACAAGAGGGGTACATGGTTATCTCCCACTTTATTACTGCAATATGCTCTATGTGGGGCTACCTTTGAAGGTGACTTGGAAACTACAATTAATACAGAATGCGGCAGCTAGACTGGTGTCTGGGAGCAGCCGCTGGGACCATGTAACTCCTTGTCCTAAAATATCTACATTGGCTCCCAGTATGTTTCCGAACACAATTCAAAGTATCGGTGTTGACTTTTAAAGCCCTCAGTATACCTGAAGGAGCGTCTCCACCAACATTGTTCAGCCCAGACACTGAGGTCCAGCTCTGAGGGCTTTCTTGGTAGTGACGCTCATCCTGTGGAATGCCTTCCCATCAGATGTCAAAGAGACAACCAATTACTGGGTCTCATCTTCTGGAATATGGCCTTCTCTGTGGTGACTCCCCAGTTTTGAAATTCCATTCCATGGGCATGAGACCAGCAGCATCAGTAATGGTTTTCTCCCACGAAGCAAAAGTATTACAGGTACTAAGAATTAGTGTCCAATTCTTCTTTTCTCCCCACCTGATGTCAGATGATGGGCAGGTGGGCATATTTGGACCAAACAGGGAGGCCCGAATAGGCACACAGGTTGGATTAACACCACTAAGTTAATCAATGAGAGACACCATTGTTATTTGTCACTGGACTGCTGCAGTGGGGTTTCAATTTTTGAAGGTGTGGATCTGCCCATAGTCTCAATATCAGCACAATTCAGAACCATGGGCAGAACGCAATGTTGCGCATGTGAGCTTCTGCTTGCATGCAATGGGGCTTAGCATTAAGAATCAGTGAGCTTTGGGACAGGCAAAGAATTCAGGTCACACAAATGGGATCGTTGAAGCACAAAGTTGGGACAGAGGAGAGCGTTTAAGAGTACTTACTGTTGAAAGGTAAGATGCATGTATAGTTAAAACGGCCTTTAGCCATCGAACCATTTGTGAGGCGCTGGAAAACAAGGAGTAAAGAGAGTGACCTGCATTTACTGACATGGGTTAGAAAAACAATACAAAGCATGCTTCATATCTCAAGATGAAGAACCCAACCCACTTCACAAAGGGATACAAATGAAGAAACTGTCAGAAATCATGATGTGCACAATGCACCATCTAAGCAGTACAGTTCACAGCAGTGGCATTTACATCAGCCCAAAGGGCAGCACCGCCTCACTCACATCTTATTTCCCCAAAGCAGATGAGAGTGCACATAGAAAGCTACCTCAATGCAGAATTACGGCCCTCTAACTCAGAATCACCTCCTTTGACTGTCTTTGGCTCCCCAGGGTATCAGACAAAGATCAACCAGGACAGCTCTAAGTTATTATGATGATTTAACCATTCTGCCGTCTTTAATAATTGAGGAATTTGCAATAGCAATAACTATCAGTTTGCCTGAAAGATAAATAAATCAGATGCACATCTGTCTGTGGATGTCACCCAGCCATGCTGCATTCATCTGGTGCTACTAACTGAACATTAATGCTCTTTTAAGCACCACTACTGCTGGATCGGGAGACTATCATTTATCACTGTCTAACAGAAGGATGGATCAGAGCTGCTACAAGGAACTTTCCTCCCTGTTAAATATTGATTAGTACAGTTTCAGATGTTTTTATGATCTTTAACTGCTGGTTATGTCTCCTTTGATAGTAACTCTTTTACAGAATTATGTCATATATGTTGACCGCCGCCCTGAGTTGTGCTTTCACATTTTAATGAAGAAAAATATGTAATCTCTGCTTACCTATATGGGTGCCCTTGCAGCCTTTTTGTGAGCTAAAATGGAATAGAGAAAGCAGGCACAGCTATAACAAGACTGATATAAACAGTTTTCTTCGGTAAGGCAAATATAAATTCTCAAGTGTTCAAAACCTTGCTTCCAAATAGGTTTGTAACTCAGCTTTCTGTTCCATTTGCTATTTTACTCATCGTCATCATAAAGTATTTTTTATAGCACAGGTTTGTTACTGGAGCACAAAAAACCCCAGAAAACAGTGTACTACATGGCAAACCAGATTGCAAAACATTATCTATCAACACCAGCTTATTAAAATATTGGTCCATTGGTTAAATGCTGGTTTCAGACTTGGTTTTTTTATTTTTACACAAAGGGCTGCACAAAGTGAGCCCTTGGTTTAACCAGGGATCATTCAGCAAGTTTGATTATAGTGTGATAGCTCTGTTGAACACTGAGAAAGCAGAATGGAACTTGATATAAAATTCAAAATCATGCACTGCACTCATTTTTAACCACAAGTTACAACATAATGTGATGTTTCAGTGTTCAGCTGCCATCAGAATAAAAGCCAATGGGCAAATTCAAGACAACATGCTGTGGTTTGTGTACAAATCGGCTTGGTTTCTACACACAGCTGTTTACTAGTCTGAACAGCAAAATATAATTTAAAGAGAAGCCTCCTGCAAACGAGCAGAGATGGTTCATAGGGATGGGGTGTGCCAAATTGATTGCCATTTATTATCTGCAATTATGATCCCTAAGTCTCTTTCTTTATATGTAGTTCTAGTATTTACATGAAAACCAATAAAAATTATTTGGATAGTCTGAACAGCTTAACTTCTGTCAAGTAGCACAGCGGCAATATTCTCCTCTGAATATGTCATGGCAGCCATTCCGCTTGGAATAATGCAATGAACTACATTCACTTGTGGTAAAATGCATTCTATGCAGATATTACTAAGATACAGTGCTGTCTGTTTCCATTTTTCAGAACAACCATTTATTTCACTTCTGGTGCTGCATCAGGTTTTATGTGACAAGAAACTAACCTTGTTTTCATAACTGGCTTTCAGCTTGACAAGGCACAGAATCTTGAGAACTAAAGGCCACTTTCATATGAAAGAGGCATACCATTCCAGTTTATGACAAAGCTTGTGTCTGCCTTGCTTAAACTAAGACTCTGGTGTCATGTTGGTATTGTAGTGACTTATAATAAAATATTTCTTACCTCATGCAGCAGAGGAATGACAGAGTACACAGGCATTCTGGCTACTGTTTTCTTTATTATTGCTTCCTTCTTGGTTTGAAGCACTTTCTGTTAAAAGAGGGGAAAGCAAATCAGGGAAAGAACCATGTTACTAGCTTATGCTCAGCACCAAAAATGCCCTGTATCAGAAGCCAGTGTGGCATATTGGGTAGTGCACTGTAATTCAACTGGTAAAGCCAAAGTTCAAAGTCCCACTCATCAGATGGCCTTGGACTAGTCAGACAGACAGACAGACAGACATAGACACACAGCCCTCAGCTCATTTGGTAGAGCATGAGACTTAAATCTCAGGGTCATGGATTCAAGCCCCATACTGGGCAGGGGGTTGGACTAGATGACCCTCGTGGGCCCTTCCAATTCTATGAAAATAATGCAAAAACAAGTGGGACCTACAACAAAATGTTTCAACGTGGAGTGGTCATGCTCACTATTAAACTTGTCAGCCATGCTTTCCTCAACAACACCTTAGTTCCAACCACCCTCCCACCAGGTTTTCAGTTCATTCCAAACAGCTACTGCATGAATGCACTTCCACTCACGCAACAGGACTTCACCTTCCCCTCTTCCCCCCACGCACACCCCAAATCTGCTCCGAAGTATCTCCCAACTCTCCCGAGCGGATCTTGAGGGTGCACAAGGGAGGGTGGTCCCTTTGTGCAAGTGAAATTCCATTCTGCGTGTGCACAATACAGTACTGGATGAAACGCTATGACAGCATTCTGTGGTGATTGAGCAAAATTAGTCCTCATGAAGACTTCTTTTGGTACTTCTGCAAATGTTGGGGTTCCCCAAGTTTACAGTATCTCCCCCCCTCTTGAAAACATGTGCTACCATTTAAGCAACAGAACTCACAGCCACAACATTGAAAATAGAGGGAACACATGGAACATGCAGCCCTGGAGTGTGGGTAGCCTGCTGCATGAACAGGCATGCAGTAACCAAAGCAAACCCCTCATTTAATTATTTCTATGCTACCATTCAATAAAGCTTCCAGGTTGACTTACACATAAGCAATACATAAAACCTAATAAATAAAATACTAAATATGGCTATTTGGTACAAGAGGGAGTCTTCCCTATCCACAACGCTCTTTACACTTACATTTAGTATTTCAGGATCACTGCTTTCCAAACCCTGAACTAAAAGCACTGCAAAATTGTCCGTCTGTGGAAGGCCTCCTGTTGACTGTTTCATTTTCATCACATCAATATCCATTGCACCAAGGCGGTCTTCAATGCTCTCCTATACAGCAAGGAAAAAGTCATTCTTATTTGCACAGCAAGGGGCACTACATACAGGACAGTATCCCCATAATTAAGCTTTGTGGTGCTTTTTATGCCACCCACCAATAAGCCAAATCCCTCTTCACAGCACTACAGTTGCATGTTGAAAGACCAGCCATTCATTAAGCTTAAGGACAGAACACAATCAAGAGATAATGGATGACCAGGAAGTGGGGTATTCTTTAGCAGTTTTTGCTTGGGGGGCTGTTGTTACTGTGGTGGATGTTGATTCTTTGTATCTTTAGCTTGTATCTTATGATTTATGTGGAAACTGTTCAATTTGTTTTTGTACTTTTTGATGTTTGCTTATTGTTTATGACTTTTTATGTTTGTAGTTACATATGTTTTTTTAAAAAAAAAAATATTCTAAGCCGTCCTTGGAAAGGCAGCATACAAATAAAATGATTTAGTTTCAATTCCCTGGGTTGAACTTTTGACCACTTCTTGTGAACCTCTGAACTGTCTGGTTAGAATAATCACTTAAAAACAAATAGCAATCATTTCCCCATCACCACCACAAAACATACACACGAAGTGGCAATACCTTCACACGTATATATGCCATTGATATGGCATACTGGCCACACACACTGTGCCTCAACACTGCCCCATGTGAACTGAGAATGTGCCCCAACACTGCCCCACAAATGTACACTATAAAGAAAAGCAAAAGAGAAAGCAAAGAATTGTACTTCAAGGAAGCTTATCCACTGTATTTGGCCTTCTTGCTGAGAAACCACAGGGATCCCAGAACACAACGTGAAAGTTAGTGTACTGAAGAAATATCTAAAGTGCATTCTCCTCCACAGTGTGTACTGTACATGGATGATTGTGCTGTGCATTTATTCTAGGCCAAACATCAATTCACCTCTCTACCAGCTGCAGTAGACTTTCTTTTGGTCTCCATTTTCTCTCCACGAAATGAAGGTTTGATAGCTGCACTATGGCCAGGAAGTCCAGGCATTAGCGTTTTGACTTCCGAGTTGATTATGGGAGTTTTCACCTTTTAAAAAAGAAGAAGAAAAGATATCTGCGTTTGTACGAGTACAACTGCCCCCCTATTTTACACAATAATTTTGATCTTGCTCCAATTTAATTTGCACAACAGATATTTCACTTGAAACCAAAACTGTTCTTTTAAGAGAAAACATACCTGGCAGCTAGTTCATTATTTAAACAATTTAAACGGTAAGAAAAATAACAGAAACAAGATACTTACTAAGCAAACAGAACTGCAGGGTTAATACCTAGAATTTAAATTTTATGATCTTTAAAATGCACTTTAAAAAAAAAATCCTAATAACCTGTTGAAATCTCTTGTGCCTTAGGAACTGAAAGCCATTATTGCTGGAATGGCAGAACGGCTAATGCCGCCATATGCCAGTTCTCAGTTGCCTCAGTACTTTTTTTAAAAAAAAAAACCACACCTTTATTAGTGACTTAAACTATACTGATTGCTTGGAACACTAGACCATCCTAAGATTCAAAGGGCAGCTGCTAGGGAAAGGCAAGCTCTCCAGTCCCTCCTTCCAGGAAGCATATTAACAGGAGATACAGGGTAGGTAGACTGATCACTCCTTAAGTCATATATGTGGGTGGAGGGTATCAAAGGCCAGTAAAAGCATGGCAATTTCCCATGGGATTTCCGTTTGCATTCTTACAGCAAGGTAGCAGAAGCTCAAATGGCCTTCCCACATTTTCTTTTATTCCGCCTGTACTGAGACCTGTGGAAGTGTCTGTCCCCCCACTTATGCAATGAAAATCCTTATGCACAATAGTGGGTCCGTGGGCCTTCTTTGAGTAGAACTTAATTGGGTACAACTTTTGAATGATATGGTTACTTTAACATGAATTTGTTTGCAAGAAAAGTCTGCATTTTGGAAATCTGAGTTTTCGCCAAAGGTCATAAACTAAACCACTGGAACCATCCATGCTCAATTTGTACATGGATAAATATCAAAATAAGCAACAGCTAATAGCACCAGATGCATGACAAAAACAGAACTTACATATTTTCAGTAATTACAGGACAATGCTCTATGCATGTCTACTCAGAAGTAAGCCACACTTATTTCCCTGGGGCTTATTCCCAAAGATGATTAGATTGCAGCATTATTTTGGCTCATTAAGCAACACTCATTTGGCTCATTAAGGAACTATCCTGCTTGCAATGAGTCTACTATTTTGGTGGGCTTTGTTTGGATCCTAATTATAAGGGCTCCTAGAACAGAGAGGCATGCCCCTGTGAGATATACAAATTGCTTTCCATCCTTTAGGTATGCTCAGACAGCCAAGAGAAATGTGTCATCATTGGAATTCAGCAAAAAGCGAAACCAAGATCAAAGTCATCACAGCATACTCGAGGACCTTAAACTTTCCCTTCCTTTGTGGCTAGCGTAGCAGAAGAAGCCCTGTAAGTTCACTGTTAGAAAGCTTACATTCGCCCATCTATGCCAATACGCAAGTGGATAAAATATCAAGAAACTGAAGACGAAATAGTTTTGTAGGTGTTGTTAAAGACAACACACTTATCATCATGAATATACTCGCAAATCCATCATTTTAAACATATCCATAGCAGAACTGTATCTTAGGTTCAAATCACCTTCACAGACAAAAATGCCAGTGTATTTAAAAATACATTCTGGGATGCCACCATGAACTTGCCATTTATTTTTTTTACTCTATGTATTATATCAAAGAAACCAACATCTTCATTATGAAAAGGATTACTTAAAAACAGATTTCAATCTTACCTTTGTCACAGCCATTTCTGTTTTAAGCATCAAGGTCTTCTGAATGTCTCTTACTAAGCACATATGTGACTCTGTAGTATTCACAGGCTACAACAGAGGGAGACACAAAAATAGATGTCGATACTTTCACAGGTCAGTAACTGTTTTTAGTCAAAGTATCCAAGTAGTTTCAGTAACAGGGAAGACTCTTGAATGAAAGCTTTTTAGGCTGTCCACTTCCCCCAATCATGTAACCTATGTATAAACTAAGCTAACAAAGTTTTAATTGCAACTGAATTGCTAAAACAAGAGGCTATATGAACTTTTAATTAATGAATTTTTAATTATGAAGCAAAATCAAAGCTTTCCTGAAATATTACAAGGAGCATCAGATAAAACTCAGCATGAACTAGTAATAATCTCAATTTAGATTCAGATTCTGTATCAAGGCATCAACTTTTGAGTTTCAAAAAGACATCACATACCACTCTCTCAATGACAGGCTGTAAGGAGTTTCCATACATAAGTAGCAATGATTCCTTATCGGAACAAAATGCAGCTGCTAGAATAGGGATTGGCTTTGGCGTGGTATCACTTCCCTCTCCAGATGTTGCTACCTGGATTGTACATTTTGATGTCAATGGTTTTTTGCAGGAACTGCAAGGAAATAAGTCTGTTAAATATTATATTCTGCACACCTGTCTCCGCAGTTTTAAAATCTCTTCACAGTCAAACATGGGAGCAAGCCTCACAACCTTCCAAAGCTACTTTTTACTGCCAATCAAAGCTCAAGCTCCATAATGAATGAAGTTAGGCATTAATCTGTATACAATCCTTCATAAAAAAAATTATCCCAGGTTGGTTTGCCTTGACAGAACTAACCAAAGACCATCAAGTAGCCAATCAAATTCTTTGTAGTATGCCATCAACACAATTACCTCAGAGTTGGAATGCTGTAGAGAACTACAGCTACCATGTGCTGAGATGGCAAGGAGAATAAGCCTCAAGTTTGCCATTTTGCTGACAGGTTAACAAAGGCAAGTTATATTTGCCTACAGTGATAATCAGAGGCAAACCTGAGTATTGCCCCCCTCAATCTCACAGTTCTCTGCTTCAGTCATTAAAAACAATTCAAAAAGTACAGCTGAAAGGACTTCTATTAAAGATCAAATTATAAGACAAACACAAATATTGGGCTCTATTAAAAAGAGTATTCAGTGTTTCAGATACATCCAAACTGATCCTTGCTGCCAACAGAGATTTGTCCCACTACTCTCTTCAATGCTTTGGTAACACAATATTGAAATAGAGATGTGTGTATGTTTAAATACCAACTTACCCATTCAAGACTTGTTCAAATAAGTGCAACTGTCCATCTCTGCATACAACTGCTAATTTAACTGGCTGAAAAGAAATAATACATCATCAGATCACAAAACAACTACCATATCAATAATTCAGATATTTTCTCTACTTCTATAAATGTGGTCAAATAGATTAGCTGGTTAGAGCATAGTGTTGATAACGCTAAGGATGCAGGTCGATCCCTCTATGGGACAGCTGCATATTCCTGCATTGCAGGGGGTTGGACTAGATGATCCTCAGGGTCCATTTCCAACTCTATGATTCTATGAAATGTTCATCAGACACATTTACTATAAATACAACTTAATTATTTAAAATCACAAAGTTTCTTTTTAATGGCTGCTTTTTAAGTTCTCCAGTTATACAAAATAGATCAGAACTGAGCCAAAATAGTTTCTACACAGTGGCATCAGAAAATCAATAGGTGAGTTACATTTCCTTACCTCCTCTTTGCTTTCTGACATTGTCAGGTCGATATGGATCGGCTCATCTGTAGCCATGAAACTCATTACAGCATTCCTTTCTTTCCTGTCTGATCTCACCTGCCTTGAGATATAATAGTGACAAAAATGAGGCAAAAATAACCAAACAATGACACCATAGTGTAATGTAAGCACATGCTCAGAGAACCCTGGAAATTCATTTCTGCACTGAACTGTGAAGGAATAGAAGCCACGTTTTTCATTACATCTGTTCACAGCAACTATCCAAAATCCACATTTCTGATCATGGAGCTTTTTGTGTTTCTAAGTACATTTCATATTTTGGGGTACAAACTGACAACACTGATTGTTAGGGGGAAAGCTACATACCAAACATTGAGTAACCGGTCATGCACTGCTCCAGATAAGAAATATAGCCCTGTAATTCCATCGAAGGGTTGATTTTCATTGGGAGGCCGTACTGTGACGAACATAAGAGTTGAAACTGCTGTAGCATGTCCTGTGAAATGCTAGAGAAGAAATTTTAGAAATGAAACCCAATTAAAAAATGTAAGATAAAAGATCTTTTCCACACACCAGTTCTACCAAAATCAATGGGATTTTCTTACGAGAAAATGAATTTAGGATTAGTATGAAAGGCAAGTATTAAAGAAAACCACTTTTAAATCCAATAACAGTAAGCTTATATGCATTGCAGCAGAAGTTGTAAGTCTTGTGTTTGGGATAAATGAAGAGGTAAACTGGTAACGATGTTCTTTATCCAAAAAAGAAATGATGTTCTTTTGTGAGCTTGAGCAAGTCATTTTAAGAATGCATTTCAGTACATTAGATCATTATCTCATGATGTTATTGCTTTCTATTTCTCCAATCATTATTCTTTCCATAAGAGTTAATCTATTCCATCTTTCTGTAGAGCTTCCCAGAAAGGTAATATAAAAAATGTCAGGTTCAACAATCAAAGAGGCTCCTTAGAATAGCAGGAAACCTATTACAAATTAGTTTTGCATAATAATGCATTACAGTGTCTTGGGGTGGGAGGGACAGGCAGCTTGTCATTCTCATGTGCTCAAAGGTACTGTATTTCTGCATGTAACGGAATCATTTTTCCAGAATTTGTGGAAAAATAAGCACAGGGTAAGCATTGGTCAGTGTGCTTCAAAAGAAACAAACTTATAGGTCTGGGTATATCCGTCATTTGATATATCCAAATCTACCTTAGGAACTAAGACATAGCTAAGTGGGAAAAAAGGCTTCGAGCTCATCAGCTCAACAACATAAATTGCTGTGTTAGACTGGGAACCACCTTAGAAAGCTTTAGACAAACTATTGTTGTATAAGGCAATCAACGGCTATTTTTCTCATCTCCTGCTTATAAACTTCCCATAGGTACCTGGTTGGTCTCTATGGGAAACAGAACCCTGGACAAGACAGGATTTTGGTCTACTCTAGCATTACACTTATGTTATGTTTAACTAAAAACCTAGAAAAGTGTGTGTGTGATGAGGCTGATGGAAGGAGACTTCCCTGCCCACTCTTTCCCATGGCAGCACACCAAAAAGACTCTTCCAAAGGTTGGGAGACCCCACATAATCAAGCAAACGTAACAGCTGAGATTGAGAGTAGACAAGAGTCTTCTTCTGGATCAAAGAGCCTTTTGTCTACTTAGGGAAACCCCTGGACACAACTCTATGCTTCTGCATAATGCAGATGTAATTTGGTGAACAGGCTGCTGGCAGTGCTCAGACACAGCCAAGGAATCTCATGTCCTCATTCAACTGTCAGCCAGTAGAAACCACATTGACAGTATCATCACAGCAAACCTTCCAGCAAACCTCTATCTTAAATTATATTACTTAAACAGGATGAAGTGAAGCAACTCAGTTCACCATAAGAAGTTAGCAATCTTCCCTATGTTCTTATTTACCCCAAGTGAATACTTACTCTGTAGACTTCCTTGGTCTCCAGGTCCCACAATTTGATAGATCGACCAGCTGACAGAAGCATCTTTCCATCAGGACTGATGCATAGTGAGCTCACACTGCTGTTATCTCCTTTCCATTTGCTAGAAAGTTTGAGAAGAATGGGAAGAACAGTGAGCACAGCTCTGGCAAGAGTACGTACCATGGCAAAACTAAAGGGAGGGGCATTTAAAATAATAGAATTCTGTAGCCTCAAAACATTTGTTTCAAGAGTGTTAAATGTGCCATGGGAAGTGATTTACAAGAAGTATTAAAATTACCAATAAAAACAGTTAAAAGTAAGTAATTAAAACATTTAAAAGATCAAAACACATCAGCATCTATATATCTGGACAGGCTTGCGTAAACAAAAATATTTTAAGCAGGCACCAAAAAGAATACAGTGAAGGAACCTGCCTGGTATCAACAGGCAGGGAGTTCCAAAGTGCAGGTGCTGCAACAGTATCTTACAACTGTAGAATGAGTATTACGTGGCACCTGTAACAGAACCAGGTCCACAGATCAAAGCAGTCGAATTGGTATGGTAATCCTGGAAGTAAACTGGTCCCAAGCTGTTATGGGTTTTATTTGCCAATTGTATATATATCTTAAATATATAAATGTGCATATAGCTTTTCAGGGCTCATCGGAACTGTGCCAGCTCAGCCCACTCAAATACTGGCCTCATTTGTAACAGCTTAAGAGACCTAGACAACAGTAGTCTGGGCAGTTGTATGCTAACATATACAGGCAACCTCCGATTTGCATGTGGGTTGTATCCCAGGTAATCGTGTGTGATGGTGAAGTGCGCATAAATCAGACCCGCCCCCTTTTCTGGCCACTTCCAAGTTGCCATGATGTGTGGGTGCATGGCCACGCATCAATTGGACATGCATCAACTGGTTGTAGCCTGTATGCCAAGTGCAACATGTAAATGTTAGGCTGAGCAGGGAAGGCAACACAATTATGTGTAAGGTCTGTAAATCTGCATAAGGCTTCCGGTATGCCATAAGGCTTCCGGTATTCCAAATCATACATATTTTGGTTTAGCCATTCCTTGCAGAAGCTCAATAACTTCAGAGAAGCCAGAAAAAAATAAGTGAGGAAGAAACATTCCCTTTTTTGCAAATGGACAACTTGATCAACACAGGAAGTCTTCTATTAAGTTTGCATGCTTTAATCTTCAGAAAATGTGCTTTAATAACCAAAACAGATAAATAGACCTTGTGCTTTATCCTGCCCGCCCCCCTTTAAGAAACTTTAAAATGCTGAGCTTCTTCTGAATCCAGGAAATACTCCCAAAGACAGAGTTTAAATGCAGCTATCTGAAATAAATCAGATTCACTCCTGTAATAACATCAGTGGCGATATTATCACTGTACAGCTATAAACACCTCCAGGCACCTGCAACATCTCATCTCTCATATACCTATGATTTTTATCTCATGTTCTCTACACTGAATGTGCTCCCTGATTGCAACTAAAATAACTCACAAATAAATCCTTTTAGCAGCAAAACAACCTATCGTCCACACAGCAGCCACCAATTTAATTGCTACATAAAGTAAAGGCCTTAAGCGCCCCAACTTGAATGAGAATTCTTACTGCACGCACATCATAATATAGAGGAAATAATTTGCTGCAGAAAATATGCCATTCCCCCCCCCCGCCCCAAATGTCTTAAACCTCCATGTATGGCATCTACTCCAGCAATAAATTCTCTGTAGCTGTTTTGTGTTGTTTTTAAAACCAGACTCACCATTTCACTTTGCACGTCTGTGTGTTCCATTCCACAATGTGTTTGTCATCTGAACAGCTATATAAGCAGCCATTGTCCTGGTGCCACCGTACACAGTTTATTTTACGGTCATGACCACTCTAGATGAAAAGAAAAGGTTATTAGCAAGTAACATCACTTCCCTAGTGGGGTTAGATCAATCTCTGCTACCCTTCTGTGGCCACTTCAGTACTTTTGCAAAAACATTTGTCACTGGGGCGCTTGTGGATTACTCTGTGCTCTATCATTCACGCCCAGTAACTTCATGCTTAGGGCAAACTTCTTCAGGACAAAGTAGTGGAAAACACATGGCTTTGTTAGCCAGGGTTGAACTAGACGTAGCAGCAGCAGGCAGACCATGTTTGAACACAGATGGATTGTTATTATTAGTAGTAGCATCATCGTTGTCATTTGTTGTTGTTGTTGTTGTTGTTGCATTTATATTTCACCTTTTTCTCCAAGAAGCTCAAGGTGACAAACATGGTTCTCCCATTCCTAATTTAATCCCCACAATAACCCTGTGAGGTAGGTTAGATTGAGAAGCAGCTACTGTATTTTTCGCTCTATAAGACGCACCAGACCACAAGACGCACCTAGTTTTTGGAGGAGGAAAACAAGAAAAAAATATATTCTGAATCTCAGAAGCCAGAACAGCAAGAGGGATCGCTTCTTGCTGTTCTGGCTTCTGTGATAGCTGCGCAGCCTGCATTCGCTCCATAAGACACACACACATTCCCCCTTACTTTTTAGGAGAGAAAAGGTGAGTCTTATAGAGCAAAAAATACGGTAAGTTTCCTCATCCAACTACTGTCTCCATCCCAGGTAACACCATGCCCAATGAAAAATCCTGAAGAGCCCAACAGCTTGACACATTCTTCTGACTTTTTGGGTTGGTACTAATAAAGGTGCTATCTAAGAGTGGGCGTTGGAGGGTTTTTTCTCTCTCTTATGGACCAACATGATTATATCCTTGTTTTTAATTGTTTGAGTACCTCTTTCCTGAGCTGTCCCATAATCACTACATCTAGTCATACAAGAGATGTGTCCACTCTATCATGCTCTTCTACTTTTCAAGTTCTCCCTGAATGAATCATTTTAAGAAGGGGGCTCCTCAGCATTACCATAGATGATATGAGGATCTGCAGAAACTCCTCTAGCAACTGGACAGAAGATGCAGAAAATGTACCATTTTCAAATGTGTCTTTAAAAATTGTACAATAAAAACCACAGCAAAGAACTACAAACTGTGACTTCAATGTAACCCTAGGAAAACTGTGAAAAGTGGTGGGGCAAATTAAAATGGCTAACAGGTAACATCAAATTACATCACATCATTGGCATGCAGGCAAAGATGGCTAGAAACAGCCCGGCAGGCCAAAGGTTCCCCATTATGGGTACCTGAACTTGCTTATTACTGACATATTGAGGTGGTATGAATATTTTATGTATTTGTATAACATTTCTAATCACCCTCCGAAATTGTTTACCTTTTTGGTAACTGCAGCCCAGCGGAAATGCATGAAGCAGACCACTGACTTACTACCCAAATATCAGGGAATACTTCCAGAATATCAAGGAAGCAAAATTTGTCCATCTGCGTCATGAGACCCTTCTGGCATTTCAGCCTGCTTCTGGCTTAACTTGAATTATCCCCCTTGAATTCTTTATACATCTTGCTATTCCTTTAAGTCCACTTACCCGGACACTAATATACATGTTAAAAAACCATAGGTCCACCAAGAGAGATACATTGTAATTTACCCAAATATTAACTTCCCATCTTTTCAGTCACAGACAGGGAAGTACATTCTTTTACAAAACCTAAATAAGTTACTTATGAAGGACTTTGTTAATTTCAAGTAAAATTCATATAAGCAGCACACTGTCAGCACACTGTATAAGCAGCACACTGTAAAATTCATATAAGCAGCTGCATGAAATTTGGGTAATTTATTCTCTTGTCATGTATTTCACCAAAAACACAAGCATTTCAAGTTCCCATGACACCTTGCAGGTTTTACAAATTCCATTTCTAACTGCATCAATGCTTGAACCATTGTATGTGAGCTATGATTAAGCTAGTCTAATAAAACCTATGTTAAGAAAAATACAATTTATTTTAGTCATAGAAAAACATTGAATGTTGTTGCAAGTAATACTTACTAGTTTACTCTGTAATTCTCCTCTTATTGTGCTGTATAACAAAATGCTGCCAACTGCAGTACCAATAGCCAAAAGATCTAACTGTTCACCTGCTTCTGCAGCTTCAGATTTCCTCTTCTTTCTCTGAGGGCCTTCCTGTAAAGCGATCAAATGAAGACAGAAGAAATAGTCTGGTTGGCTATATTAAATTACAGTTTTACAGGCAAGGTCAGGGATAACCAATATTGTGCCCTCCAGGTTAAGCTGTAGTCCAATTTGCATCTTTCCTGATCATACTGGGTTGGGCTAATGGGAGTTGCAGTTCAACACCTGGAGGGCTCCATGTTTGCTATCCTTGGGCAAAACGAAACAAAGTTTATTCACACATTGAAGGGGATAAACTTAAGAGCCTTAGTTGTATATTTTAAAGAAAACCCAGAACAAAACCAAGCTCCTGCTTTAAATGCTTTATTCCCCAAATGAGACAACCTATACTCAATATTAAGTATTGCCTTTATTCCAGTAAGGGCCATGTTCAAGAGCAAGTTTAAAAGCACACATTTTGCTCTTTTTTTCCTCGTCTCCAAAACAAGCTAAAAATATTCTGCAAAATCTCTCTCCCAGCCACATAAAGAGGAAGGCATCATCTTCAATTTATTCATTTAAAAAGACTATGCCAAAAGTATGTTATTCACCTATGGCTACAAAAAGAGCTAATATGAATTAACAGGAAATGTTGTTCTTAACTGCCACCTTTAAAAAATATTGGGCCACAACTCAAATCATTCCGATCCAGTTATGCTTCTATTAACTCAGGAGGATTGTCTCACTAAGTAAACAATGGACAACCATTTTTGCTATAGTTTCATTATTTTAACTGATTTTCTATCTTCCTTTTTCTTCCAGCAGCCTGTAGGAACCCCTGCTCTCTTTTTTAACTTGTTTCTCTGAATCTCTTTATTAATCCTGTCCCCCAGTGTGCTCTACTCTCGCCATCCTCTTTGTAGTATGCATGTAGTCTTCCCTCTCTGCTTCAGTTCGCTCAGAACACTAAGCCAAACCGTGGCTTAGTGTGGTGTTCCCAGAGAGGAAACTGTCACTGCTGCATTCCTCTCCCAATTCTGCTGCCACCATGCTACCCAGGGTAAAGCCATGGTTTGACTTAGTTCATCATCCAAACCACAAGCTTGTAACCAATAACCAAGGTATTTGTCCCTTAATTATTTTTTAAAAAACAGCTTGCAATTTGCCTGGAATGAGACAAACCACAAATGGTGAGTTTTGACAACATACTAAGCCAAACCATGGCATAGCTCTGGGCAGCACAGCAGCAGGACAAGGGCATGAGTGCAGCGGCTGTGGTCTCCTCACTGGGAATCCACATGCTCACACAGTAAGTCAAGATTTGGTTTAGTGTTACTTGCAAACTGGGTTTCACTCCTTGCCACCATGGATGTGAGCCCCACCCTCCATTACCCCCTCTCTTTTCTATTTCCCTGCCCAAAGGCTTCTGATGCCCTATTTGTTTATAAAATTAAACCATTTTTTCCCCGTTTTGTTCCACATAAATCGCAATTCCCTCCTCTCTGCTTTCAGTTTCTATTTTGCTGTTTCTCTGCAGGCCGGCTCCCCTGCCCCCAGACCAACATCTGCCTTCCAGGTTTGGCAGTAATGTTACCCAAGATTTTCACCCTTCCCACAAGTGACACCAGTGAAGGAGTCTCAGTAATAGGCAAGACACACAGCATGAATGGCAGGTGTCAGTCTGGACAATACTGTGAACTAGACCACCACACAAAGAGCATATTTGATTTCTCACCTATAAACTCACTAAGCTGATTCTCTCTGAACTGCTAGCATGAAAACCTGAAGTCTACTTTCTTAAACTTATTTTAGGTTTGTACTGCTTTGAATTAAGCTCTGCACAAGCCTTAAGAACAAACTTTGGTTTCTGGCACCTAAAGTAGAAAGGAAAACCAAAAACATATACATATCACTTATATGTCTGTACGTGTGTGTGTGTGTGTGTGTGTGTGTGTGTCTCTCTCTCTCTCTCTATATATATATATACACACACACACACAAACACAAACACAAACACACACATACAGACACACACATATCCCATTTAAAATCTTACTTATAAATTAACATCTACAACCACACTAAGCTTGTTGGACTACAAGGCCCATGATCCCTGACCACCGTCCATCCTGGTTGGGGCTGAGTAATCCAACAACATCTGGAGGGCCTAGGTTGACCATCTGTGACATAAATGGTCGTTTGCTTCCAAATCAGAATTAGAAACATTTACAGCTCAGCTTCTGATTCTGTTTTAGAATCTTACTACAATTCATACAAACCATTTTTGCCTGTTTCAGACACTGCAGTGAATCACAGTATGTCTGAATCAGGATGTGAGGAAAGGAATCAGAGTGTGTGGTCTGAGTATGTGTGTATAGCTTTAACAATTGTACCAATTGCTACAGTAATTTCATTTAATACAAAAAAACCCCCAACTACACACAAAGCAGCTCTCCACTAAATGATTATACCTTTCCATGCATAAATTCAGATTTCTCCATACTAGAAGATTTGTCAACAAATTTAGTAAGCATTTGGGTTCTTAATTTTAAGGTTACAAGTAAATCATATTGAATGAAGTACTGATTTCAAAAGCCAACACTATCAGTTTTAGAGATGTTGAGGCTTTTTGGAATCCATGTTATCTAAACAGTTACATTTCTTTCTCTCTGCAGACCACTGTTGTTGTTTTTTTTAACAGGTCTCAAAATTCAGCACAAAGAAGCAATAAGTATTAAGATCTTTGGGGCGGGGGACAACTTACTCCTGATCAAACTGGGCATGGACAGAAGAAAGAAAGTACCCTGAAATACAGACTGCCCAGGTTGAGTTGAATGCTGCCAGGAAATCTGCTTTCTGTTTTATACTCATCTCCAGGACATTCTTAGTCTTGGTAGCAAGCCTTCCCTCTCAAAAATGTGTAGCCCTTTTTAATACGTTAAAAGGTGTTGAGGAATGCATGATGTTACAATATATAGATAAGCTTCATGTGACTAGAGGTATTTTAGCACATGAATTCTTCTGATCAAGAATACAGTCCTACAGTTGAACGGAATCTGTTCCGGAAACGCATTCGACTTCCAAAACGTTCGGAAACCAAAGTGCAGCTTCTGATTGGCTGCAGGGTGCAGCCAATCAATTGGAAGCCCCGTCGGATGTTTGGGTTCCAAAGTACATACGCAAACAGGAACACTCACTTCCAGGTTTGCAGTGTTTGGGAGCCAAAACGTCCAAGTACCAAGGCGTTCGGGATCCAAGGTACAACTGTAATGATTTTTATGTATTATTAAATAACATGAGCAACATGAATGGTTCAAGCAAGGGTGTTTTAGTTCTGCAACATTTTGAACAGAATTGGCTAACAAATGCGCCTATGGAAACAAAGTTTATGTCTGTACTTTACACTGACTTATATGTGACCATAGGAAAAAATGTGCACTAAATTTATTCTTTCAACTTGCTACAAGACTAGCAGTAACTTTGCCACGTTCCTTGGAAAACCAAGATAAAAAGGAAACTCTTCTAAGTTTGTGAATGATGTGGTGATATAGAGAAGGCTGCCCCTATTTATTTGTTCACATATCAGATTTAGTACAAAGAGCTCACAAGGCCACTGTTCCATTGGGATCAATACTGAGCAACTGATGGACTGTGCAGAAAATATCTGAACTAACAGAAAAAGCAGGTTATAAATAAAATAGTAAATTAGGACACCAAGGCTACATTCTATACACATTTAATAGGACTTGCATTTGAATAAACAGGGATGGGATTTTGCTGAAGAACATCCATGTGCCAAATGAGGACAACTGTTGCAGCAGAAGGCTACAGCCTTCAAAAGCAAACTTTGAAGCAATCCTTACAACAACCCTGGGAGGTTGGTTAAGAGGCTGTGACTGGCCAAGGGTCCGTCCCCCCGTGAGCTTCATGACTGAATGGGGATTTGAACCCTGATCTCCTAAGTCCTAATCTGACACTTTAGCTACTACACCACACTGGCTTCCTAGAGTACTTCTGCTATGGGGCAGCTATATAAATTAGGTAGGTAGGTAAATAAATAAATATGGGGAAAGCAAAACGTCAGAGAAGGATCTGAAATATTTTCCTTGAAGCATGAATTTGTCGTATTCTGGATTGTTTTGAGATTTGAGACTTTTTTCCTTTAAAACATAAAGCAGTATAGGAATGAAAATATTAACAATAAGAAATCTCATTGCCAAAAAAAGGTGCCTAGACATTCTGTTGTGGCAACCGTAACCTAGGTTTAAGGTGCCATTTGGCGATTAGCTTCTATATCTCTTACACGGCTCCCTTGCCATTTATCCTTACTCTCACTAAAGAAATTGAGATGTACAGGAACTAGTTTTGACACCCCTACAGTGATCACCCACTGGAGTGAATTCATTTGCACAGGATGAAGTAAAGGGGTGCACTGAAGAACATAACCAAGGTGGGGGGCTGCCCCACATCCTCTGTTACCAAGCTATCAAGGATGCAGCCCACTCCTAACTTGATCTGGGGGGTGGGGATTTATTTCTTAGTATCACTGGAGTGGAATAGCATTATGGAGACTGGCTTCCTATACACAGAGAGGGAGAGACTTACACACACCACCCAAGGCTGAGTCCTCAGCATCATCTCTGGACTCAGGGATTGGATTAGGAAAGGGGAGGGGGGCCATATCTCAGTAGTACCACTACTTGCTTTTTTATGCAAACCACCCCGAATTCAGCCCTCCTGCGTGAAACTTGAAAAGCTACTATACTCCCAGAGTGTGCAGATGATAGTTTTTTGCTTTTTTAAATGGAATAAAGTAGCTCCCTGAGTTCCTAACTTGAGATCTTGTTTAGAGCTTGGGGGGGGGGGGGAGAACGACCACCCAGAGCTTCTTTACAGACCGAGGCTAGGCTACCTAGTCAAGGCCAGGATGCGGTTTCGCCCTGGTGGCGCAGATTCCACTCGCACGGGGCGCAAACTCCTCTCTGCCAGCCACCATGCGACGGCCTCGGGGCGGAGCCACAGCGGAACACATGTGCTGCAGCTGCGGCCCAAGGGAGCCCTGGTGGTGGTGGAGGTGGACGGGGCCCGCTAGAGCAGAAATCCTCAAACCCCCCACCCCCAAAAAAAGAATCGGGGAAAGAGGAGGAAAACCCCCACTCACCCCCTATTGCAAAACCACTACACCCCCTACGAGGCCAGGCCAAAAAGCGCTGCTTTTTCCTCTTGGGCACCCGAGGCCCAGCCGCACGTGAGGAAGAAGCAAGGCTCGCTGCTGCTTCGGGTTTTTTCTGGGGTGGGGGTGGGAGAGGCCTCTCCTTTCCTGCCTCCCCCCTCGTTCCCTCCCCGCGAGGGCTGACAGGCTCCCTCCCGTCGGGGGAGGCGAAGGAGGCCCAGCCTTCCCTTCCCGTCCCGCTCCGACCCCCTCCAGCCCTGGGGGGACGGGGATACCTTGCTGGGCGACGGGCGGCCTCCTCCTCCTGCTGCTCCCGGCGGCGCCCAGGCCAGGCAGGTGCAGGCGGCGCTGAGGTGGGCAGAGGGCACGTACTCGTGGTGCAGGCGGCTGCTGCCCGTCTCCCACACGCGGAGCCGCCCGTCGGGCCCCGACAGAGCCACCAAGCGCCGCCCGCCGGGGGAGAAGGCGCAGGGGGCCGCCGCCGCGAAGACCGGCAGCGCGCCGGTGGGGGCCGCCGCCGCCGCCACGGCCGAGGCCTCTTCTCTCGAGCATGCTCCTGCCGCTGACGCCGACGCCATGGCGCTCGCTCGCTCGCTCCCGCACTCGAGGCCCGGCCCTCTCTGCTCCCAGCAGGCAAGCGGGCGGCCCCGCGTCAGCCACGTGGTCCGGAACCCCCACCCCCTCCTCCCCGCGCAGGCGCACTCGCCTCGCGCGGCTCGGACGCAAGGCGTCTCCTCTCGCCCGGGGAAGCGCGCGCGCAGGCAGGAAAGCAGAGAGAGGCAGGCAGGCAGGGGGTCGAGGGGCGGGCACAGCGGCTCGGCTCCTCCAGCGTGTGGTTCATAGCTGTCCACTTTTCCTTTTTCTTGCAAGGAATCCTATTCGCAATAAGGGAATTTCCCTTTAAAAACAGGAAAACGTTGACAGCTCTGGTGTGGTTTGCTCGCAAGCCCGTGGGGATCCGCAGCAGGATCTGCAACGCGGGATCCAATGCTTAGGAGTTGAGCTTGGGAAGCAACTAGTTGTCATGTTTGGCACGCCGCTATTCTGTCATAGCGGCCCTTGAGGCACTTCGTCGTCTCCACCCAGTTATTAAAAAAAAATAATCATCATCATACCGGTTACGCGCCGGCAATGTGGAACAAAGGAAAGCTAGGCGATCGCTATTGCTGACTTGAAGCTGCAACCCGGGAGTAAGCCTCAGTGAGCGCAGTAAAGGACCTCTGGCTAGTTGAAGTCTATTCAAAGGCGACTATGGGATGCGGCGCTCAACTAGCCTCTGAGTAGACATGCCTGAGGCTGTGCTTGTTGCACTTTTTTATCCTTCTTCACGTACTCCCGTCTTTCCTCTCTAAGGAGCTCAGTGACGGAGAAAAAAAACTCCTTTTATCTTCTTCGCACGAGCAGGATAGACATTAATCACATGTGAAGTGGCTGTGTTCTGAAATGGGGGACAAAGGTTCTGCTGCAGAGAACTTTACCTGTTCATGGCAGGGCCCTGACCTGCTATCTGATTTGGTTGCTACAAACAGATTGGAAATTCTGAACAGTTTCAAAATGGCTAACACGCTCACTGAAACATTTCCCCCCCCACATTCAGGCTTAAAATGGAATTACACCTCCAAAACGAAGAAATGCTGTGCTCCAAACTCTAAAGATACTTGGTTCCCCTGTAACCTTATGGGTGGAATTTTTAATGTCTAACTGGAGTACCAATCACATATTTGAACAGGCTATTTGAAATTAAGATAGCTTTAAAACCAGGCTTTGCTTGTGATTGGGCTTGCCGATCAGAAGGTCGGTGGTTCGAATCCCCGCAATGGGATGAGCTCCCGTTGTTCGGTCCCAGCTCCTGCCCACCTAACAGTTCAAAAGCACGTAGTGTGCTGGCGGGAAGGTAAAACGGCGTTTCCGTGCGCTGCTCTGTTCGCCAGAAGTGGCTTAGTCATGCTGGCCTCATGACCTGGAAGTTGTCTGCGAACAAACGCCGGCTCCCTCGGCCTATAGAGCAAGATGAGCGCCGCAACCCCAGAGTCATCCGCGACTGGACCTAATGGTCAGGGGTACCTTTACCTTTTAAAGCCCCTTTTGCATTTAATTTCATATGTTTTTTTTCATCTCAGAGGTGTATTCTCCACTTATATTTGCTCTGAATGCTCCAGTTTATCTAAACCAACTCTTTTACAGTGTTTCACGTGGCTTCTAATTTTGTATTACTTCAATGAGGGACAGCAAAAGGAGCAGCTGCTGTATGGCCATACCAAGTAAGCTATGTTGAAGGACTCAAACTACTTGGACTCATGTCAGATGAAGGAAGGTTGTCTCCACTTGGCTGCTGCCAAGGAGTTTCCAACTCCTATCCTCCACTAGATGAATTCTCACCCATTATTAAGAATAGATTGCTACATCATACCACTAAAAAAAAGTTACTTATTTAGAACAAAAAAGAAACAAAACACAAAAATATTGCTCACAAACTGTTTATATTATCCCCATTGATTTTTGAGCTGCAGTATGTAGTTGACTGAAAAACTTTTTTTTTATTTTTAATGTATTTTAATTCAATGATCTGTTTTTAAAAAAGCATTGCAAGCACTGCACCATCTCAGTAAGGACACTCCTAGTTCATGCACTTGTCTCTTTGAAGAACTGTTCTTTCCCCTTTAGAAGTATTGATTTAGCTGTATGTCAGTTGATCGAGATTTACAGTGCAATCCAGACATTCACTCCGAAGTCTCACTCTGTTCCAGGTAAGTGTCCGAATAAGTGCGCATAGGCTCGCTGCCGTAAATGATTACTCGATTAACACTTGTGCATTGTGACAACCGTACAGACTCCCCGCCCCTTTGATTAGAAACTTATAATTCTATCATGCTACACCTAATAAGTAGGTATTCTGAGCATCCACGGGAACGCTGAAGAGAGGCTGCAGACGCTGGGAGACATGTGGACAGCCATGTGGCGCTACATCGGCGCACGGCATTGACGTCACGCGTGCGCTCCCTTTCCCCAAAGGGACTGCGATCTCATTGTCCTATAGTAAAACGTCCGCTTTCCATTGGCAGCGGATAAAGTCCTCCATTTGCGGGGCATGAGGGGTATAAAAAATATAAAGTGCAATATCCAGATTGAATAATTAAAATATGTGCATTTATGAATACAGCGGGGGAGTTTAAAGGCTCTCTTCCATTGCGGTGCTTTAAATGAACCATGCCTCCTTTCTTGGGGAGAAAGGGGGGGGGGGTACAAAAGAAGCCAGGCGACCATGACTTTTTGTTTTCCTGATACGGCAGCTTTGTCTACTAAAGGCAGAAATCGATGAAAATGCAGGAATGAGCCTGTGCCGCTCGAAGCTGCCTCGATTTAGAAGACTGCAAGAGTGCCAGTGACAAGCTTCTGTTTGCTGCGGGGGGTTGCTAGCGGTTTTCTCCATTTAAAAAGAAATATGGCAGGGAAAGAGAACGGACCCTTCAAGACCAGCGGACCGAGGTTCAACAGGTACAGCCTTCCCTATCACGGAAACGCAGTAGTTCGCCTCTTCAGTTTTTCTTTTTAAAGGTGGGGGGAAGCACAATCATTTCCTACAACCGTTTCCAACCCAGCCTGCTCCGTTTGCCCAATACGCGTGTCCCCCTCTGGCCCCGCCCCTCGAGGAGCCTAATCGGAACCGGAGGTGGGAGCCGCGCGGAGTTCCGTTCGCTTTCTCCGTCCCTTTGACCCCCTCCTCGCGCTGTTCAGCCCGGGCGCCTGCAAGGCTCCCACTAGAAACCTACTAGACGTCCGCACTTTCGCCGACGTCCTCAGGATCCACGGTGGCTGCTGCACCGCGGTGCGTAGCGATGCAAGCCGCCCTCAGGCCCGGGGGAACCTGCAGCGGTGCAAACCCTGCGGTGGCCGTCGGAGAGACCTAGAGGAGAGGAGGGTCCGCGGGGCGCCTTGTCCAGGAAGAGGCGGCCGTGTATAAAAGCGACGATGAGGTGCTGGCGCCTCGGGAGCCTGCTGGAGGTGCGCGCTTCGAGCTGGGAGAGTCGGGCTGCTCTCGCGGGCAAGCAGCCGCGGCCGCCCTCGAGGGACACGCTGGGCTTCCCTCGGGTGGGCGCTCCAGAGACCTGCAGCGCCCACCCGAGGGAGCTGCAAGGGGCGCCGCTGCTGCGCGCGGGGATCGGCTCCATAGGCTCGAGCCGCAGAGCGCTTTCTAGCTCCGCCGGGGACAAGGATGGACGGGACGAGCCCGAGGGACCGCCGGCCGGCTCTGCTGCGGCTCCGGGGCCGGCGGTCGCTCGGAGGCGCGCGTGGCACAGGTCGCTCTCTCCCTCGGAGAGGCTGAGCCAGCTGGTCCAGCACGGGGAGCTCCTTTCCCCGCCCGTCGTAGAGGAATCCTCCTCCCTTCCTTTCGCCAACGTCGTTCCCCAGGAGGAACTCCAGCCGGATCGGGACTCTGCCTCCGAGGAGCTCCGGGACGCGCCTTCCAAAAACGCGCCCTTCCAGGTCGGGGATCTGTTCCTAGCGGAGAGCCGACGGAGGCGCGACGCCGAGTTCAAGAAGCTGTGTAAACTCACCGCCGACGGAGTACTGACTAGCACCTGGGGGGCGGTGAAGTACGCCGACATCGTGGGCAAGCTCCCCGGGCAGATGTTCCGGACGTCCACGGGCCACACCTTCCTGATTCGGAGGCCTTCGCTGGAAGAGTTTGTGTTGCTGATGGAGAGAGGACCCACCATCTCGTATCCCAAGGTGGGAGAGCTTTGCCGCCGCCGCCCCCAAGCTGTCGTTGGACTCCCGCTCCCATCAACCCCAGTCGACGTGGCCAATGGGCAGGGATGGCGGGAGTTGTAATTCCAGGGACAGCCTGGGTTGATCCAGCAATAGCGATGGAGGCGCCTTAAGGGGGAACCTGATGATGGCTTGGACCACTTTTTCTCCGATGGCTCCCGGAATTAAGGTTACTAGTACAGTGTTGCAAAATCTAAGTGATGAATGGGGTTACAGGTCAGATGGCAGGTCCCAGAACAAAGGCCAGTGAGAGAGAGAGAAACCTGAAACACTGATTGCCCTGGTTTTAGAGCAGTAAATCTGGAGATTTCCCGTCTTAAGCCACCACCACCATTAGGTTCAGAATCTAAAATTACCTAATAGCCCACTGTTTGAAGGGTTTACTAAGATATATAAGTGAAACGCTTTGAACACTGTAAAATGGTATATAAGTGCTGAGTAGTATTCTTATTTCCCCATAAGTCTTAGCCAGCGGTTATCAATTTGCTTAAAAAGCACAAATTTGCTATAAAGCACAAAGGCTAAGCTAAACATTTATGTTCTTTGCTCTTTTAACATGTAGGATATTAATGCAATGCTGCTGCTAATGGACATCAGTCAAGGCGACACAGTGCTGGAAGCAGGTTCTGGGTCTGGTGGTATGAGTTTATTTCTATCACGAGCAGGTAAAATATTGTCTGTTGACAGAATCCCAGCTCTCCCACACATTTTAAGAACACAGGAAGCTGCCTTGTATCGGGTCAGATTCCTTGCCTGCCTAGCCCAATATTGCTTACTCTGACTGGCAGTGGCTTTCCAGGGTTCTTCATCTTATGCTATATGTCCCTTTTAATTGGTATGCTTAGGATTTAAACCCAAAACTTTCTGTATGCAAAACATGTGCTCTATCATTGTCCCCCTTGTCATTATCATGCCCTGAATTACTCTTGAATTACTCTAATTTATTCAAATTTAGTCCTACGTGCTGGGAACTTTAGCTGCTTTCCAGAAAATGGCAGAGCTCTCATTTCATCACACAGGGCTGAAGTCAGAGGAAATGTTGGCATGTGAGAATGGATGCCCTTTGGGGCATAGGAACACTCTTTAGGCACCTTGACACTGACACTTTGGACACTAAATGTGAGAATCAAGCCTTGGTGTACTGTGCCCTCCTTTAAAATTACATCCTGCGTTTCACTAAGAAGTTCAAGGTGCTGTACATTATTATTATTTATTGAATTTATATACTGCCCTGTACCTGGAGGTCTCAAACATGGGGCTATGCCATTTTTTAAAACCACAAACAACACAGGAAAGTGCATTGGAATAAGTGAGTGATTAGTTCAGGGGAGCCAATGTGCTACCTTCCTGGTGGTGTTGGACTGCAGGTCCCGGTCATCACTGCATGCTGGTTGGGTCTGATGGGAATTGTAATCCAAAAACATCACAAAGGCACCAGGAATAGCTTTCGATTAGCCTTAGGTTGCCCAGTCAGCATCACAGCTGCTTGTAGATTTAATCATGGGCCTTCCTGTCCCAGGGACACGGGTGGCGCTGTGGGTTAAACCACAGAGCCTAGGACTTGCCGATCAGAAGGTCGGTGGTTCGAATCCCCGCGACGGGGTGAGCTCCCGTTGCTCGGTCCCTGCTCCTGCCAACCTAGCAGTTCGAAAGCACATCAAAGTGTAAGTAGATAAATAGGTACTGCTCCAGCGGGAAGGTAAACGGCGTTTCCGTGCGCTGCTCTGGTTCGCCAGAAGCGGCTTAGTCATGCTGGCCACATGACTCGGAAGCTGTACGCCGGCTCCCTCGGCCAATAAAGCGAGATGAACGCCGCAACCCCAGAGTCGGTCACGACTAGACCTAATGGTCAGGGGTCCCTTTACCTTTATCTTCCTGTCCCAGGCCAGGACCAGCACTCTGGTAACTACACCTAGCTATTATCACAAAGTAATTGCATAAATGTGCAGACATACTTCTGTGACCAATACAATCTGCTATCTTGAAGTACAGTTCGTGCCTTGCATTGTTTATTCTGTTATCGTCAGGTTGAGCTTTCCTTTCAGGTGAAGACATCCAAGTCCTCATTCTGGCTTGGAGATCTATAGCAGATATCCACAGTAATGTCTATTAGGTCATATTTGCCTTCCTGTATTAAGAGCTCAATTTCTTCTTGCTTGTTTCCCATCCTCTGTGTATTTGTGTAGAAACAACTGAAACCACGAGTCATTCTTCCACACACTGCTGCTTCTGCCCCACTCTGTAGAGAGTCACCTGCCACCACCACACGTCTCTTCCTTCTCTGCAGGTGCATAGGAATTTGCCTTATACCAAGTCAGACCCTTGGGCCATATAAGCTCAGTATTCTCTACACTACAAGGCAGCAGGCCTTGAGGGTTTCAGACAAGAGTGTTTCTCAGCCCTAACTGGAGATGTCAGGGATAGAATCCAGGAGCTTCTGCATTCAAAGCAGATGCTCCACCAAGCTATGGCCCTTCCGCTAAAGCACATTGAAATGCTGTATGTTACAGCTTAAAATTTGGTAGCTCCTGAAAACACCCAGTGGGGGATAAGCAATGACTCTAGGAGGTGAGTGCCATAATAGTATTGCAATTTTATATTGTAAACTAAGCTGTGATCCTTGGATCAAAGGCAGTATAGAAATGTTAATTAATAATAATAGTGCCCTACTGCCATGTAAGCTTATAGCCCTGTTAGCCATTATGCTCTGAGTGGTTGTAATATTAGGAAATAAGTTATCATATCTGGTAGGCTAGTGTTTCATTTCCTGTGTCATTTATTCAACTCGGCAGAAATGAAGAGAGCAGTAACTAATTTTGGTTCACTTTTATTTGTTTTCAGTTGGGCCACAGGGACGTGTTGTAAGTTATGAAGTCCGGAGAGACCACTACAGAGTGGCGAAAAAGAATTATAAGAGGTGGCGTGATGCATGGAAAATAAGTCATCCTTTAGAGTGGCCAGATAATGTGGATTTCATTAATGAAGACATTTTAACAGCAGCTGAAGCTTTGAAAAATGTAACATTTGATGCAGTAAGTATCTTTAAAAAAACAACAACAAAGAAACAAAACGGGCACCCTGTTTCTGGAATTATCACATCTCCCCCTGAGAAAAGAGACATATGAGAAAAGTGGATTGATCTTTTTTCAAAGCTAGAAAGCAAGTACTTCGTAATGGTATATTTAGAGAGCAAAAAGCTGGTGTAAAGGAAGCCGGTTTAAGTTAAGGTGGTATAAAGTTACACTAGATTCAAACTTTATTCAGCAGTGGTGTTACTGCTGGTCTAATATCCTCATAGATTTGCACAGAAAACACATCTTTTATATTCTCCTTTAAAGTTTTTAAAAACAGAGTAAGTTCTGTTCTCCAACCCAATTCATTCTTTGAAACAGTGAGTAGAAAAGGTTTCTGTGCTGCCCATAGTTCTCCATTAGAAAGAAACTTGTGAGGGTTTTTGATTGAAATCTTGATAATTTCTGCTTCAGTTTTTAGCTGTGTTTTTTGGTGGTGGTGGGAGGGCAGTTACTTCTAGTGAGTACAGAGAACATATATTGGGATTTCAGTGTTTGCTGGAAGGGAAATAAAAATAATACTATTATTACTGTTAGTATTAATGGTGATGCTGTTTTGTATTATTGCAACTCACCATGACTTTTCCATTACCTTGATCACTTTCTTTTCACCTTTTAATATAATTTATCCAAATTAATATTCTAATATCCTCATAGATTTGCACAGAAAACACATCCTTTATATTCTCCTTTAAAGTTTTAAAAAATGTATGTTTCTTCCATAGATAGCTTTGGATATGCTTGTGCCCCAGAACGTTTTATCTGTGGTTATCCCAAATCTTAAAATGGGGGGCGTTTGTGCAGTATACCTTGCAAAGTAAGTATTGATCCTGCCTATTTACATGCTCCTTTCTGCTACATGGAGTGATAGCTTCATTAAACTTGCAATGGCTTCATGCAGTTTGTTTATAAATGGTCTTAAAGATTATTATAAAGTACATTTATCCTAACTTCAGATTTCCAAAAAGCTATAACTGACGGACACAAATATCTTGGTCCGATATACTGTTATTTATAGTGGACTGAGACTGAACCTTCCTCCTTGTCCTTCCTCCTTTTCTTATCTCCCTTTGCATATCAAGCTTCAATAAAAAGAATGTGGTTTATTAAAACAGTTTCCTGTAGCATCCAAACTGGGGAAACTGTGACTTAACAAACTGCAATATATTCCTCTAAGCCAGGCACCCAAGAAGGGAAATTACAGATCTAAGGGTCTTTCTTAAAGTTGTTTTGACTGAGATCATTGCATCTGATCTGGTTTTAGTATAAATGTTATTGTAATAGACTTTTGATATGCTGCCTTGTGTGCTTCTAAGTTGACGGGGAAAGGCAAAATATTAATGTTTAGATAGCATCGGGGCTAGTCAGTTACATCATCAGTGTGTCCTAGTTCCTAATAAGTGATAACTGATGGCTGTTTGTCATGTTTTATAGTCTCGTTGCTCTTTGGGATAAACGGACTTGTAGTTCAGGCAAGAGAGCTAGTTTAGTAAAAACGTTTGGGCTGGCTACAGTCAAATTTAAATATAGCTCTTTAACCAAGTGAAATACTGCAGTCCTGTGCACACTTACTTGGAAGTGGGACTAACCTCTGAGTGAATAGGCATAGGATAGGTTTACAATACAGTGGTACCTCTGGTTAATTCGTTCCGGAGGTCCGTTGTGATGGGATGATGAGCTGCTTGTGCGTAAAATCGTATCCCCTCAGAGTTTGTTCAAGTCCACAAACCTCTGTCTGTGACGGAGCCCCTCAGACATGGCTACTCTAGTCACTAGCAGATTCCGACAGTGGTTGCTTTCGTAATCGCTTCCAACATAAAAGCTCCTTAACGGAAACCCGTCTTCTGGAATCTCTGCGTGACAGTTTCCGGCGAGGAGTGGGTGTTCTTACAGGAGGTCCTGAAACTTCCCCACTGTTTTCGCTGGAAGTGTCTCTGAGCCATCCCTCCAGCTCAGCTCCTCTCCCCCTGCTGGTTCCCTCTTCAGCTGCTGCGTCTCTCCCAACCTGTGTGAGCCCTTTCACCTCCCTGTTGGTTCCCTCTTCAGCTGCTGCGTCTCTCCCAACCTGTGTGAGCCCTTTCACCTCCCTTCCGTCCGATGGCAGTTCCCTGACATCCACCTCCCCCTCCAGGGCCCCCTTCACCCCCTCTCGCCCCCTCCTCTACGGGCGGTGAGGAGGCAAAACCCAGGAATGAACTTCCTTCATCTTCCGATGTCTCGAACACTTCTCTCAACCTGTTGCGGTTCCTGGTCTCGAAGTACACCTCCTCCTCAGAGTCCATCTCCCCTTCCCCTTCCGAGTCCGGGAATCCTTCCAACTCCTCCCCTTCATCAGTGGTCCCAAAGTATTCCCTCCGGAACCTCTCCACAGGCTGAGGTTTCCTTGGGAACCTTTGATGGAACGTTTCTATCAATACCTCGTCATTGATATCTTCAGCCATTACCCAAGTGTTTTCTGACTCCGGTTCTCCTTCCCACGCTACCAAATACTCCACCTGATCCCCCTTCCACCTGGCGTCGAGGATTTCTGCCACATGGCTGCTGCATTCTCTTTCTTCTACGACCGGTCCCCGAGGGCCAGCCCTTCTCGTCCCCCTTCGTACGGTGACAGTAACGACCTGTGAAATACTGGGTGCAGTTTCATGTGGTTGGGTAACCGGAGCCTGAAAGCCACTGGGTTGACCTGTTGAATGACCTCAAAGGGACCCAACCTCCTGGGTCTTAATTTCTTACAACCTCCTTTGAACGGCAACCCTTGGGTTGACAGCCACACCCTATCTCCCACCCTTATGGTTTCACCTTCCCTTCGGTTCTTGTCTGCCTGCCTCTTGTATTCTTCCTTCGCCCTTTCTAAGTTGAGTTGGAGCTGACGATGGATTGCTTCCATTTCTTCCACAAAATGCTCGGCTGCCGGGACACTCCATCTCTCCCCCCTCCCCCTGGGAAAGCCCTGGGATGACACCCATAATTAGCCAAGAAGGGGCTCATCCCTGTGGACACATTCTCGGCATTGTTGTAGGCAAATTCCGCCAGCGCCAACTTTTCTACCCAGTCATTCTCTCTGTCATTGACATAACACCTCAGGTATTGCTGGAGGACACCGTTTGCTCTTTCCGCCTGCCCGTTGGTTTCAGGGTGCCGGGCAGTCGAAAAATTGACCTCCACCTGCAGTAAGCTCATGAGCTTCCTCCAGAACCTGGAAGTAAATTGTTTTCCTCGGTCTGAGACCACCCTCAATGGCACCCCGTGCAACCTAAAAATGTTTTCTACAAATAACTTCGCTGTCTCTTCCGCCGTGACTGCATGCGAGCAAGCTACAAAGTGGCACATCTTTGTTAGTAGGTCTACCACCACCATGATGGCTGTTTTCCCTTTGGACTTCGGCAGATCAGTCATAAAATCTATCGACACTGCCTCCCAAGGTCGTTCTGGGGTTGGTAAGGGTTCTAATAGCCCCGCCGGCACCCGCCTTTCCCCTTTGGCTCGCTGGCATTGCTCGCACCCTCTTACATACTCACGTACATCTTCCCTCACCTTAGGCCACCAAAATTCCCTGGTGACCAACCACATGGTTTTGTGTTGTCCAAAATGCCCCGCCGTAGGGCTGTCGTGCAACTGCTTGAGTTCCCTGAGCCTTTACTATCCTCCAGGGATATACAGTGCCCCTTTGTAATACAAAGCTCCATTTCTTTCCTCAAAACCCCTGGTTCCTCTCCATCACCCCTAAGACCTCTGAGCTTATTCTGGGCGTATTCATCATTCTCTGTTTCCTCTACCAGTTCTCTTTGTCCCACCAATGCCGCCCCACACACCCAGCGGTCTTCTGGAATGACATGTCTCTCTTCGGGTGCCCCCTCCCCTTCCAAATATTCAGGTTTGCGTGAGAGAGCGTCCGCCCTAATGTTCTCTGGGCCTGGCACGTAACTAATCTCAAAGTTAAATTTGGAGAACTCCTGGGCCCATCTCACTTGCCGTTGGTTGAGCACTCGTGCCGTCCTCCAATACTCTAGGTTCTTGTGGTCAGTGCACACTTGCACCTTATGTTGTGCGCCAATTAGCAGGTGCCTCCATCTCCGGAACGCCTCATGAATGGCTAGTAGTTCTCGGTCATACACCGTGTAGTTCCTCTCGGATTTGTTCAGCTTTCGCGAAAAAAAGGCACACGGTCTCCACTCTAACCCCTTCTTGCCTGGCTGCAGAAGCACCGCCCCAATCGCTCTGTCTGATGCGTCAGTTTCCACTCTCATCGGTTTTTGTAAATCCACATGCAGGAGTTGTTGTTCCGAGGCGAAGGCCCTTTTAGTTCCTCAAATGCTCGCTCCGCCTCCTCAGTCCACACGAACTTCTTCTTACTGCTGAGACAGTCCGTAATGGGCGCCGTCAGGTGGGCAAAGTTTCGGATGAACTTACGATAGAAGTTCCCAAATCCTAGGAACCTCTGCACATCCTTCTTTGTTTTGGGTGTTTTCCATTCCAGCACCGCCTGGACCTTGCCGGGATCCATGGCCAATCCTTTGTCTGACAGGCGATACCCCAGGAATTCCACCTCCTTGGTATGAAACTGACACTTCTCCAGTTTCACCCACAGCTGGTTGGCTTGCAGCCTGCTCAACACTTCTCTGACGTCTCTCACATGCTGCTCCTCATTCTCAGAATACACCAACACGTCGTCTAAAAAGGCCACACAATTCTTGTAAAGCAAAGGCCCCAGGACGTGGTTCATAAACGATTGAAATGTTGCGGAGCCTGCTTGTAGGCCGAAGGGCATAACCAAATATTCAAATGCCCCTAAAGGGGTGAACATAGTGGTTTTCCATTCATCCCCCTTCCTTATTCGTACCAGGTTGTACGCCCCCCTTAGGTCCAGCTTTGTGAAAATCTTTCCCTTCCGCACCCTTGTCAAAATGTCGTCAATCCTGGGCATAGGGAAGGCTACTGGTTCTGACACTGCATTTAAGGCCCTGAAGTCACACACCAGCCTCGGCTTGTTCGTGTTTTTCTTATCCACAAAAACACTGGGCTGCCCCCACCGCCCTGGACTCTCTGATGAACCCTCTCTTCAGGTTCTTGTCAATGAACTCTCTTAACTCCTGCATCTCTCTGTCTGACATGGCGTACAGCTTGCCTACAGGGAGCTGTGCTCCAGGGAGTAAGTTGATTTGACAGTCAAAGGGTCTATGCGGGGTAGTTGGTCAGCTTCCTTTCGCTGAAGACGTCACGGAGATCTGCATATTGTCGTGGTACCTTCACGTTCTCTGTTACTTCAGTCCCTGCTAGGGTGGCTTGGACCCCTGCCAAACCCTTTCCCTCTTTGCAGTGTTCTAAGCAATGTGCTGAACCAAAAGAAACCACTCTCTGATGCCAGCCCACCAGCGGATCATGTAACGCTAGCCAGCTCATCCCCAATATAATGGGAGCTCCTCCCAAGGTGGCCACATTAAAAGCTATCAGTTCGGTGTGCCTTGCTACCTTCATTATCATTGGGACGGTCTGCAAGCTGACTTCTCCACCCAACAGCTCCCTGCCATCGATAGTGGTCACCTGCAGGGGCTGCTTAAAGGATTGTCTGTATCTGGTGTTCAGCTGCAAACTCTTTGCTCATGAAATTGCAGGAGCTGCCTGAGTCCAACAGCGCCTTTATCTTTAGAGGGTGTCCGTTTGGCAGCTCTAGCGTCACTTCTATCACTAGGGCGGGTTTAGGAGGTTCTGGCGTGGGCACTCTCACTGCTCTTTGGCCTGGCTGCTGTGCCCTGACAGTGGCAGCCAGGCGTTGGCTTTTACTTGCTCCGGTATATTTTCCTCTCTTCCATCCACAGCTCCTACCATCCCTTGCCATTCTTTCCTCTGGGGGCAGACTCTGGCAAAGTGACCTGGCTGTTGGCAGAGATAGCATTTCCGGGCGCCTTTTCCCTCCTTCTTTGCCCCCTCACTGGGCTTTGAAACTGCGCGCGCGCGCGCTGTTCCGATTTCCATCGGCTCTGCCGGTGGGAAAGTTGGCTCTGGAATGTCTGGAATGCGGAACTCCTTCCAACGTTCCCCTTTCCCTTCCCGCCTCTCCAATGCTCTCGCCTCCTGGCGCGCTCCTATGGCCAGCGCTGATTTGGTCAGCTGGTCCATAGACTCCGCCCTGGGCGCCCGGGAAAGTTCGTCTTTCACAGCCGAAGAAAGCCCTTCTTCAAAGAGCATCTGAATGGGTTCCGCCGATAAGTCCCACCCCAATCTGTGAACAAGCATGGTGAACTCAGTCCAGTACTCACGGACAGATCGGCTCCCCTGTTTGCAACCCATTAACTGTCTGCGCACCACTCTCTTTTCAATATCGCTGGAAAACATCAGATCCATGGCGCGAAAGAACTTCATCGTGTCCTTTAAGACGTCACTATTAGCTGCCATCAGGGGTCTAACCCAGTCTCTCGCCCCCTTTTCAAGATGCTCAATCACGAAAGCCACTCGTGATTCCTCGTCAGGGAATTCATCAAACTGCAGATTGAGGGCATATTGCATTTCTGTCCGAAAACCATGATAGTTTTTGGGCTCCCCCCCAAACTTCTGCACCAATCCTGGTACCTTTCTGGCAAACTGGGTGGCTTTCCCCTTTGTCTGCATCCTGAGCCCTCCTCTCCTCAAGCCTCGCCGTCTGCATCGCTAGCTGGACCTCCAACATCTGGTACCTTTCTTCCAGGCTTGGACCCGCTCCAGCTCCTGCTTCTCCGGTTCCGGCTGGGTTGCTCATGATGCCTTCTCCTGCACAAGCTGCTTTCAAAGACTGTCGGAATGCTGTGATGGGATGATGAGCTGCTTGTGCGTAAAATCGTATCCCCTCAGAGTTTGTTCAAGTCCACAAACCTCTGTCTGTGACGGAGCCCCTCAGACATGGCTACTCTAGTCACTAGCAGATTCCGACAGTGGTTGCTTTCGTAATCGCTTCCAACATAAAAGCTCCTTAACGGAAACCTGTCTTCTGGAATCTCTGCGTGACAGTTTCCGGCGAGGAGTGGGTGTTCTTACAGGAGGTCCTGAAACTTCCCCACTGTTTTCGCTGGAAGTGTCTCTGAGCCATCCCTCCAGCTCAGCTCCTCTCCCCCTGCTGGTTCCCTCTTCAGCTGCTGCGTCTCTCCCAACCTGTGTGAGCCCTTTCACCTCCCTGTTGGTTCCCTCTTCAGCTGCTGCGTCTCTCCCAACCTGTGTGAGCCCTTTCACCTCCCTTCCGTCCGATGGCAGTTCCCTGACATCCGTTCTTAACCTGAAACCGTTTCTAACCTGAAGCACCACTTTAGCTAATGGGGCCTCCCGCTGCTGCCACGCTGCCATTTCTGTTCTCATCCTGAAGCAAAGTTCTTAACCCGAGGTATTATTTCTGGGTTAGCGGAGTCTGTAACTTGAAGCGTATGTAACCTGAAGCGTATGTAACCCAAGGTACCATTATACAAACTATTATATTTTATACATTTATGCATGTGTGCAGATTTATTCACTGGCAATATATATTATTTGAATTCTTCTAAAAGTATCACCCAGGTTATTGATCTGGTGGAAGCCATCCGGACCAGCAAGATAAACCTTTTTTGTGAAAGGATAGTTGAGGTGACACACAGAGATTGGATAGTACTCCCAGCTTCCTGGAAAATTGGTGGCGTTTTCCACAATATGAAATCCAATCAGAGCAAGAACAATGAATCAGCTTGCCATGATGAAAATGAGGAGATTCCTGCTGAACAGAACAAAGAAGATGATGGTATGGACCAAGTTCTAATGAGATCTTGTTTTGTGGTAGTCACTAGAATGTTGCAGTCCCACATGCTGTGTCGAGATGTGAACCTTCATGTAAAATACAGCCTGAGCTGACCACCAGCAGACTGTTGCTGGGTACGCAATCTGCTACTGTACTTTTGTCCGTAAGGGCCTGGTATTGGATTCTTCTTTATGATGGTGATATTCAATGTTGAGCAGGTGAAATTTCCCTTCCTTTCCTCTGTCCTTCAGCCTCTATGGGCCCCCCAAATCTGCTCCAGGGAATCACCTGGATCTCTGGAGCATATCTGGGGGGCTGCAGAAAGGAGGAGAGTAGAAATCTGTTTCACTCGTGAATGGGCACAACTGAATATTGTCCATTGAGATTTCTAGCCTACCTTTCTAGTAACTTTACCACTACTGTATTGTCTTTGAGGAGTGAGGACATACGAGAGAGCAAATATCTAGAGAAAAGAAGTAGAGAAGGGGTTTTCTAGAAGTGGGAGGGAGAGGAACAACAAATGGGTTCAACATGGAAAAGAATGTCCTGAGGTAGAATTATTTAAAGCAGAAACTGGAATTAAGAGTGCTGCACAACAACTTTCTAAATTTTATTTTAACAGCTCTCATTTCTGATGAGACAAAACCACCATATATTGCTAGACCTTACCCTTGGCAAGTGGGGCACACAGGTAAGAATGGCTTGGCAAATATTTTATAAGATACACATTTATTGCTACTATTTTTTCATAAGCACTATTACTTTTTCAAAGAAAAATGGAATTAATGAATAAATACTTATGCTTTCCGGCTACTTATGTGTTGTATCACTAATGCTGATGTTTTATTTTCCTTCCAAACTAGCCTTTCTTATCAAGCTGCGGAAATTTAACCCGGCATACCCAAATACTACTTCAAATGGTATATCCTAATTTGAAGATTGCACTTCACCAGGATTAAAATTGTAAATTATATCATTGTTGTTTATGCAATTTAGGAATCCACAACTTTGATTTATGTTGACAATATTTTTGATACTAAAAGTTTCAGCAAAATAAAAAACTTAAAAGAATAAATCATATATTGTGAAATGTATTTCATTCAGACAATTAATTTCTTAAGTTGTTGGCTGAAGTATGGTTTTTTTATTCTTCATTTCCAGTAAACCAGTCCATGGCTTTATCTTGACATGTGCAGCTACTTTTTCTTGCTTTGTTGGGCAGATGTTTGCAATCTATGAAAAATTAGGGAAGAAATTCACATTGAATGCATATGGGATTACAGTGTAGTTTGTCCCAGGTAACGTGAAGTGCTTATTGTGTTCTATAGGATGGGTTACACTTATAGGAGCAGTGGATAATTAATGTTGGATGAAAAATATCTGTTCTCCATCTATAAACAAAGAAAAGGTTGTAAAGTGGCTTGCCATTGAAATGCTATGCTTGTTCGGGAGCCATCTGTTGTTCTTCCCTACAGCTGGGTAGTTGAATCCTTACTTAGTAACTGCTGTATTGCCCCACAAACTCACTGTGAGTGACAGATGCTACTTCATTGCCAACTGCTGAGTTCATCCCATCATTTGTACATAAAGAACTGACAAATCAGGATCCTCTTACAGCAGTGCTTTTATACTAACAACAGAAGGTGTCATCCTACATTTGTTTAGCACTATAAACATAAATCTGAATTGAAGGAGTCACCAAGAAGTCAACGAGGAGAAGTGTAGAATTGCTCTCTTAGAACTAGAGGGGATCGCTTTAAAGCAAAAAGTTGATCACTTTTGATAGACACTGCTTGATTACTCCATGTAATACTACATATCTTACCATGCAGTTAGGTTCCAGGGACAGTGTTCATCATTTTTTTATTTTAAAAAAGTATATCCAGAAAAAACCCACATGCTTTTAACATTTCTTTTCACTTTCCCAGCACTACTGTTTGTAGGAGAGTCAGTTTCGCTTTTAATTGAACTTACAAAACTCAGCTCATATTTGATGTAATTTGCTGGAAAACTGAGTTGAGTGGCTTTGAGAAGGGCCTATAAAGTAGCTAGGCTTAGATTTTTCTTGTAGTTCATTTTACAAAATCTATCATTAACCAAATTCACAATTTAGAAGGGAAGGGAAGCATTCTATAAATGACTGAGAAGGAGAGATAAAACAATCATAAGGACCAGGGACAGAGAGAAGCTTCCATCCAGGAAAAAGCTGGAATGCGAACACCACCACCAAAGGATGCGGGTGTGATCAAAACATTATGCCCAGAACTGTGATTTATGCACATGTTGCACATATGACAATGGCTTTTCTCCGTCAAGGAGGCTGTAAGTAACTATGACCCACCTACGAGGCTTAAAGGATGTAGATTCAACCTATACACCAATAGCAATAACATTGCTGAGAATATTGAGTATACCTAAGCAAGTTTCATTAAATCAAGGGTACTGACTTCTGAGTGACACAGCTAGAGTTGGGCTGTGAAGGTAGCATAAATAAAATTACTTCAGCATTTACCATACCATACCTTGTGAATAACAGTGCAGAGATGGCTCAGGTATTTTACCAGCTGGAAGACAGTCATGCAATCCCTGAGGTATATGTTGTTCCATCATTTCCAGTGTGCCATTGGAGGAAGAGGAGGATAATCCCAGCCGTATATATCTTGTCTTTTTCCCACAAAGCAAACAGTCTGTAGGTGTGGCATTAGGTCCTCGAGGAAACTGTACTCCATCTCTGCTATTGTTTCTTGTAGCTCCACTATGATGAATAGAACGCTCCCGCTGCCATATATAATGTGTTGAAGCTATAGCCATTACCTGTGTTTAAAAAAACCAAAAAACTGAAATGGAGCTGTTATCAGAACAAACAAGCAAATAATGCATAAAAATCACAAAGGATCGTTAGTTGGTATTGTTAGCTTTCTTAATTGCTAGTAAAACAGTTACAGAGCAGGGAACAGGAATGAGCTGCTATTTTATTGGACTACTTTTTAAGATCCTGAAGAAACCACTTTTCCACTCCTCGGAATGTTAATTAGGCCTAACTTAGAACAAAAACACATTTTTTCAGTTACTAACAGCTATTCAGATACATAAAAGACTAATAAATTACACATAATTAAATTTGTTTCTTTTTTCAAATTTTGATTATCTATTTTAATACATCTCTAAACAATATGTGACTTGATAAATAATGTAACATTTGATAGATAATACTAATACATTAGTATTTTAGCATTTTTACATACACATTTGGTTCATCATTTAACTTCCATGAAAATGAAACACAGCTCCTAGAATCATAGAATCATAGAGTTGGAAGAGACCACAAGGGCCATCGAGTCCAACCCCCTGCCAAGCAGGAAACACCATCAGAGCACTCTTGACATATGGTTGTCAAGCCTCTGCTTAAAGACCTCCAAAGGAGACTCCACCACACTCCTTGGCAGCAAATTCCACTGTCGAACAGCTCTTACTGTCAGGAAGTTCCTCCTAATGTTTAGGTGGAATCTTCTTTCTTGTAGTTTGGATCCATTGCTCCATGTCCGCTTCTCTGGAGCAGCAGAAAACAACCTTTCTCCCTCCTCTATGTGACATCCTTTTATATATTTGAACATGGCTATCATATCACCCCTTAACCTCCTCTTCTCCAGGCTAAACATGCCCAGCTCCCTTAGCCGTTCCTCATAAGGCATCGTTTCCAGGCCTTTGACCATTTTGGTTGCCCTCCTCTGGACACGTTCCAGTTTGTCAGTGTCCTTCTTGAACTGTGGTGCCCAGAACTGGACACAGTACTCCAGGTGAGGTCTGACCAGAGCAGAATACAGTGGCACTATTACTTCCCTTGATCTAGATGCTATACTCCTATTGATGCAGCCCAGAATTGCATTGGCTTTTTTAGCTGCTGCGTCACACTGTTGGCTCATGTCAAGTTTGTGGTCAACCAAGACTCCTAGATCCTTTTCACATGTACTGCTCTCAAGCCAGGCGTCACCCATCTTGTATTTGTGCCTCTCATTTTTTTGCCCAAGTGCAATACTTTACATTTCTCCCTGTTAAAATTCATCTTGTTTGTTTTGGCCCAGTTCTCTAATCTGTCAAGGTTGTTTTGAAGTGTGATCCTGTCCTCTGGGGTGTTAGCCACCCCTCCCAGTTTGGTGTCATCTGCAAATTTGATCAGGATGCCCTTGAGTCCATCATCCAAGTCGTTGATAAAGATGTTGAATAAGACCGGGCCCAAGACAGAACCCTGTGGCACCCCACTAGTCACTCTTCTCCAGGATGAAGAGGAACCATTGATGAGCACCCTTTGGGTTCGGTCAGTCAGCCAGTTACAAATCCACTGAGTGGTAGCATAGTCAAGACCGCATTTTACCAGCTTCTTTACAAGAATATCATGGGGCACCTTGTCAAATGCCTTGCTGAAATCAAGGTAGGCTACATCCACTGCGTTCCCTTCATCTACCAGGCTTGTAATTCTGTCAAAAAACGAGATCAGGTTAGTCTGACATGACTTATTTTTCAGAAATCCATGCTGACTATTGGTGATCACAGCATTCCTTTCTAGGTGCTCACAGACTGTTTGCTTAATGATCTGCTCCAGAATCTTCCCTGGTATTGATGTCAGACTGACTGGGCGGTAATTATTTGGGTCCTCTCTTTTCCCCTTTTTGATAATAGGGACAACATTTGCCCTCCTCCAGTCTGCCGGGACTTCGCCTGTTCTCCAGGAATTCTCAAAGATGACTGCCAGTGGTTCTGAGATCACATCTGCCAGTTCTTTTAATACTCTTGGATGCAGTTCATCTGGCCCTGGAGACTTGAATACATCTAAACTAGCCAAGTATTCTTGTACTATCTCCTTAGTTATTCTGGGCTGTGTTTCCTCTGCTGAATCATTTGCTCCAAATTCTTCAGGTCGGGCATTGTTTTCTTTATCGGAGAAGACTGAGGCAAAGAAGGCATTGAGTTCAGCCCTTTCTGTGTCCCCTGTTTGCATTTCACCATCTTCTCCTCTGAGTGACCCCACTGTTTCTTTGTTCTTCCTTTTGCTACGAACATACCCATAAAAACAAAAAAAGCTTTTTTGTTGCTTTTAACCTCTCTAGCAAGCCTGAGTTCATTCTGTGCTTTAGCTTTTTTGACTTTGTGTCTACACGTGCCGGCTATTTGTTTGAATTCCTCTTTGGTGGTTTCCTGTCTTGAACTGTGGGGAAAGCAGACTACTGTACTACTTTACATGCAAAAAACCCATGAACTATTCTGTAACAGAAAATCTCTTGAGATAGTAAAGCTTCTAAGTCTATGGCTTCGGGTTTATGCATGAAGGAAGAAGATTGAAAGCTTCTATCCTCTGTTCATTTAAACTTCTTTTATTGTTTTGTCCAAACTTGGGAAACATGGGTTTAAAACCAGTAAATTTGAATCTCTCTTCACATATAAAGAGGATGGGGGGAGCATGTGAACTCAAGGCCCATGGTTTTAAGAATAAACTACGGTTTGTCATTGCATCTGTACTAGGCCAATTTCTTAGTGGTGAAATTAGTTTTATGATGGGTAAAGCAGACAGGCAAAAGAACAGGCGTGCTGATCAAAGGCCTATTTGGTCTAGCATCCTGTTTCCCACACTGGCCAGCCAGGTATCTCTGGGAAACTCACAGAGAACCCAAAATACTGTAACTTTCCTTTGTAGGGGATCTGATGCATTGCAATTACCTCCACTGGTACTATGAAAGTCTCCATTCTATGGTTTTATTTTAATTTCCTCTCATTATCCTGAGTAAAAATCAGGAAGATTTTTTTTGTAAATGTGTTTACCATTGCCCTGCCCCAAACTAATGTTTTTATTCACAATCCTGATTATTCTACTAAGTAGCAACCCTTTTCACCTGAGTTCGATGGTAATCCATTAATGGGAAAGCTGACTGTATGGTACCATAAAGGTCTTTTTCGGGAAGAAAAACAGCATTAGCATTTCCTTACCAATGGTCTGACTATATCCTTAATTCATGTTAGTAATAAAAGCAAAGTATGCTGTTTGATAACTGCTTTCTTGCACTTTGCATAGTTAGCCAAAAGTAAGTTCACTGATTCTAAAGGCGCTTACTCCCAAATAAGTGTGAATACAACTGCAGACTTGGTCAATTTTAATGTATTTTTTTCTGTTTAATTTACCAGTGTAAACATTCTCTATGAATGGTTTCATATTTTCCAATAAATGCTAATGTCATTATTTCTGATAAGGGAATCCCCTTTGTTTGAAGGTAAATAATTTGTTGGAATGTTTTGAAAGCAAAGTATCAATCGGCAGTTAAATTGAGCCACTCATTATAACTGGGTGGGTAATGTTTACAAACAGTTCCTTTATATAGCTTGGTGAAAAAACAGAAAGAGGCTTGTTACAAAACAGAATCTGCCTATTAAAATTCATTTGCTCTTTCTTGGTGCATATAAAATATACCCGCCTTACCTCCTCACAGCAGCGTCTGCTTACAATAGCCCTATAATCCATCTTGCTCCAGAGTTCATCCCTTCGAATTAAGAAATCAGGGAAAAGCTTTCTCCAGGATTTTCCTAAAGCCCATGGGAAAATCTCATATTTTGACTCTTCATCATCTTCTTCAACTGTATTTGCCAGGTACCTACAATGATGAGGACTATGACTCACTTAAATATGGTTTTGATCTCATTTGTATACTGCTAAGTCTTCTCCCTCCTCCTTTTCTTTGGTATTTATATACATTCCAAAGTGCTGGAAATTTAGTTTGGACAAATGTTACCAAATGATTTTTCACCAGATGAAAAGATGGGCACACAATTAAGAATGCTGAAAATCTCAAGTTTAACATATAGAAAGCATGTTTCTACTTCTTAAAAGGTTTGAAAGTGTGTGGGCAGTGCTTAATGAAGTATCATAAGCCAGAGTGTATGCTGAATATCATTTTTTCTGTTATGCAATGGGCGGGATTCTTGTCCCTCATGGATAACAGAAACAGAGTGAATGAGGCAAATCAAAAGAATACAAGAAAATCGCCCATTTTGCATAATTTATACAGGTCAACCTCTCTCAGCATAGAATTTCAAATTACCATGGTAGAGAATTTCAGTTTTATTGATTCAAAAATGTTCAAGTATTAAATAATATTAAATACATACTTTTATGTGCATGCCACATTTCCACAGTTCAAACCATGCTCAAAGAGGCTTACTATATGAAAAAATACATAACTACAACATAACAAAAGTAGTCATAAACAATAAATAATTTAAAAAATTCCCAACCAAAGCAAACTATTTCCACATATGTAAATTTCCACATATGTAAATCACAACAATATCTAAAATAAAGATTTAAAAAACCCAACAGCAACAATCCATGGCAACCAAACTCTCCAAACAACACCCCAGCTGAAGAGTCTAGTCTTACATTAACTTACGTTCATAGTATTCTCATTAATTTCAGTAGGAAGTACAGGTAAATGCAGTTTCATTGTTAAACTGCCCAGAATGAACCTTTTGAAATCTATCTGCATCACTCGAACTCAGGACACAAGGGAGAAACTTGCTAAGAGGAAGGCACACTTGGCAAATCCACACCGTGATTAGCTCCCACCCGGTAGCCGATGTCCCCACTGTGGAAGGACATGTGGATCCAGAATTGGCCTCTACAATCACTTACGGACTCATTGTTAAAACCGTGTTTATGAAAGACAATCTTACTCGGCTACGAGTGATCACCAAAATAGAAGCATAGGGGATACATTCAAAGGTGGCACCTGGGAAATAAAAGCCCAGTTGATTCTTATGAAGGCTTTGTGCTGTGGTGGGCTTTTCTCCCTCAGCAGCCTTTATTGGGCGGAGGGGAGGGAGCTTTTCAAATAAGGAGGATGCTTTGGGAGACAAAAGTCTTTATTTGCAGAAATCAATGACAGTTTAACAACTAATAAACTAGGTTCAACGGGTAATTTAACACCATAGTCTTGGCACCCACGTATTAATTTCCAACATGCTATAAGCCTTCAAGAGTCAAGACCCCATTCTAAATAAGTAATTGATGGTGCAGTAAGGTTTATTTCTAACTTCACTGTTATCTCAAATAATAAACTCTTAAGAAGCCTCTGACACATTTTAATTGTAATCATAATATTTGGAAAATACTTACAGAGCTACAAAGAAATTAAGCCTGGTGTGTTCGTTTATACTGTAGCCAGCTCGCTTGAAATAAACAAAAGTCATTGCCAAAAGGTACTGTTGGAAAAGGTAAAATATCAATTTCTGGCTATTATTTTTTCTTAAAATGACTTAACATTTCCCTAAAAAATATTTTCACCGGTAGGGAAAAGCATATACTTCATTTTCATTACAGTGGTACCTAATTCGTTCCAGAGGTCCGTACTTAACCTGAAACTGTTCTTAACCTGAAGTACCACTTTAGCTAATGGGGCTTCCTGCTGCCGCCGCACCGCCGGAGCACGATTTCTGTTCTCATCCTGAAGCAAAGTTCTTAACTTGAAGCACTATTTCTGGGTTAGTGGAGTCTGTAACCTGAAGCGTATGTAACCTGAAGCGTAAGTAACCTGAGGTACCACTGTAATTGAATCTGGCATTAACAGTACAGTCCTCATATTTTAGCTGCAATATATTAATGTGCAGTGAAAGCGGGATTGTGAGCATAACAACTAGTAGAAAATATATAGTTGTATCCTCTGCCAAAGAGGCAGAATGGGGAGCCCATGGCTTCTTAACAAGGGGAAATAGGTCATTCCTCCAAAAACATTTTCTAGTACACCTTGTATTCCATACATCTGACCAGAAAAACAGCAGAGATTCATGAAGCTCACAGTCTAAGCAGATTAAGTGTGATCAAACATTTTTGCAAGCAGAGTTTTTAAAAATTCCTTGCTCATCTAGGAAGCTGGCCCCACTGAATTCATTTGGAGCTTCCTAGTAAACAATTTTATTTAATCAAAAAAGCTTTAAGTGAATAATGTTGTTTAAAACAACAGCATAGGTATTGAGAGAAATGGAACATGAGTTTAATCTGAAACAAATGTTTTAAAGGCCAGCCTGCATATTATATGTGAACTGGAACCCAGCCCCCGGAGCTTCTAGTTTTGGCTGCCACAGACTGGAAAAACAGGGACTTATATTTGCATTTGCAAGATATGTACAGTTCAGAGGGCCACAATGGGTGGTATTCAACGATTTCCCCCTTCTCTTCCACATGTGCCCTACACCATCCGCAAATCTGCTCTGGAGGATTGGAGGAACTCCCAGAGCAAATTAGCATGTGAAGGGAGGAGAGAGGGAGGTCATTCCATTGTGCAGGAAGAAGTTATGCTGAGGGAATGATTTGCTGAGCGCAAGACTGAATACAACCCCAAATGCGCTGGCCTGTAATTGAAACAAAATCCTCAATTTCCTCACCCTTAAAGTTTCACAGACTTTCAAGACAACACCCAGTTTTACCTTGTCTGAAATTTTACAGCAACAATCCATCCACAAGAAATCTTGAATCAAGTCATCATCTGTAAAATAAGCCAGCTGTGACATACACAATTATATGCAAAGCTCAAGAAGCATTAATTCAAGACAATCCTTTAACAAATTTAAATAATTTGCTCTTCCCCTTCCAAGCAAATGGAAGCAGAACTGTTTCTCACTACTGACCTAGAGAATTACTTGCCAGAACATTTGAGTGCAGAGGTTATTCTCACCAGGCTGCTTTCAGATGGGAGTTTATTGTGTGATGGGTACTCCTCATGCATGCAAATTTTTTACATCATAGCAACATGTCAGCACATATTCCCTGTCCTACACCTTTAGTCTAAATTTACCGTACCTTTCTGGGGAAAATCCAATAAGTTTTTTTTAAAAATCCAATGACTCATTTGCGTTATTACAATATTTAGACCCCATCTGGAGGCATATTAAATTAACAGATTCAATAGAAGCACTCTCTCCATTCTCTAATGGTGATTTTCTGCACCCTCCCCTGCTGTGCCCTAGGCTCCCCCTAAATGTTCTCTGAAGGGTTTCCCAACCTTCTGGAGCAGATTTAGAAGGGGGTCAATCTGCAAGGGGTACAAGTGCATGCCAAAAATGGTCTCCTCATCATTCCACTGACTTTTTCTTCCATCTACAAAGACATCTGTAGGCAATCACCACTGGATACTACCCAAATAGTCTAGTTTATAGTACATTATGCATGCCAGTATCTCATGATGACCACCATGATGTAGTGAAGTCAGTCTTGAGTATGGCTCAGTAAGATACAGTTTTAAGCTCCCATATACGCCTTGTAGCTTGTAGGGTAATTTCAGGTTAGTCTTGACAAAATGTCTCACATAAAGGCATTCTGGACACAACTGCTTTTGAATGTGAAGTTCTACACACATATACTTGGTGCATTTTACAAAATGATTTATAAAGGAACCTACCAAAGAGCTTAAAGAAAGCTGTCATTTCCTGACGCTGAATTACAAGACATGAACCTTTTGGCCGCTTTGGCTTCTTATTATTAATGTTTTCCCCATAGGTCTCCTGGCTATCTTTAAATTTTGGTCGTTTAAGGCTAAGAGCTTTTTTTTGCTGATAAGATCTGGATGCACTTGATTTTATACGAACAGTGACACTGGGAGGTGTCTGACAGCAGCTCTGATTATGTTTCATTTTTCTAGATGAAGTTACCTGTTAAAATAAAAATTAAATTATTAGCCAAATTGATAATGCATAAGAGGCATTAATCTCTCTTCTCCAGTTTTACTTTCAGTATTATGAGAAATTTTATTTAATAGATTTTTAGATTTTTATATTCTTTCCCATTAATTTTGATATTACTTCCTGCAAGTTGTACTATGTAATAGTGGAGTACAGGGTCAGATTTAAGGTGCTGCTTTTGACCTTTAAAGCCCTTCACGGCCTAGGACCCTCGTACCTACGGGACCACCTCTCCTGGTATGCCCCACGGAGAGCCTCAAGGTCCATAAATAACAATACCCTAGTGGTCCCAGGCCCTAAGGAAGTTAGATTGGCTTCAACCAGAGGCAGGGTCTTTTCAACTCTGCCTCCGGCCTGGTGGAACGCTCTGCCTCATGAGACCAGGGCCCTGCAGGATCTGATTTCTTTCCGCAGGGCCTGTAAGACAGAGTTGTTCCGTCTGGCCTTTGGCTTGGAGCCAATTTGATTCCCTCCCTCCCTCTCTTTCTTTTTTCTTTTCCTTCTCCTCCTGCGATGTGGCTACATTTTAATATTTTAATGTTCCATTATTTTAATGTTGTATTTTATTTTTGTTTTTAAGTTGTAATCATTCATCTTGTTTTTATTATTGCTTGTAAGCCGCTCTGAGCCCGGCCTTGGCTGGGGAGGGCGGGGTATAAATAAAATATTATTATTATTATTATTATTATTATTAGCCCCACTTTCCCAAGCACTTGCTATCAACAACTTTGCGGGTGTCAGGAATTTTACTTTCTGCAATATGGCAACCCTAAGATAGTGTAAATGGTACTATTTCATTCTTACAACCAGGCCTTGCATCCCTTTTGATGTCACATGCTTCCCTTTTCTACCTATAGAGGGAATGCCTTTAAAATATTTTTATTTCTTACAACCAGCACCCATGACAGTTTGTGAGGTTAAGTATGGGAATACAGGAACCTGTGCACTTGGCAATTTGCCTTCTTTTCTTTACGGAGTTTCTCCTTTCTGCTTCACTCTACTCTGCCCCTGCCTTTCACAAACCTACACAGCAAATAAATATGGAGTGGCCATAACCGACAGATCAGAACAAGGTCCGATTGTTCCTGGGCAGAGTCACGAGGGTAGTCTAAATTGAGTGAAAATGAATCTCCAGGTTTATTGGATGGAATCTAAATATTCACATTTGAAAAATGATTAAATCAGTTATTCACACACTGCAAAAATGTCACATAACAGCGACTCCTGAAAGCAGTATCACGACATGCGAAGCTGGTAAACATGAACCATAGCATTTGAATCTATTACTCCTGTGAGTCGTCCCCCCACTTAGATTTCTAAGGACTGGTAAAAGGGGAGGAATTTCAGCTTGCCTGACTCGAGGTGTTCCTGCCCAAATATAACCTTTTTCCACCCATATACCCTTTCGTGTGATGGAGCTGGACATTCCTTGCCAGCGTGCAGCAGGAGTCTGTATCTCTCACTCCTTGTACTAGTTATCAGTGCTGGGGATTATCAGGGAAATTCATTATTATTTCTTTCACCATTGCCTCCCCCCTGGGAAAAAACCACACCCCTCTATCTGAAAAGTTCAAAACCTGGTTGCCCTCCTCCCCTCCAAAAACAAATGTTTGGAAAGCTTAGAAACAAGGAAATGGTATAGGCACAGGTGTCTGTCAACAGCACAAACAGAACCTCACATGGAGATAAAAATCCTCACAGGGAGCTCTCCACCCTTTCTGCACAACATCCCTTAATGGTGCTCCAACAGAGAACTGCATGAGTGGAAGTGGGAATATGGCAGCGATTTGTATACCGACCTTACCATTTTATATGAACCAGCTCCATTCGACCTTTTGGACCTTTCAGCAGGGGTGGGGGTGGGGAGAAATAAAAGGGGGGGAGAGAGAGAGCCATGCTATGTAAGCCACCTGCAAACTCATATTATTATGATTATATTTAAAATGGCTGCCAGGAGCTGTGTGGATAGTGATAGCAGTCATGTTTTTTGGTTTTTTTACAAACATCCCACAAACATCCTTTCATATAAAGGACATATCAAACATGTTACCTTGTATCCTTCAGTGCTTATAAGTACCTCTGTAGATGTAATGCCCTCCTTTTTTGAGGGTAAATCTTTTGCTTTTTTTATTTGTTTTCAGGAGCAGGATCCTTTGGCCCAAAGGGTGGAGCTAGACCCAGCTCGCTCCCTCTGGCTGAAGGATATCAGTGCCATTTATAAAGCAGTATTACTGCAGAATTTCCTCTACAAGAAACTTGTTGTATGTTGTGCTTGTTTGAAGAAGCCCTATCTGCTGTTATAAATAAAAGATTATCCCTGCTGCCACCTTGCTGCTGCTGTGGTTGACAGAGACAGCAATGCTGTGAAGGGACAGAAAGTACTTAAGAGCGGCCTGTTGCTCCCTGAAAAGAAGCAGTATCATTGTGGCATTCCCAAGAATCCTACAAAGTCAGTCCAGGCCTTTTGTTTCCCTTCATGAAAATCCATGAGCCAAAGACTGAACTAGGATTTGCAGCTAGTGGCACCCGGAAACATGAGCTACCAGGAAAGCGCGACAATTACCTCAGGTTATATGCAACCTGAATGGGGAAAGAAAACAGGCTGGATCACAACCTCTCGCCACCAATCAAAAAATCTCCTCACACTGACATTTTCATTTGCCGTAAGAAAGGATCTCAGCATCACCCAGGGCAAGGAGCCACCCCCACTACATCCAATCAGGACGCAGGCACAAGAAGCCTTGGCCAATTAAAACGCAAGGGACTGAACAATCCGCTCTGGTAAGCAAAGGATGCCCTAAAGCGCTAGGCCAGAGGGAGAAAATGCATCAGCCAATCAGGGGGAAGCGAGCCTTGTTGCTAAGACTCTCAAAAGCTTCCCTTTTGGAGTGAGGAAGTCTGGAAATCACATAGAGCCATCCTACTGATATGTAATAAATGTGCTGTTGTTTTTTACTTGAAGTATTTACAGGCTACCTTTCATGTCATCCCCTCTCAAGATGGCTTCCAGCATATAAACTTAGAATGTATATAACAGTAATCAGCAATAACCCTAAAACACTGTAACTACAACATTAAGAATAGAATTCCAAAAACCACAATGTCATTAGCCTAGCAGCATTCATTCTACTCTGTTTTATAAAGTATTTATGTATATGTTCTTCATTGTATGTCACTTGGAGACCTGTTAGTTGACAATAAATAAATAAATAAATAAATAAATAAATAAATAAATAAATTGTCCAGTAGTACCTTAGATACCAACTACGTTTGTTCTGGGTATAAGCTTTCGTGTGCATGCACACTTCTTCAGATACGCATGTACATGAAAGCTTATACCCAGAATAAACTTAGTTGGTCACTAAGGTGCTACTGGACAATTTTTATTTTTTTTAATTTATTTCGACTGTGTCAGACCAACATGGCTACCTACCTGAATGTTTGTTGACAAGCGACTAATAAGTTTAATATGTAAATAAATAATCCACACCAGTAATGACAATACAGGGAGAAAACACAGTAGAAAAAATGATTGCAGATAAAATAGTTAAAACCAGATTATCTAGGGTTTCCATTTTTCAAAAAGTGAAGATCCGGACACAAAAGTTTTTGAGCTTTTCTTGCAAAATCTCAAAGGAAAAAAATGAAGTTTTTGAGCTATTTTTAATTAAATTCTCAAAAATCTACACTTCCGACATGGACTGCCATGCGCCCAGATTTCCCCAGACATCTCAGCAATTTCTGCCCAGACACGGTTTCCAACAACTGAATCCTGGCTATGTCCAGGAAATTCTGGACGTATGGCAACCCAAATATTATCTGAAGTTTCATACACAGGAAGAGGATGAGTGCAAAGGAAATTTAAGAAAGCTTGTTCATCATCTAAAAAATGAAACAAAACCCTTCCTTCTGCCTATTGCGGTGCTTCGCTTGGTCCATAGACTCATAGAGGCAGTGAATGTATCTGTTCCTTGGTTTTCCTGGACTGATGAAGTCTAGCAAGGAACTAACTGGCTCTAAAGCAAAAGAAAGGTTGTTGTGTATATGGAGAATGGGGAGCGATACGGAGCTGATTGTGTGAGACATAGTTTGGAATCTAGGAATTTGACCACAAAAGTAGCACAGTTTGTAAAATATATCTTCCACAGCAGCTAGACTCTCATATTTTAAAATGTAAAAATAGAGAAGCTGTGTTTTGTGGCTTAATCTCTGATCATAATAAAGATTGATTGATTGATTGATTGATTGATTGGAGGTGCACTGAGAGAGGAGGGAGGGAGGAGAGATCTGAGAAGGGTTTGCAGTGATAGAAAAAGCCCAAGGGTTCAAACTGCCTGAAGTGGTATCCCTGCGGGATTGGGATTTTGCAGATTCCCCTCTCCACTGGCATGGGTTAAGCACTCTTTTCACTCTACATGGTCACTTCTCTGTTTGAAGTACCTCCCAAGCTGCTATCACTTAGGGGGGGAAAAGCTGCCATCATTTTAATTCACTCATATATGTAATGTGTAGTTTGTCTCAAACTGATCTATTACTGAATGTGTATTTCTATCTAGTTTGTAGAATTCAATAGACTAAATAAATAGAAATAAAGATCTTAGCGGTGAACTTTAGACAGTTAGCTGTACACCAGGGGGCACTATTAGACCACAGTCAACACTGAAGGCAAGCCTTGATAGTTCAGCTGTTTTCACAGATCAAACTAGGTGAAACTTAACTCCATTTCCCTTTAACATAAGTGTATTGAGGCCCTGATTCCAAACAAACCAAGGACACTTCCAAGCTATCTATCGTTCTGTCTCTGTCTGTCTCTATCTATCTATCTATCTATCTATCATCTATCTATATCTATCTATATCTATCATCTATCTATCTATCTAACATCATAATTAAGTGGCATATAAATTGTAAAAATAAGTGAAATATAGGGGGAATTTGGTGCCTTGACTATCTGTTGACCTCACAGATGTTTTCCCCTGTAGGAAAAGCAGCCACAATCATACCCATTATCAGGACAAAAAATGCATGGCTAGCTTGCACTGCCAGCATGATGCTATAGCATTACTTTTATCCTTCTGTCTCTGATCAGATATTTGTGCTTTCTATCCCTTTTAAGCATTCTGCATTTATAGACAGAGGCCGATTTTTATGCTATAAGCAATATTTAATGTTTTAACGCATTAAAAAAATTTCTATTTACTTAAGGGATGAAGAATAATTTGAAAATAAATGTGATAAATAGAAATAGAGTAATATTACAGTGAAGAAAGGGATTTGCTGGATTCTAACAGACAAGGCAATATTACCAAGGCTCACTTCCTACATCTATAAAATGATGTGGTGCAAGTCCACTGAAAATAGTAGGGCTGTATATGATCTAAATAGGGTGTGGTGGAGACATTTTCAAGGGATAGTACCAAGCACAAAAAATGGATGCAGATTTTGTGTTGAACAGGACTTTTCACAATACTGCTTGGGATTTCTCTTACCATAAGGACCTTATTGTTTAACAATGTGACTTGTAGAAAAATACTAAAGGAGCTGTTTTTTGCTCCTCTGAGTTGCTAATAGGTAAAGGTAAAGGGACCCCTGACCATTAGGTCCAGTCGTGAGCGACTCTGGGGTTGCGGTGCTCATCTTGCTTTTTTGGCCGAGGGAGCCGGCGTATGTGGCCAGCATGACTAAGCCGCTTCTGGCGAACCAGAGCAGCACACGGAAACGCCGTTTACCTTCCCGCTGGAGTGGTACCTATTTATCTACTTGCACTTTGATGTGCTTTCGAACTGCTAGGTTGGCAGGAGCAGGGACCGAACAACGGGAGCTCATCCCATCACAGGGATTCGAACCGCCGACCTTCTGATCGGCAAGCCCTAGGCTCTGTGGTTTAACCCACAGCACCACCCACATCCCTTTGAGTTGCTAATAGATATGGCTAAATATATGACTTAGTGTGTAGCTCTTTATTACTACTGCTAAGAAAACAATGAAAAGATATTTCTTTCTTTAGAGACACCTTTTAATTGCCCACAGGACAACTTCATATTTTGCATTCTTTTTTCTGCATTGCACATTTTGCCAAGGCCTTTGACTAAAAAACCCTTAAACATTTCTCACTGGCGTCAGATACAGCATACAGCCAGAAGCAAAACATCCTTTGCACAAAAGATATTTGGTGTACATGCATGGAGCTCCTTGGATCTTTGCCCATATTTTTAGTCATGAGATACAGTATCTTGGAAATATTTATTACCAAGTACCGCTGCTGGTGTCCACTTGGTTCTGCAAAGAACAGAGGTCCTCAGTTTTTGTCTGGCCTTAGCACTGTCAAAGCATGTAGTTGTCTCTGACCCTGATCAGGAAAAGAAAGGCTCTTGTCTGACATCTTGCTAAGCTCTAGGGGTAATAAGAAGCACAGGGAGAAGCACCTTCAAGGCTCAGCACAATCAAAGGGACTAGCTCCCACCTTTCTTCCAAGTTGTAGATGCAGGATAGGAATGTGCCCCTAGGGTTCACCTAAGCTTTAGAATGCTTATTCCATCACAATTTTCAAGCACATCTAACCAACACAAGGACAAGACAACGCTTAATCAGCTTTTCATGCCAAAAGCAAACTGGCAAGTCAAGTGTTGGAAGAACATTGTAGGGCAGAATATTTTAAAAGGGGCAGTCAGACCCCAAACACACGATTCTTTGTTGTCAACCCAAGTTTCCAGTAGAGCACCACCATCATTCCTTTCCTGGTGCACTTTGGCCATTTCTTCCAATCCCGTAGTTCTCAACATGCACTGCAACAGGGATAGACTGAGCCCTCTTATATATCTCAGGTGCTGCAACCTTACATACATGGAGCACCTGAGAAACAGAAAGGACTACACTGGTCCTGCTAGCTAGGGATGATGGGAGTTGTAGTCCCAAAACATCTGGAGGGCCAAGTTTGGCCATGCCTGGACTACACTGTTACTTGCACCAACTCAGTAACAGGTTAAAGAGAAACGTAAATGGTGATGTACCTAATAGCTTAATGGGGATTCTTTTGCACATGTCTTAACTTGGAATCGGCCCCTGGACCCTGGATGAAGCCAACATGGCTACAACTCCTGTTCAAAACTGAGCAGGTTTTAACAGTCAATCTAAGACAATCTGGCTGTCTGTGGTTAGGAACATTAAAAATTGACTCAGCTCAGAAAACTTGAAGAGGTACTTTTATAACACTACTGAAAGAGCAGGTCTATACATAGCACCCTAGCGGTGGAAATGCTTTCCAGGGTGAGATGGGTGGAACCTGGTAGCTAATTATTAGAATGCAGGAAATCCCTTCTTTAAGAAAAGTGTTAATATTTAAATAGCATGATTCCTAAAGGAACAGCGGGTGCCTGCCTCCCCCGGTTTACTCCACATAATTTTTTATAGGTCTGGCTCATGTTTCTCCCACTTGAAGACAAGTTTCAAAATGAAGGCATAGTAAAATGATACCTGTGTCAGTGGTCCATGTAGCAGGCTTTAACTTTGTTATTCTAATAGCACCATCAAGTTGTGTTGCACCTTATAGGTCTCTGCCTTGAGAGGCGAACAATCAAAATTTTGATGCAAGGAAAAATCAGGACAAGGCTTTCAGGAAGACTGTGACTGTTTCATTAGGGCAGTGGTTTTCAGCCAGTGTGCCATGGCACCCTAGGGTGCCTTGAATGATGGTCAGGGGTGCTGCGGAGAACACTGGCCTCTGTCCCTTTCCTTTTCTCTCTCCTTGGATGCCCTCTTACATTTCTGCCTCCCAAAGGCTTGCACAGCTGTTTGTTGCAGCAGCCCTGGCTACACGCTCCCCAGGAGAATGGTGCTGGCCAGGGAGTGGGGCAGTGTGAGGCGGTACCTCTCTTTGGGGCAAGGGGGGGCAGCTCAGAGACCAGGGATGGCAGCTACAGCTGCCCAGAGGACTCCCAAGGAGAGAGGAGGCTGAGGGAACACTACGCAAGGGAGGGCGTTCGAAAAGGTGTGAGGGGCTACCAGCTCTGCAGGTGACATAACTGGGCTCCTGAGCACCACAGGGGAGCCGCAGAAAGAATGTAGTTGGTCAAGGGAGCCGTGGACCCAAAAAGGTTGAAAACCTCTGAATTAGGGGAATGAGATCTATACAGCCTGACTTAAAAACCTTAGCAGTCGGTTTGAGAAGGGATTTGAAGATGCAGTCACCACTAAGCAGTCATTCTAAAGGAGGAGTTTAAGTTTTAAATGACAGCAGTAATTCAATTGTTTAAAGGATGACATCTGAAGGTGGCAGTTAGAAGAAAATCATAGGCAGCAATGTATCAGAATTTGACAGTAAAACAAGGGAGAGCAGGCAGTAGAAAGGCCACAGCATTTTGTTTTGTTTTTCTTCATTTAGTAATGATGATGATGATTGATGATGATGACTGGTATTGATGAACTGGAAAAATAAAAAATGGTGCCCTATAATGATTGAAGATATGTACATACTCACTACACATGAATGAGTTGTGTACAAACATAGACTTGCAATAGACAAATTTAAAGATATTTAGAATTAATTTTTTATAAATACCATATTAGATGAAGGTCTGGTTAACTACAAGCCCCCCCCCTTTTTTACAATGTACACAATGTCTTTTTTGTGTTTTGTTTTCTACATGGGTACTATTTCTTGTTTCTTCTTTTTCGTGTCTTGTCTTATTCTGTGTACTTGTAATTTTGTACTTTTTCAGGGTGGTTCACAAAAGAAGTCATAGCATGTTTATCAAATCAGGCATCGTGTGTAGAAGTGTTGGGTCACCCAATGTCAGTAATTGGCATTAGTTTCACAACTTGTAAGAAGTACTTCAACCAAACCAAACCAAACTTTATAGGTACAAGATACTATGATGGCCTCCAGCTTAGATACCTTTAAAAGGAAGTCAGACCAATTCATGGTGTGTGGTCTATTCATCACGACAATTTTATAGAACTGGAGTAGCCAACATTATGGCCTCCAGATGCTGAGCACAACTCCCATCACGTAAGCTCATAGGCCATGCAGACTTGAAGCAATGACTTGTAACCTGATATAGCAGAAGACTGTTGCTTTTAGAAAGCCTAAAAGCAGAGCATGAAGACGTGTGGTTGGCCACTGTGAAAAACAGGATGCTGGATCTGTTCGGGCAGGGCAGAAATATCAGGTACATGCGAGATTGGAGAAAGGAATATGTTCTGGTAATAGAGAGGTAGGGCTGGTTGTCATCAACATATAAATGGCATTAAAGCCATGGGACCTGATAAGGTCACCCAGCTACAGTATGTAGCAAGAGAATAACAGAAGGCTGAAAACAGATACCTAACAGGAGGCCAGTGGAGAAAAGAAAAGGAGAGGAAGAAGTGTTGACAAGCAAAAGCAAGACTGTGCAAAACAAGAAAGCACTTAAATTAGGCAAGCAAATTTGCATAATTTAGACAAATTACAGCATTCAACTGGTTGGTCACAGAATTTGTTAAACTGTTGAGCAACATATTGATTTTTCCACTAGCTCCATAGAGAGAACTGAAAGTAGATTAGCTAAATGCAACCAAGGCCATGTACCATGATGATGCTACATAAAAGATTCCCCAGCACAATCAAGTAAATTTTATGACCTCAAATGACAACCAGTTACAGTTCATCCATTAGTACTGTTGGGGAGGAAATCAAAAAATGAAATGTTCCAACAGATTTTTATCAATACACAAATGGGGACCTCAATATCAATCTGTAAAACAGTCCTACAATTTCCTAAATCTGGGGGGCTCTTTTTTTCATGTATATTTGTTGTTTTGGTTCGAAGAGGGATTTTTCATCTCCAGGGGAGAAACACTTCTACACATAATCTCTTTTCATTAGCACCATCTTGCAAGTTTCTAGAGCAACAGTACCATTTGCACATCTCTTTAAAGTTCTGTTGCACTTTTGTATCTCCTCCTAAATGATGACACGGGGTCCCTGCCCTCATTTCATTATCTAGCTCTTCTCCACATCCCCAGATACTTCAAATGGTTTTAATATGTCTCAACGAAGTCCTAATGAAATCAACGGCATTGAAACCTTCAGTTTTGAAACATGAAATCTATAATGGATTTAAATGGCACATGCAACCGTCTACAGTCTACAAAATAATGTGGTGGTCTGAGACTGAGTCAGCTACAGTGTGCAAAACAAGACTTGAATACAGAATCAAGAGGTTTAGTAAAGTTTATTCCTAAAACTCAAATTTCCTTCCAAGCCAGCAAGACACAACCAACTCAGATGTCATGTTTTGCATCCACACGATGGGTTTTAAACAATTTATGTGCAGTCACACATGTGAAAAAAGCAGGTCAGTTGTAAAATTTGTTCAAAAACTATCATGTGAACTAATTTTATTTAGGAATCCAGCAGCCTAGACTCATTTGCACAAGGTTGTCTTTGAATAAGCTGCTTACATGACACATTCGGATGGAACAATGGTAGGAACGAAAGGTTACTACGGTAAATAAAGGTTCTTACAAGTAAATTATAGGAGAATGCTACAAAAAAAAGACATAGAAGCTTTAAGGGGGGGCAGTAAAAGGTGTCTGTTTCCTTTTATTAAGGAAAGAGAAAAAGGGGAGAGGACAGTAAAGTAATAGTTAGAACCATGCTGAAATACATCACTAGTTCCATTCTGGTTACACAGAAAGGCTACACACCCTTGGCCAAAATACTTAACACAAATCGCAAAGCCAAGAAAATGACACATCTCACTTGATTCCCTGGTGGCATCTGTTAGTAAGGGCTAGAGCTCACCCTCAAGCCTACAGAGACCAGCATTTGTATTCATGGGCAGGATCTAAAAACTGATCATGAGCCGTCTTAAGTAGCTTCAAAGACTACGCTTCCAGAAAAGTTGTTTACAGGTAATTATTATAACTAGTGGTTTTAGCCATTACATTCTTTGTTGGTTTCATTGGTATTTGTAAATTTGCAGTATGTTATCAGACATTAAGTAGTGACAAGCGAGGTGGAGGACAGAAAAAGAATACAAATTACAGCGCAAGTAAATGTTTCTGTCTTTCAAGATGGCTTCACATGCACGCCTGCATACATGGGCAATGTTGTAAAAGCAATTTCCCAAAATAATTTGTTAAACCCAATTACACATATTAAACTACTGCCCTTAAACACATTTTGGGCTCCTTTATATTATCTGAAATGAAGGTGCTCTTACAGTGTAAAAATGACAAAGTTACCCACTTTACAAAAAAATAAAAAAAATAGAGAGCTGGATATGGCAAAGCTTTGCTTCCATCTTGTCACATTCCATTTACCTTCTTTGAGGTGATTTTTTTCATACAATAAGGACCCAAGAAGTTCATCATTTCATCGTCAGATAATATGGTAGACACCACAGTGCTAGGGAGCAACAATGGTTGGTTATCCATTGATCTACAGGTGATGTATACAGAGCTGCTGTATTTTTAAATATCCACCAACACAAATCTATATTAGCGTCAATATTAAGCTTTTGTCTGCATCTCATTAATGTATGCCATCAAGGGCAAATTAATTCATAACAAAGATTGGAATAACCAGTCAGACTTCAAATCAATTAAACAACTTTACTAAATGAAAAATCCTACATTTAATATGTGTTTTAAAACAAAATGGAATTAGAAAAGAGACTTAAATCCATGTAAGAACTTTTCACTTTGCCAGAAATCCCTTGCATAATACGTGTCAGTTCATTAAATGCAAGTTGCTAGAATTCTCAATTTAACATTTGCAAAGACAATATTAAAGAGTTCTACATTGTTGCACATTTAGAATAATTTAAATTGGAAGCTTCCCTACTAAGTAATCTTATAAATTTGACTGTGTTCAATAAAAAACATTGTATTAATATCCAATCAAGTCCCTGCCTTTCAATTTTTATCCGTTTACAATCTTTGCACATTTGACAGTGTTCAATAAAAAAAACATTGTATTAATTTCCAATCAAGTCGCTGCCTTTCAATTTTTATCTGTTTACAATCTTTGCACATTTCTTTACACTTTGCCATTTGCCAATATGAACCCTTTAAGGAAAACAGGAAAAGAAATACTGCATCAACTCTTGATCATGTACAGAAATTATTGCTACTATAGTACACTACAAAGCAGAAGTTTCTACAATAGTATATGAACCTTGATCATGAAAATCCAGAGGATATAAATCTTTAGTGACGTAAGCCTTACAATCATGTAGAACATTCACATGGCAATATTAGACAGTCCAACCACCACTAGCCATAGTTAACCTACTGCTCAATGATCAACATCCATTTAAATATACCCTCCTGGAGGGTGGGGCAGCGTGCACAGTTGGGTGGGGAAGAGGAGAGGAAGAAGAGAGCTAGCTTTTCCAGGCATACCAGAGAAGGATCTTCATGTTTGGTGAGCTATGCAAAATGCACTTTAATGCAAATATGACATTATCAGGAAGCTAAGCATGCCAAAAGGTGTTTCATGCTAATAAAATCTAATGCAAGGTACCACATAATCAAGTTATCGACTAATAAGTAATACCATTCTTGCCCTATTTAAGTTAAATGAAGTGTCATTGTGAGTGTAATGTTAGTTTAAAATGGTGCAATGAACAAAGTCATCCTGTGGCAATCTAAGATAAAAAGTAATAAGTTTTTTGTCATGAGAAATACTGACTGTTGGGTTGTCTGGATAAGGAGCATTACCGGAGTCACGAGTTTGAGATTGGTTTGTGTCTTTAAACTCCTATTATAGGGGCACACATTTAGTTAGCAAGAATACTGGGAAGAGGGAGAACAGCAGCTGCCCCAAAAATCCCTTCCACAAATCATTTTCAGCCAGGAAACATGACTAGATACTTTGCCATCATTCTAGCTACAAAATAAGAGAAATAAAAGCAATCAAGCAACAGTAAGACCACATTACACAAATGAAACATCATGCTCTCATCTGATTTAACTATTACATCAAGCTTAAATTGGGATGTTGGTCAACTTTAAAACTGTGATGTGAATATGCAACCAAAATAATTTGTTTAGATTTGATTTTACTCTATGTTGGTTATTAGAGCTTGGAGTATACTTGTTACAATACAGTGTTGCACATCTGTCAACTAGAAAATATTAAAGATCCTTTACCCGTCTCTTTAAGTTAAAGATGTGACATCATAAAGGGTGTCAAATGGCTGGATGGTTTTACAGTGCACACTTATTATATACTGTATATATGGAGTTTTGTCCTTAATAGATCTGATGGGTTTTCTATGATATTCCTTTCTTCACCTCTTCTTCGGAGGATTAGCTGTGCGAGGTGGAGTGACGGGACGTCCAGAGTTCAGTCCACCATACTGGTACTTTGCTTTCTTCTCAGATGGTTTCAGAATCTTAAGAGGATGAATTAAGAAGATGAATAAACTTCTCTTCAAACCAACACAACATATCCATTAAATCAGCATTACAATGAATGTATAACTTGCTGTCTACATTTGAGGTGGCTTCCTATTTACAACAACTGTTGAATATGCATTTGCAAAGTACAAAAAGAATTATTTAACAGCTAGGGCTACCCATTCTGTGGACTCATCTAACCAGGTAGGGATGATAGCAAACTGTAAGAGCATAATACTTTGCATACAGATGGTCCCATATTTACTCAAATGTAATGCGCACCTTCCTTGGCCAAATAACGTCACAAAAATTAGGGTGCGCATTAGATTTGATGGCACATTAGATTTGCATAAATACAGTAATCCCCAGCAACTTCCAGATAAAAGATCTAGGGAAGACTTTCGCCAGCTGCAGTAGAAAATACTGGGCTAGATGAACCAATGGTCTGACTCCGTCTAAGGCAGTCTCAGAGAACCAGACACCCCTAGCCAGTTCAGAGCAACCCATTTTATTATTTTTCAAGAGACTCCATCAGCAGAGTGGCTTGATCCCATTTTATTCAGGCAAATATTCACCTTAGCTTAGTAATACTATGACAACGAGGTATTAGAAAATTAGTTTTGAACTAAAGGAAGATTGTAACATTTGCTGAGAATGCCAGCCTTCAACAAGGGAGATACAAGCAACCGTGTACCTAATTTTATTATTTATACCTCACTTAATTGGCTGGGTTGCCCCGGCTAACTCTAGTTTTATTCAAGCCATAGAATGCTAGTAACTTTCTGACCCATCCTCTCAATATAGAGGTTATAATCCATGTTTATCATACCTGAAAAGAGCACATCAAAGTTTCATCCACACTCATCATGCCACCAGCATTGTCAAATTCTCCACAGTAATTAGGAGCAGAAAATAGGGTAACCAGCTGTCGTTTAGCAAAGAATTCATAGCCATCTTCAACTACCTGTCAGTGAGAAAAACACATAACCAATATTGATGTAACTTAAAATATTTCTGTAATCTGAGCCAAAATGTTTATCCCATAACCAGCAGTCTAAGAGTTTTCAGAGAACATAGCAAAATGAATGCAACACAACTTAAGATTCCATGCAAGATCCATTATCATGCAAGTTGGTTTCTCCAAACACAATGGGAATTCTCTTTCTTCTCAGCTCCCCACTGCCTCCCCAAAAGCAATTTTAGGGGTATATGGAGGGCTCCAAGAGGAGCACCAAGGTAAATTGCACCAACGAAAGCCTGCTCCATGGTGGGAAGGAAACTAATTTGAAGTAGGTAAAAAAGGTAATCTGAAGTACAGAAATCAGAAGGTACAGATTACAAATAAGTTTAAGCAAATTATTCTTTGTGCTGCAGACTAGTTACACAAAGACCTCCAGTTTTTCTGCAACATTTTTGAAACAAAGGACTCAAAATCCAGAAATATGTGTGCAGAGAGGATGTGACAGCTCGGGCAGCTTTGTGTTCAATATTATTTAAGATTATTTATTAAATCTGTATACTGCCCTATACCCGTAGGTCTCAGGGCAGTTCTACAGACTATATATAGCTAAATTTGTACCCTGATCTGCACTAGCTCACCTACTTGTCACCATCTTTGTATGTGTAAATGACATAAAGCCCTGGAAACTAGAAGGTAAAGATCCCAAATTAGAAAGAAGCAAATTCATACCTGATGAGCTCGACAAATCAAATCCAAATCATGACGATTCAAGAACTTGCTGACCACATCAGCTCCAAAAGTGAAGGAGACACCACGATCATTTTCACCCCAGCCCTGCACATCCTTGTCTGGATCAGACCACAGCAGGTCACAGAGCAAGCCTTGAAAGTAAGAGCACAAGTCTCAGAAACAGGACCCTAATGTGTTCTTTTTGGTACAAAATATTTACCTCTCATGACTGAGATTTTGGTATGCATATTTTGTACACAGGAGGCTATACAAGTGTAACAGTTATAGATCTGCAATGCACTCCTACAGGAGACAACAGTGCAAACTTTTTCTATGGTCTGTGGTCTGATGTGCACATCACATTAAACCATAGCTTGTTTTAAAACTATGGTCTTATATGATGTGCAAACTGAGCCAGGTATCTTTAACTTTCTTCCAGCAAGAAAAATCAAGTTGTTTAGAATGAAAACAAATCAATGAATGTCCATAGATCCAAAAAATCCTGAAATCGTAGCTCAGGCATGCCTCATGTTGATAGATTCAGTATGAACCTCGCTCTCCAAAAATTACTGTTTCCTGTTTAATGCTGGAGTAGCATTAGAGCTGCAACAGAAGACAAAGGTTTTCCTATATGCCAAAATTTCAGCCACCTTGCATAGGGACTCAGGTTTAACTTAAAATCAGGAAATCCTCTATTTGAATCTCTGCTTCTATAAAGTACTATACAGATACACATGTTTATTTTTACTTTACTAAGATTAGTTTCCAAGGCTACTACCTACAACTACTGTCTTACAACCAAATTGTTTCAAGTCACGCTCTAGAATGTAATATGGATTTAAAAAGAGAGAACTTAAAAGTTCTAATTAACAAGCTATGCTGCTTCTCTATTACACACCCACATCTACACCCACCCACACCCTCTACCTTCTTCAGCATCCAAAAATCAATTTAATATAGGTTTGGGTGAAATCAAGGGAATAATAGTGCAACTAAGTCTGGATCTAATCCCTTATGTTCAAAACTAGGTAACTTCCACATGGCCCTTTTCAATCTGTACCTCAAATGATGAAAACAAGGACTTTTAGCTTCCAAGCAGCACAAGTATAATAGCGCTCCTCAAAACCCTTCAGATAGGCAAGTTTCACTACCTCTTTGAACACACTACTGATATATGCCACAATACAATTTTAAAATAATTTACAGTGAGCAGCAATTTGTGCAGGTGGGCCTTACCTGTGTCAGGAACATCTGTGGGTCTCATAATTCTTCGAATCTGTTCCATTGATTGCAGATCTGGTGACAGTCCTGACAACATGAATGAGAAAACTCATTTTCATTGTTCATAGAAGATGTCAATGAAAAGAATTTAGACAATAATAGACACCTTTATTTTCCAATGTAATGCCATCCAATTGGTAGTCATATCCATTTGATTTTTTTATGCTCATACCCCACCTCATGGCTCAATAGCTATTACACTGAGACAGGGCCATCTCTAAGATTTTGCAAATGGATATAAAACTAATTTTATCACAAAAAATTGCTAACAGAGGGCATGCAATTGTGTTCTAAACATTTAAGAATAAACTGCACAAAACATCCATTCTTTATTGGAAGCATAAAGAGCTCTCTATTTCATAACTGTGGGGTTTGTTTCTTTTTATAAAATTGCTCAAGGTGTACAAGATGCCTAAGGAACACTTATTCTTCTTAATGAAGAAACTTTAACTTTAAATTAAGTGATCCTCACTTGGAATAATTTCATTGTTAAACAAATGCAAAATAATTGACACCTGAGGACAAGACAAGTATTTCACTAAAAAGAATTGAATTCAAGTAGCAGGCATCCTGAGACACCTCCCTCAATGATGACTTCTACTTGGATATTTCCCTCTGTCAATATAGATTACAAAATTATTTTTATTCTATACCAAGCTGTAAAAGTTTACTAAACCAATTATTTTTAAGGGGTGGTGTCAGGGAAGAGTTAGAAGTTTCCAGTTTCTCAGAGGGAGAAAGCATTCCCCAAGGGGGGAAGGAGAGCAGTGAATCTAATAGAAGAGAGCAACAGGAACAACAGGGAGGGACCAGCTGTTCACAGGAAAGGCAAGGGTTAAGTTCTAGCTCAGATTCGGAGGAGGGGAGATACAAGCCAGCTCTAGTCAGGAGGTTACCGTATTTTTCGCCCTATAGGACGCACCGGCCCATAGGACGCACCAAGTTTTTTGGGGGGGAAATCAAGGGAAAAAAATTTATTTCCCCCCCAGGTTTGCGCAGCCATCCCCAAGCTAGAAGAGGGAGACGGAGCGCTCCGTCTCCCTCTTCTGCCTTCAGGGACAGCCTCTCTAGCCTCCGTGGGGCAGCGGCTTGCCCCGCTGTCCCCCGAGTTTGTGGGGCTGGGGGGGGGAGAAGCAAGCTTGCTTCTCCCCGCAGCCTCCAGATCAGGTCGGGGAATAGCAGGGTGGCGGCGCTCCGCCTCCCTGCTATCCCCCGAGCTTCTGGGGCTAGACCAGGTCCGGGAATAGCGGGGTGGCGGTGCTCCGCCTTCCCGCTATCCCCCGAGCTTGTGGGGCTGGCGGGGGCAGGGGGGAGAAGCAAGCTTGCTTCTCCCCCCGCCAGCCTCCAGATCAGGTCGGTGAATAGCGGGGTGGCGGCGCTGCGCCTCCCCGCTGTCCCCCGAGCTTTTGGGCTGCAGGCTGCTGCCCGCAAGCCTTGCGAGCCCGCGGGACCTCCCGCCGGGCTTGCAAGACTTGCGGATAGCTTCCTGAAGCCTGGAGAGCGAGAGGGGCCGGTGCGCACCGACCCTCTCGCTCTCCAGGCTTCAGCGAGCCTGCATTCGCCCCATAGGACGCACACACATTTCCCCTTCATTTTTGGAGGGGAAAAAGTGCGTCCTATAGGGCGAAAAATACGGTAGAAAAAAGAGCAGGAAAGTGAAGGGAAGGGCACCTTCGACATTTTGAGAGTGGCTGGTCACGGAGAAGCAGAGCTCGGAAGGTATCTGAAATAAGTGACTCTGAGGAAGAATAGTTAAGAACCGTTTATAAGATTGTTTTGTTAATACGCAATAAAAAGTTATAAAAGAACAAGAAGTGTTTGTGCGGTGATCTGAAGAGGACAACGACCAGTCCTGACAGGTGGTTCTCCAGCTTAAGCTATGATGGAGAAAATATCTGAGCCAAGTTTGTTGAAATATTTACAAACTACACTTTCATAGGCAGTGTGCAAACATAAAAACGCAACATTACAATAACAGCAAAAACATCAACATATCAATGAAAACTGGCTGGTAGCAAGAGTCATGTTACGAATGCCTGTCTGAACAACAGTGTTTTCAAAAGATATGTGAAAGCAAGAAGGGGTGACTCCTGCTGAACTTCTATTGGCAAGGATTTCCACAGGGCAGGAATATATAACTATTTTAATAATTTAACTATTTTAACCTGCCCTGGGACCTGCTGGCGAAGGACACATAATTACTAATAATATTAATATCAAAGACCACTAAGAGATACAGCAGCAGGAGAAGGCTTGCACTTTCACTGCTTCTGTTGCCATAAAGGTCATCATGATGTCCAATACTAATTTGTTTCTGAATCTAGACCAGTATCGATCCAGATAAATCAGTCTTATCCAAAAGTATCTGTAGTTGTTCTAGCATGACCCTCTCAAACACTTTCCTCCAATGGAGAGTATTAGTGACCAGGCTGGCTTTCCCCCCGCTAATGATTGCACCCCCAAAGTGGCAGGCACCACTCCCTTACATAATGACGCTGTCGCCCACAACCAGGAAATAACCCTCCCGCCAGGTTCAATTTCACCAGCTGTAATGGGCAAGGATCCAGAGGGCACATAGTCAGGCACATCCCTGCAAGCGGTCTATCCGTATCATTATAACACATAAACTAAAAAGGTTAATTTCTTTTAAGACTTTAAGCTAGTACAACTATTAAAAAAAGAAACAACCATGTGACACATGTGTTTTGCAAATGTATTAGGAAGCAAACCAAGTATTTGTGAAGCGCTTCAATAATGGCTGAGTGTTCCGATTTATCCACACTGTGATTATTTCTAGGATGGGAGTCCTGATAATTTCTTCTGAATTTGGCTTCTTCAACACTTCAGCAATTTATTCCAAGAATATTGCAATTTATCCCATCTTTAAAGGGAATAGGAAGAAAGGGCTGGGAATCTTTTCTGGCCAGAGGGCCAGTTCTTTACCTTCCCCATGCCTGGTGGACCAAGGTTGATAGGTGGGCAAGGCCACCCACCTGTCTATCACCTAATGTCACTATTCCCTTTAAAGATTCCCTTTAAAGCCCCGATTCTTGGGATTTCAAAGCAAGTGAACCATGGGTGAGGGGGCTGAAGGTGCACGATAACCTGCCCATCACAGCTGATGGGTGAGTGGAAGCATGCCATACTGGATCCAAAGAACAACTGGGACCTTTAAGTTCCTGATTTGTTCCTTTGGAGTCCCACCCTTGCCCAATGCTCATGTGGGTTTGGCTTTCTGAAAATGGCCTGGTGGGTCAAATGTGGGTCAAATGTGGAGGCCTGACCAGAGACCAAATGCTCAAACTCTGAATGAAATATTGGGCTATGGTTTACTCTCCAAAGTTCATTTCCCTTTGAGCCAGCTGGCTTCCTGATTGTTCATACCAATATATTATTGGCTCAAAGAGCTGCACCTTTCTACCTAGCAGAATAGAAGCATGATCTCTTGAGGATATGGTTCTATTTTTGCGGTTAACAGACTGAAATAGGGATACCGTTTCTCTTTCAGAGATGGCTGTTGCATTCTATCCAATGGTTGAGGACCCAGGAAGATGACCAGAGGCACTACCCATAGTAGGCTCTAATACGGTTGAGCTGGGCTAGTAAATGCACTTCCTTCTTGAAGGACAGGACCACTTAGTGATGTGGTCATGTGGGTGTTGCAAATCCCTGAGATGGAATTAAGTAACTTAAAATTCCTGCCCAGCAGGAAGTTTTGCTTCCTTGAGGCTTCTCACATCCTTCATCAATTCCTCTGTAGGCTACTTTTCCTATGCTGATGTCCTTAATGATAGCCAAGAGGTATGGATGTATGCTCTGTTGCCTTGAAAATGCTATCTAAGATCACCACAATCTTTGTAATGAGCCTGACGAATGAGGGAAGGCCAAATGATAAAGGACCAGTATTTAAAACTGAACACTAAAATCAGTCAAAAGACCCAGAGGTCAACATACTCATCACTTCAAATCTATAACCTCTGCCTTCTTCAGGACTATAAAAAACTAATTAAACTGCTATACCCTGCTGGCAAGCTGTATATGCTCATTCATCAAGATTTCTCTGGCTAGATTCTGGGAAACCAATGATATTCTAGATGTTGGCATTATAATGCATTTCAAATTCACTTTGTTTGATATTAGTTAAGAGGTAAGGGACAAGAAAACTCATTGGTTGGACTTTTGTCCAAACTTTGGAGAAACAAGTAATTTAACTGTTATGAAAGGTGTGTTCTGCTTACCTCCATGGCAGCAGAAAATCTTCTCATCTACAATGGCTGCAATAGGCAGGCAATTAAAACAGTCTGTAAATGTCTTCCAGAGCTTGATATTAAACCGCCGTTTACCTGATGGAATTAGAAGAGCAGCAATTTATCACATTACATACGGTAGTCTGACCATTCAAAAAGAGTGCCATTTTTATTTAAGTAACTGCTGAATGCAAAGGTAATTCAGAGGTTATTTCACAAGTTTAAAGAGAAACATAAAATAGTATTAATTCAATACTGTTAGGTGAATTTTTCTACAAGTTTCAAAGCATGCCAAGAAAAGGTTAACTACTAGAAACATTTATATAAGACTCTACTTACATTCATCATAGAATCCATAGATGCGATTAATACTAGCACACTCATGGTTTCCCCTCAGGAGGAAAAAATTCTCTGGATATTTGATTTTATATGCAAGTAATAAGCAGATGGTTTCCAAGGATTGTTTGCCTCTATCCACATAATCCCCCAGAAATAGATAGTTGGCTTCAGGTGGAAATCCCCCATACTCAAACAATCGAAGCAAATCTGTATATTGACCGTGGATGTCACCTATGAAAATTAAGATTGCAGATATATTTAGTCTGTAGAAACAATTATTATATATAGTATGTAGAAACAATTATTAGAAGAAATTATTATTAGAAGAAAATCCCCAGCTGGTAGTAAAAACCAAAAACAGATACTCTGCTTTGGCGGTAAAATACTAAGGGGGTTGTTTCCTCCTCAATTCCACTTCGTTATGTCCATTAATTTCAATAGGCCTACTCTGTACAGTGGTACCTCGGGTTAAGAACTTAATTCGTTCTGCAGGTCCGTTCTTAACCTGAAACTGTTCTTAACCTGAAGCAACACTTTAGCTAATGGGGCCTCCCGCTGCCACCGCGCCGCTGCTGTGCGATTTCTATTTTCATCCTGAAGCAAAGTTCTTAACCTGAGGTACTATTTCTGGGTTAGCGGAGTCTGTAACCTGAAGCGTCTGTAACCAGAAGCATCTGTAACCCGAGGTACCACTGTATGTGACTAACATTTGATACAACCTAAGTTTATTAAAATATTTCTCTTCCACCCTCTATTATAAGTTCTTAGGGCAGAGTATACATTATATAAACCTTTTAATACAATATAATATATCATAAAATCACCTTCAACAATGAAGTAAACCACCAGGCAGATCCCACTGCAAGCTAAAATTAGTATGAGCCAAAAACCTATGCAAACAGTCAGGTTTTAACTGGTCATCAAAAAGACCCCGCCACTATTACCTCCCAAGCTTCTGACGGGAAGCTGTTCAATAACTAGGGTGCTGCAGTATAAAAGGCCCTCCCCAACATCTTTCCACCAGCTTCCAAAGGGGAGACAGGGAGGATGGACACCAACACACACTTCTAGGTAGATTTGAATGATCAGTCAGGACAAAATGGGGAAAACATTCTCTCACATACCCTCGCACCAAGCTTTTAGGGCTTTGCAAGATATTAACACTCTGAAATCCAACCAGTTATGTACAGGAAGCCAGTTCAGATCCTATTGGATCAGTGCGATACAGTTATTAAAGATGTACCATTTAACAGGCTTGCTTCCACATTTTTTGGGTGGTGGCAAACATTCTCCTAGTTTACTTTTCACCTTGAAAATGGAAGCTTTTATACTGTTGCACTCTTTAAGAAGTTTAACAGTTGTATCCAAGGATAGCCTACTCAGAGTAGGCCCATTGAAATTAATGGACTTGACTAATTTAGGACCATCAATTCCAATGGGTCTATTTTAAGTAGAAGTTAGTTGGATACAACCTGAAATATTTAAATAAATCACGGATACCTTCTTGGCCTCAAGGCATGCTACATTTTTCATATGCTTGTTGTAGACACTTTTTATAATAGTACCTCTCACACATTCCTATACCACTACTAACAGTCAGGAAATTGTACCGCCTTCCTACTATCTTGTAATCTCCATGTGGACAGCTGTTATTGCTTCTACATCTTTGCATACTAACTACTTGTTTTTATCATGCTGCACGCAAAAAGTTATTGCTATATTGCAGGCTTTAATATTACCAAGATTTTGCAAAGAATAGGGCTTTATTACTATTTAAAATCATTTTTATACCAATTTTTTAAATTGCTAAGTGCTCTACAATCTAACTTACAAGCATCAACCAAAACATTACAAAATAAAATATTACAAATTAAGATCTAATACAAAGTACACATTAAAAACAGAATAATTAACAGAAGAACAAAATGTTCTCTTAAACATAAAAAGCATTACATATTAAAAAATCAAATACAAAAATAGATTTATACTTCACAGAACAGCATCATAAGCAACTAAAATAAATGAAATAGGAGCAGCATGCTGGTGCCTTAAAAATAAATGGCAATGCCTTTTTCTAGGACTTATCTCTACAGTAAACATACCACTGGTCTGAAAGGCGTTTAGGAGCTAGGAATTGTACATATTCTTTAAAAAGTGTTTTAGCAGTTTAATTGTAATGTTTAATTATATTGTGTTATTATTTTGATGAGCTCTTTTGGGGAGGAAGGGCAGGATAAAAATATCAAATAGCAAAAAATACTTCAATTACAAATCAGTTTGTGAGTGTTTCTAAGTGCATTCAAATGATAGGTTAAAAACAGATGTTTTTAATCTATCATTTGAATGCACTTAGAAACACTCAGATGCTTTTAAACCTGCTAATAAAATACTATTTAAACTAAACTAAGCCCAGATGCAACTGCATTTGTTTTTCTAGTCTGTACTGTCCCTCTGAAATCTTCTAGCCTCTCAAAGAGCTATAGCTCAGCTAGTGATGGCAGAACTCTTCCTGTTGAATGCTGATTCAGGGAAACGAAGGCATTCAGAGTGAAACTGCAGTGGCATGTTGCCATTCCTCCCAAAGCCTAAAGTTGTTTAGCAAGCATTCTTGACCTTCACATCAAAAGGCAAGACACTCCCCTTTTGGGTCTTACCCAAAAAAGAATGCACAAGTAGGCTGAAAAATAACTGTGAAAATATGAAGTGTTTTAGTACTTAAGTCTTGCCTCCTAAATTACTTTAATAATATAGGAACTAAATTAAACCCAAGATTAGTATTTACTATATATTAAATACAGTATTTCTTTGTACAGCAGGTTTTGAATTAGCTTAAGACTTGGCAGGAGTATTTAGGATATAAATCACTCAAAGTAGTAAAAGAGTACCAAATTACCACATTTTAGTAGGGTAAGCAGGCTATCTTTTCATGTTAAATGGTTTTGCTTCTCTTTACTGTTTACATATTTTGAATACATAGCAACATTCGGCAAATATTATTTTGCAGGTTAAAAGCTTTGCTTCTTTAGTATACAACATTAATCACCACATACCACAGATCTTCAGCGGTGCCTCTAGCTCCAGAAGTATGGGCTGGCTAAGAAAGATTTCTCGTGATTTTATACACAAGCCCCGAACTTCGGCCTCTGTCATCTGCACAATCTTTCCTGGACGACATCCTCGCACTGAAAGACAAATGATAAATTCAGGTCTATGAAAATTTGTCAAGGAAAACAGTGTGTTTCAAATAGTAAGCCTTTGCCTTCCTCAGCATTTATAAAGCACATTAAACCAAAATGTGTTTAAGCATATGGTTGGCATCCGTCCGTCTTGGGAGGCAATGGAGGAGTGTGCCTTTCGAGATGAAGCCAAACTGTTCAAAGGTTACAGTGCCTGTTGTAGCTGTAAAGACTGATATGAGAGAGACATATCTTGTTGCAGCTGGGGCAGATGAAGGCGTCCAGTTGTGCTGTTTCAGATGCACCATGCCATTTCTTCTCTCTGCACCTTTCCCAGGTTAACATTTATCCAGATATTAAGTTTATAGTACAGTGGTGGCCCGCAAGACGAATGCCTCGCAAGACGAAAAACTCGCTAGACGAAAGGGTTTTGCGTTTTTTGAGTCGTTCCGCAAGACCAATTTCCCTATGGGCTTGCTTCGCAAGACGAAACGTCTTGCGAGTTCTTGCGAGTTGGTGTCCTTTTTCTTAAAGCCGCTAAGCCGTTAATAGCCGCTAAGCCGCTAATAGCCGTGCTTCGCAAGACGAAAAAACCGCAAGACGAAGAGACTCGCGGAACGGATTAATTTCGTCTTGCGAGGCACCACTGTAAAATGATTTGTCTGAATTGGGCCATATCCATTGATCGATAGAGTCATAATAAAGTAGGCATTCACTTTTAATGCACACTATGGTTCATCATTCTGTTATTATCTGCAGAGGGTATAAAAATGTGCTCAATGTACAATGTTTACCATCAAGAACTTACTGGATGTCCAAATAAAAGAGAATAAGCTTTAAGAGTACAGATCTGTCATATGACCTTATTGGTTTGAAAACTGTTATACTAATGAGCTTCCCTGGTTTCATTTTGGCAACCCCATCCGAACACTGCAAGCAAAGATTGAGAGCGATGGAACAGGAAACATCCTTGCATGCTTCTCCATTCCAAGCTTGACTAGATTGCTTGATGACCCAAGAACCAGGGGGCAAGTTCTGTTTGAGCCACCTTTATCTTACACGGAGAAAGGGGCCTTTCTGCATAGCCCCAACTGCTGATACTACCCCTCATTGTTGGCCCAAATGCTTTAGGGGGTCCATAATTTTGTGTCAAGTAAGTGCTGCAGGTACTTACTTGACAAAAAATTAATCTTCTTCATGGAGCAAGGAGGCTAAGGAGTCTACTCATCTACTCATAAATGTGGAAGGGATTTGCTTGTTGAGGAAATATCAGGACCAACATCTGAAGGAGTGTGAAAGAATCCTGTTCATCACTTCAACAGATGACATCAGTGGGGGCTCCTCAACCCCCAGATGCCAATGAGCATGTGGATAGGGGTGATCCAGTAGACACTGTATACTTAGAACTTCACCAAAGAATCCTGAGTAGGTTTAAAGATCTTGGGATATGAGAAAATGTTCTCTTCAGGATTAGAAACTGGTTAAGGAGCAAGCAGTAGAAGGCAGCAATAACAATGGAGGGATACAAGAAGCGGGGTCCCTTCAAGGCCTGTATTGTGACCAGCATTTTAAATTTGCCCATAAATGATCTGGACTTAAGGGTGAACAGTAAGGTAAACAATTTTGCTGATGACAAAATAAGTACTTCTTCGCATGGCACATAGCTGAGCCACAGATTTTGCTACCACCAGATGTAGCAATGTCTACCACATCACATAGACTCAACAGGTATACACATTAATATAGGAGAAGGCTATCAATGGATACTAGTCATGATGGAAATGTACAACCCTCTAGGATCAATGGCAGGATGCTTCTGAGCACCGGTTGTTCATATCCTGCTTATATGCTTCTCACAGGCATCTGGTTAACCACTGTGAGAACAGAGCAATGGACTAGATGGGCCTTTGATCCAATTCAGTATGGTTCTTCTTAGGTGGCTGCATAACGTTGATACTGTTTTCAATCCTGGATTTGAATCATGATGTCTTATTCGTAACTCATTTTGGGGGTCCTAAGGCCAACTCTGTATTTTAATCTGAAAACTTAATTATGTTTTCAACTGGTTGCTTTTTTAAAAAATGGAAAAGCAGGATTTAACTAACAAATGAATATGAACGGCTTTGATGAATTAAGTGCTCCCTATAGCATATAGTTCAAACAAAGAACTAAACAGAAAATCTCAAGTTTTGAATCTGTATAGATTTGCATATGACAATATTTCTAGAGAAAAACATACCATGTTTTTAGTATGTACATGTTGCTGTAGCTACTATTTTGGAAGGCACATTCCTGAAGGTCAAATGCCTCTAAGATAAAACTGCTTTCAGCACTTAAATTGAGTACAGAACTTTATATATTTATGGTTTTAAGTTGCATAACACTGTTTTTGATGAAGGACAGGTTAGATATATGTTAATTAATTAAAGCATTCCTAATTGATCAAAGAGGTTTTTTCCCATTTCTCCATGTGGCAAAACTCTTAGGTACCTTACAGCTACTGCAGCTTGCAGCATTATCTCTAGCATTATACTTAAAACAGATACTTACTTTTAACTTTAATACTAACAATTTAAGTTCTACATAATATATTCTTCAATAAACTTTATGCATTGCACATATTTCTGTTTTTTGCAACAGGAGTAAAAAAAAAATATTGTACTCTGGCTTCAAGACTTTAAAGAAATTGTATATCTATCCTTTAAACTCACAGGTTTACTTGGGCACTCTGGAGCACACTCACTTTGAAATACCATTGAAATCAGGAAAAAAAATATTTATGAAGTGTATTATAGGACTAATGGTTGCAAGTGTAAACATTTCTCTTTTGCTGGCAGTGTAGTGCCAGTTCCAAAGACGAGCTTTCCAGCTCAGGACTTCAGACAGCTTGAAAAAAAGAACTGGTAAATCCTATGTGTATTATTCAGGAGGGAAAGAAAGTCCTTCTCCCGATGTGCTAAAAGTGATCTGATAGCAGCCGACTCTCTGGACAAGACCTAAGAGCCACTAGTCATCATCCTATAGTGTTAAAAGCTTAACTTGGGGGCTGCCACCCGCAAATCAGAGTATTTAATAGCTGTAATCCAGAAGAGTTGGGGGGAGGCACTGGAGATTGAGGAAGGGGGGATTATCTCCCCCCCTTTCATTCCTACTAAAACATCCCTGTATAGTGCAGGGTGGAAATGTAGTGGTGGTGGTGAAATGTTGTTGTTTAAACCTCATGGCATGCATCCACCCTCAACCATAGATTCAAGTCCCTTCCCTTGAATACTTACTAAGAGTTGTTAGGAGACAATTTTTCTATTCTATTCTAAATGTCCTCTTGACTAACCTTCTTTCCTCTTCCTGGATATGCTGGAAGAAGTTTACAGGTCCCAGTAAGACTTTTTGTTTGTTTGTTTTTTAAGTATCTGCAAAGGTATATTCTTCTACATATTTAACACCTATGTAGAAACTACTACTTTTGGATGGCTCTTTTTCGCTTCCAAACTGATAGTGAATTGGCCACCTATTGGAGAGAATTACTGCCATCAAGCAAAAGCTGACAGCTGGTTTACTTGCGTATATCTCTGAAGAAGGGATCATCACTAGAAAAAAATGAAATGGAGCCACATGGACACATATTCTGTGCACCATTATTTCACTTGCCAATGTCGGGAATGAAATCTGTGGGATGGGTGGAGGGAGGAATGAAAATAGTAAGTTCCTCTTTGTATACAGTATATCTATTTACCTCTGTGGGACCAAGCTGGAAAGTAAGATGTAGCTAGCCATTTGGGAAATGGGCAGCAGGTACATTGCCTACAATTAAAACAAGTCCCTGCCCCCCCCCCCGAAAAGTTCCATGTCTGGAGCTGGCAGGGAGGCAAGGGTCACGTCCACTAGGCCCATGCTGGGCAGGGAGCAGCCTGCCAGACTTATTGCTGTTCAAGCTTATAACTTTATTCTAGCAAGACTCCCAAACCTGGGTCTCAGACAAGCTCTGTACGAACTTGAAACCCATAGCTGTGCTGGCTTCCAATGTTCTCAAATGCCAAGCCCAACTGTAAGGATGTTATCAACTACTGCAGCTTTAAATCTGAAGAGGATAGGGAGAATTATCCATCATGTTGGGAGCAAGAACCCAATCCTATGCTATAACTGCATCTAAGCATAGCAAATGTTCCAAGGATTGCACTGCAGGGGAGGAATAGGGTCCTGGCTGCAACAAATATTCATTTGGCTAGCCAGAAATCTTCGGAAACTACCCATAGCATATTCTGAGGAGGAGACAGGTACAAGATAAGGGAAAAAACTGTATAGTAAAAGGAAGCTTGTCACATTAATTCCAAAAACTACCATCAAACCAGAAATGTTAGGTCACCTAACCTTCAATATCCTAGCATGCTATCTTTAACATGGCCCAGTGAGATGGCATCTCAAATTAAAAAATCACTGAAGGGGAAGATCAATGACGCCCCCCTCCAAAAAAGACTTATACATGTGAAGCCTGTCCCCATCTTAAATGGATAGCTAACTTAACCAATATACTGTAATCTCAACTGTTAAAATAATCCAATTGTCTATCACAAAGGCAGTTTTAAAATTCTATTTCTGTACGCATCATAAGCACTTCAAAGCTGGCACAATTCAAGATTCCTGTCCTTATCATCTGAAATACAGCAGTAGTTCAGTCATATGAAGCGAACTTAAGTGATAAATTATTGATAACTGCTTCACATATTTGACAATGCTGGCAAGCAGCACCACTACCAGACTGCCCTGCATGAGATTATAATTTTACTGAAATAACTACCTCATTTTGTCTTCTGAATACTTCATTTATTTGCCAACAGTTCTCACCTAGTCAAGAAATAACCCAAACTATAACAATGATGCTAAACGTTCTAATAAAACATACTCCACATGAAGTCATATGGTTGATAGAAATAAATGACATCCGAAACAAAAGAGATAGGGTGAATAAGCTCAAAAACCCCACAGGTGAATAAACATTAAAAAAAACTACAATCACACCTACTCCCCCTGCCCACCAAAATGGAATGAATTGGGAGCAAAATATAGAAATAACACATGCAAGGACAATATATTGGCGTATTACAATCAAAGAATATAAATCCCATATAAGATGCTATAGAACACACACACACACACACACACACACACTCAAAACAGTGAGAATATCAAGATGCAACAAGATACAAAAAAACCAAGCGTTTATTCAGGCACACACAGTCTCTCAAAATACAAAACTCCATAAGGAAATGGGATGCCCAAACCAGAATAGAAACCAATATATAAAAAAAAACTACGAATAAGCCAATGCCCAAAGGGCAAACCAAGAGAAAATTAAGGGCAAACCAAGGGTAAGAACAGTAATAGTGGAAAGCAAACTACAGCTACTAAATTATCATATGAAGCAAAAGCTAGTATTTACTGAAAAGCTGTATGAACATAGGCCCTCCTGTGCTCAATATTTTTTACATAAAAATCCAATACTAGGCTACAGGTGATATAAGTGTAAATGGCAAAGACAACATAAGTCAAGCATGCTGTGGGAGGCATAGAGTAGTCATTCTTTTTCTTGCCAGTGAGAGATAAATCATATTTTCCTCCCCATTAAGAACCAGAAAGAAAACAAAAAACCTATTATGACTATTACTATTTATTATTATTATTTTAAGGAGCTACACATCCATTCATTAGAACAAGGTAACAAAACATTTACTGAAAAGAGGAAGATCCCTCCTAAAACTAATTCACTTTAGTTCACTTTACCAGTTTCAAATTCTTCTTTTACATAATATGAAGAGTCACATATCCAGATTAATCCATGGAAAACAAAATAGGGTTTAAGTTAAGAAAAGAATTGGGCCTCAAGTCCAAAAGGGTTTATCAAAAAAGTAAATACTTCTGTTGTATCCAAGAAACTTACTTTTTTGTAAAAGCTCAACACAGTAAACTAGCTGGGTTTTATGTCATGTATTTTTTTCTGTCTGTAAAGACTAAAGCAGAAATGTGGTGCACTTTTCGCACCTGGCAGAAGTCATGCACACACCTTCCCAAAAGAATGTAGGTATTCCATCAGCACAAGGATTTCCACTTGCACAACAGAACTTCCTCCTTTCTCCTCACTGCAAAAATGCTTCAGAGGGGTGACGGAAACCAGAGTACATTTTTTCCCCCTGGGGTGGTGGTGTTGCATTGTGCAAGGAAAAATCATTGCACTGATGGAACAAGTTGGATGCTGTTCTGTAAAACTCACTATATACAGCAGAGCATGGATGGGAAAGCATATCTCATTCATAGTAACACTGTGACATCCCAATCCCTACCCAGCTCCAACTAATCACGTGTAACTATATGTGTTCATTGCTGAACAGGGCAAAAATCCTGCCACCTGGCAATGTCAGTTAATGAAATTTCCAGTGCGGCAAGGAGCTTCAGCCTGGTTGCCTGGACAACTACAATATATTCCCTCATCCCAACCCCCTAAAGCAGCAGCCGCAGCTGACTAGGGAATAATGGATGTGATAGGCATGAAAAATTGCACAAAAGAATGGAAGGTAAGGGTTTACACAGCCATATCCACAGACCCTGAAATTGCAGCTTTTGTAGAGAAAAAATAATGAGACTTTTCTTAAGGAGCATTACCATAGTGTGTTGTTCAGCAGTCTCCCCCCTTCTCAACTATGTATTTATAATTAATCAGAAAAACTTTGAGATGGCTGTTACCAAAAGCTCTGGTGGCTGTAGCTACAAAACAGTAAATAAACTGTTCTTTCAGGCTATGAGTTTGATATGAAATTCAATCCCTCTAAACAGGCACCCACAAGTAGGGGCCTCTTAAGAAATTCTTACTGCTTTCAAGCAGTGACGTGGGGCAGAAACTTTTCTCTAGAAAATTGTCAGTTTTGTAAGTTTGGTAGTAACAATAAATTCCCATGAATCACAGATCAGCACTGGGGGAAAAGAAAAAGAGCCGCATGGACCCAGGTTCAGTCTACCATTATTTCACAATAAACGGATGCCACTTGAAACAAATTCAGCTGCTTCAAAGTTTTTAGCTTAATTTACTAAACATATATAAAATGAACATGCTAAGTCAAATCAATCTAGGGCATCAGAACATTTTCCTATGGGAACTATTGTATGCAATTCTACCTAAATTGCTTCCCTAGCCCGAACCAGTGCTTCCAAATGCCACTGAAGCCCAGCAAAACAGCTGAAATGAAGAGTCCCACCCATCTCTCTCTTTGTGAGAAGGGCAGGCACTTGCCAGATCACAGTATGCAGTTACTACAAGCAATGGTGTGGGTTTTCCAGAAAGTTCCGCTTTAGATTTGCTAAATTCCTAAGTTGACTGGGATCTGAATTATCATGGTTACATTTTATTTTGTAAACAAAATTTTAAGAAGTATTCCATGTTAATTTGAATTCCTCAATAACTCAAGAAGTTTCCAATACCCTGAGGTATTTAAACTTAAATATTTCACGGCAGGGGGAATAACATATTATGTGGTTTAAATGTTATCTTCAAAATCAAAGACTCAACTGGAAAACCGTTGTTTTAATGCAAATATTTTAAGATTTGTCAAATCAATAGCTTACGTTTCCTTACACTGTTTTTATTTTGGGGAAGAATAAAGACACTGAAAATGCAAGTATGACATTTTGAGCACACTCATTACATGTATATGGATGCACACTCTCCAAAACTTGATTACAACCATGTAACTATCCATTTTGATTAGCACTACAGTAATTTATTATATGCATTTTTAGAAAGTCTTCAGTTTTCCATGGAAAAATGTACCAACAGAAAATTTTCTATCCCCCATCACTAGCCAATGGCAACCTGGTAAGCACATTGTAGATCCATATGTGATCTATCACAATTTTCTAAGATCTATCAAGAGCCCCATAAACTGAACCAAAACATTTCACACTGAGTACAAAGTCACAGTGAAAGTTGGAGGGCATGTCATTTGTTCAAAAGTTTAAAATCTGAATTTGGGGGGGGGGGGAATACTAACCAACTACAAAATATATGCAATTCAGGGCCACTATTTAATTCCCAATAAATGATCTGCTTGAAATTGGAAGAGATTCCAATGAGGTGGTGGACTCTCCTTCCTTGGATATTTTGAAGCATAGGTTGGATTGCCATCTGTCATGGATGCTTTAGTTGAGATTCCTGCATTGAAGAGGTGGGCTAGATGACCCTTGGTGGTCTTTCCAACTCTACATTTCTATGAATCTAGTATCTACAGTGAAATCCTTCTGAACAGTAAACTCCTGTGAGTTCAGTGAGACTTACCTGGAAGAAAGTGGGTACAGAAATACAATTTTAAGCATTGTATTTAATTATATTCTGTTTCCTTAATGAAATGATCCCATTTAAAAGGTCTCATAAAAATAACCCGTAGAAAACAATACTGTTTAGTCTATATGTTGATCAAAAGAAACTAATACCAACTTCTCCACATAGTACATTTTTGTTTCTGTGAATTACCATAATTTGCTCCAGATTCTGTATGAACCTCCCCCTGTACTTATTGAAAACTGCTGTCTTGGCAAAACTTGCCAGTTTGTTAACTTTATTATGAACCATCATAGGAATCTCACAAATGAATCAGCTTCTCATTGCTAAACTATATTCTAAATTTGTAAAAACATCTCTCACCTGACTACTTGTGATGATGCGGCTCATCTCTATTGCCACTGACATAACAGCAGTTACACAGATTGCTCTAATACTGCCCCGTTTTAATACAGCATAAAGGCTCTCATACTCATTTGAGCCCCAGCTTCCATAGCAAAGCTATGCAGTGGCCTAAAGGGAGTGCAAAATTCTCTGTCTCCTCTACTAGCCCAGGACAAGGATATGAAATAGCAGCACACTAATAAGTTTAGAAGGGAGCACAGGTACAAGGAGAAAGAGCACGGGAAAACATTTAACAACACAGGGGAATAGAACTGAAAAGTCTAAAATTTATTGTCAAAACACACACCCTCCAGTCTTTTTAACGTCCAGCACAGCAGCAATGCAAGAAAAAGCATAGTCTGCTGAATTTCTGCCTGACAGATGATCATTAGAGGTGCAAGAAATCTATTTTCCCCCAAGACAAACTGTAAACCAAAGTCCATTAAACACAAAGACTTACTTCTGAGTAGACATGTGTAACATTGTATAAGTTAACTATACCGTGAATTCTTAAATAAGTCTCTGGTTTTTAGCTCCGGCACAGCAGGAAACATGCCTAAGCCTCTTTGCCAAGTTTTCACATTTGCCTTTTGTGGTAGCAGGGGGATTAGTTTACATCCACCTACACATCATGTAGTAGCATTTGGAAAAAAACCAAAACCCTCTACTGACTACTTGTTCTCAGAGGACCCCACCACAGAGAGGATGCATCCTGAACCCGGGGGCGGGGGGGAGAGAGAAGGGCAAATAACAAAGATTCCAAGGACTGGAAAATAAGCCAGAAGCTGGGAAAGTACACTAAAGCGAAAAAGGAAAAAAGAAGCTCTTTCGGATCCTCAGGGATTCCCATTGCTTTGTGTCCAAACATCTCACTTATCAATCACAGCTCTGACTTTACTCACTTTACTTCACACTGACAGGGAGCAGGTAGGCTAGCTTATTTCACGGAAATAGCTTAGAAAGCTACAGGTACATTTTGCTTCACAAATTCCTAGGATGGATGATGATACCAAAGAGTCTGGGGCCCCTGCCCAGAAATGTTAAAAGAAAGTACCAGACTGGCAACTCCATCTTCAATGTGTAACACCATGGGGCACTTGTAATAATATTCTCAAGTTTCTCTTTGGCCAAGGCTTTTTGCTCTCTTAATTCCACAACACTAATCTACAACATCCTTAGGGAAATCAGGAAACAGAAACAGCACTTGTCATGATCGCTTTTCAAGGTGCCCTTAGCAAACAAATGCCCTAGCAAATTCTCTTTTATAAGCAAATGAGAGAAGCTAGATTACGGCCCTTGGAGGGCATTTTCTGAACTACTTGCTTTTAAAGCCCAAGATGCCTAGCCTGTTCCTGGGTAAATCTAGACTCTCACAGAGGAGCTCATCCAGGAAGGCACTTATCTGCTTTCAGCCCTCTCAGGCAGCTCAAGTACAGTGGTGCCTCGCAAGACGAAATTAATCCGTTCCGCGAGTCTCTTCGTCTTGCGGTTTTTTCGTCTTGCGAAGCATGGCTATTAGCGGCTTAGCGGCTTTAAGAAAAAGGAAACAAACTCGCAAGAACTCGCAAGACGTTTCGTCTTGCGAAGCAAGCCCATAGGGAAATTCGTCTTGCGGAACGACTCAAAAAACGAAAAACTCTTTCGTCTTGCGAGGTACCACTGTAAATGGGGAAGCCCAATTTAATCTGAAAGACTAGGCTTTCCCAACATGGTGCCTTCCAGTTACCTTTTTACTAAGATGGCCATGCTAGCCAAAGCTGACAGAGTTGCAGCTAGTAATGTGGGTTTTCCAGAACATTCAGAATTGGAAAATGTTCCTATGCAAATCATGGTAATTTGCATAGGAGTTAATTCACATCAGAAAATGTTCAGTTTGCACAAGAAAGTTTTCTGATGCTCTAATTTAGCATTTTACTTGTATTTAGTAAATAAATAAAAAAACTTTGGAGCTGCCATGCTTGACTGTCATTGCTACGAATTAACTTAAGAAATTGAATATATTGTACAGAAAAAAATCCACCCCATATCACTGGTTATGGACTAAAACATCTAAAGGTCATCAAATTGAGGAACACTATTTTAGGTCCTCAACCTGTATCTCAAGCAGCTCAAAAAACTGTGATGCCTTTCTTCTTCTACTAAAGACTAAACACACAGTTCTACATGCATTCTGGCTGTATGCATTCTACATGCATTAATGGATTTAATTTCTACTACCTCAGGTCAGAAGGAAACTCGGCTTGAGTTTTTGCTATCTTTGCCAACTTCCCAAAGTATAGACAAGATAGTCTCAGTGTTGCTTTTGTCCCTCTATAGACAGGCTCTGATGAAGCAAAAACAGAGGAAGCTGAAGAGCTTCTCTGTCCTCTCTAACAGGAGCTCATCCATTCACCTCTGAGATCCATGCTCATGTAAATGTTAGCAAAAAAAATAAATCGTAAAAACTTTTAGTAAAAATTATACATAACCTAAACATAGATTCCTTTATCTTGCACATTGGCATAAGATTTTCATACCTCTAGATGCAAAAATAGTTGCAGTGGGACAAATGAAACCGCAAAGGAAAAGGTCAGATTCTGAACTACAAGCACAAAAACCAACTTCAAAATGAGTATCTGGTTGTTGTTTTCCTGCAGTAAATAACACAAAGTATCTTGTAACATCTTCAAATGTAACAAAATTTATTATGGCATAAGCTTTATATGTCTTTTATAGAATTGAAATTTCCATCAGATACAAGGAGTGGGATTCTCAGTTATGAGGTAAAGGTTGAAGTTAAATGGCAATTGTATACAACAGTACACTGACAATACAATGACAACTTAAAATATGCAAAATGATACTTCAAAACACCAGTAATTGTCTTGGGAGAGGTTACCAACATTTTAAGCCTGTGGGCACATTTGGATTCTCCAGCAAGTGTCATGGGTGCCACTCCCTTCTTTCTTCCAGACACAAAGAGATTCATGCACACACAATCTGGGTAAAAGTCAAATCCAGAGAAAGTAATCTGGCTTTGAAAAGCTCATAGAGCTGAAAGAAGAAGTGGGAAAGCTTCTTCCAACTCCATCCTTCAGCTCTATGTACTGGTATTTTCAAGGAAGAAAAAGGTAACTACTGGGGTACCTCGGGTTACAGATGCTTCAGGTTACAGACTCCGCTAACCCAGAAATAGTACCTCAGGTTAAGAACTTTGCTTCAGGATGAGAACAGAAATCGCGCAGCAGCGGCGTGGCAGGCCCTATTAGCTAAAGCGGTGCTTCAGGTTAAGAACAGTTCAGGTTAAAAACAGACCTCCAGAACGAATTAAGTTCTTAACCCGAGGTACCACTGTACCCTTATCTTCTCATGACCGAAAGGGCAGAGGGGGCGGGGCTCAAGGATTTGTGGGCACCAGGTGATGACCCCAAGAGCACCACAGTACCCAATGGCAGCATGTTGATGACCGCTGGTCTCAGTGAACCACCACTCTATTCAGAACCCCCAAATGAACATAATGTAACTTTTTGATATGTTGTGATTCAGCAGTTTTACAATGGAGTTTCTCTTTGAAAAACAAAATGAATCCTTCATGAAAACCAACAATTGCTCACTTGTAGCAGTTCTAAAATATTTCCTCGAAACTGAAGATTTTGTCAGAGCCAAGTCAGATAAAACTGTGTAGATCCCAATCTCAAGTAACCAGCTTTACAAAAGTGACCAGACATCTTCAATGAACCATCTCAAGTATGGCTGCTGATTCACAAGCTAGATGTTCGATAATTTATTATGAGACAGATAATTTATGCCAGATGGAACTAAAGCAGCAGTACTTTAGGTATTTAATAAAATAGCTGTACCTCATAATTTAGTCTGTAAGAAAACCCCAATACAGCAAACAATCCACTTTAAAAAAAACCACACACAAGCAAACAGAATACTGCTCAGCAGAAAAATAGCATATTAATCATATTATGGAACCATCAAACAAGACCTCCCTCAAATGCTCAAGAGAGCCATGTCTTTCCTAACCACAGAAGGTCAATAACTGACCCAAGTATAGAATACTTTCACATGTGCAAAGAATTCCCTCCCACTCCACAACTACTTCCTCTCTTTATATTGCTACATACTTGGTACTCACAATGTGGTGTTTGTAGGTGCAACTGCACCCAAGATGACTCCCTAGAGCTCGCAATCACTGCCTGGAAGTGTGCATAGAGGTGAAGTGCTCACTTCCTCCTTTAACTCCATGAACCTTTCTAGGCTGACTTTAGTACCCAAGCAGAAAGTAAAGAAAGACTGAGATAGAGTATATCTTGTAAAAGACAGAAGAGCAATGAGACCAAACGGAGGTAGAATGAAGTGACGTGGGGAGGGGGAGAAAGAAGGAGCATGTTTATTTCTCTGACTGTGCATCATGGGCATAGCCAGGAGGGAGGAGGGGGGCAGCTGCCCCCTAAATCAAGGAAATAAATAAAAATGTTTAACTGACCAATCAAGTCGCAGATAGCTTGGTTCAATCGTCCCCCCACCCCACTCCAATAAATCCTGGCTATGTCTATGCTGTGCATTTCCCTCTCTTCCTCCTCTGGGTCTCTGTTTTTGTTTTGTTTTCTGTGTCCTAGGAGAGAATGATTCCTTCTAAAAGGAAATTTGTGTTTTTGTGACTGGTCAGAACCATTACGGCTGTCATTTTGTGAATGTCATGCCCCACATGACAGCCATTTGTGATAGCACTTACTCAAAATTCACAATATGGCCATGGATCCAAAACGGCTGCTGATTCATGGCAGGTACTGAAGCAGATTTTAAGAGGAACAATATTCAAGGATGTAATTAAGCCTCAATCCTACCCAATGGCAAGGGGTGACTGAACTTGATATGAGTAGGGCAGTTGGGAAATCTAATTACAGTAGTACCTCTGGTTACGTAAACTTCGGGATGTGAAAGCGGCAAACCTGGAAGTATTTTACCAGGTTTTGCCACGCGCACACACACGCAAAAACGGTCCTCCGGTTGCGAAAACCTCAGGATCCGGCCGGACCTCCGGAACGGATCCTGTCTGCAACCGGAGGTACCAGTGTACTGGCTTCTAACATTTTACTCCTCCAGCTTGTGAGAGACAGCAGCAGCAATCCACTGAGAAGGCCTGGCATGCGAGCGACTAACATCTGGCTGTTTCAACAGTCAGTTTCAGGCCAGAAGATTCAACGGCAAAATGGCACTTGTTGGAAAATTATACACATCTTTGTCTCATTCCACTAGCTTTTGCATCACTGTCTTATTTTATTGTACACACACAGAGAGAGTACACTGAATATAGAGCACAAACATATACAAATAAAATATATACGGGTATACTGCGAATACTTCAATTAGTAGACAGGGTCTAAAGGTAAAGGGACCCCTGACCGTTAGGTCCAGTCGGGGACGACTCTGGGGTTGCGGAGCTCATCTTGCTTTACTGGCTGAGGGAGCTGGCGTACAGCTTCCAGGTGATGTGGCCAGCATGACTAAGCCACTTCTGGCGAACCAGAGCAGCACACGGAAACGTCGTTTACCTTCCCGCCGGAGCGGTACCTATTTATCTACTTGCACTTTGGCGTACTTTCGAACTGCTAGGGTATAGATAATTCAAAATAAACAAGTGGTCATGAACTGGTAAAGGCGTGGCTTGCCAACAGTTATTGGAGAAGCAACGTGTGAACAGGTGACTTCCTGGTTCACAGCTCTTGCATCCAGCGGCTGCTAGTCTATACTAGCTCTTGGGCACCCTGCTAGCTTCCAACTTGGGTTGAGGAAAGAAACTTATTATTTTGTACAGTTACCGGTAAGTTCTCTAGGAAAGGATACTCAGAAGTGACAGAACTTCTAAACCAGGGGTCAGCAAACTTTTTCACAGCAGGGGGCCAGTCCACTGTCCCTCAGACCTTGTGGGGGGCCGGACTATATTTTTTTGGGGGGGGGGAAATAGGAATGAATTCCTATGCCCCACAAATAACCCAGAGATGCATTTTAAATAGAAGGCCACATTCTACTCATGTAAAAACACCAGGCAGGCCCCACAATTAACCAAGAGATGCATTTTAAATAGAAGGCCACATTCTACTCATGTAAAAACACACTGATTCCAGGACTGTCCATGGGCCGGATTTAGAAGGCGATTGGGCCGGATCCGGCCCCCGGCCCTTGGTTTGCCTACCCATGTTCTAAACTCTTAAAGAAAAGCATTCAAAGGTTAGAACCTTGAACTTGTTTTTGTCTTCAAGAGTTATGCCCCCTGTTCATTTGTTTACCACAGAGATTATCACAGTTCTGTTGCAGAGGATACAATTTATGGAGTGAATACTGGTAAGGGCAGCTTTACAACTTCTTAAGGATAACAAGTCTGACATAGCAGCAGGAAGGACAGCTAGGAAAAGTTGCTTGGAAACAGAACTCAAGAGATTAAAAGCACAATCCTAACCCATAGGAGAAAGTCCCAATGAGTGTGTGTATGCATGGTGTAAGTTGGTCATCAATGTCTGTTTTCAATGACTTCAGATGATGTTTTAACAGGAAGACATTACTAAAAGATAGTAGCTAAGTTATAAGCTCGTCCTAGAAGTGATTCACTCTGTTAGTTACAGTTTTAAGAATCCAGTATGATTATTAAACCATGTTACTGCATCTCAGAATGTGGAAATCCAATGTATATTCAGTATTGTACAGGCAAGTGGCTTCTTGCTGCATCATACAGATACTTGTAAGAGAGTAAAATAGATACTTGTAAGAGGGTAAAAATTACACAACTTGAAAACTGAAAATGAGTTTTAGCTCAGCTCACAGAGAGGGAGGGAGAGAAATTATCACTATGGTAAAGGAAACACCTGTGATTTCAAACTAAAAAAATGTTCTGGATATTTAACTTGTGAAAACTTTAAGATCATTCCCTCTAGTAACAAAAATCAGGCTGTAAAGTATTTTGTAGCCACGAGAAATAAGGTAGTAGCTTCTACATCAATGGGGGCTTTCTAGGGATGCAGATGCACATAAATTGGTAAATTAAAATAAAAAGTGGTATCCAATGTTAGCCATGCTCAGAGTAGACCACCTGAAGTTAATGTTTATGTCAAACTTTGGTTTACTCTAAGCAGAAATTAGATTAACACAACCATGTGTGTTAAACACACTAAAACAGAGAATGTCAAGGTACTTAATTCAGGGAAAAGGGGAAACTGGGTGTTGGGGGTGGGAAGGGAGACAGTTAATTAGGCACCTGAAGCTGAAACAGGTGCCACATTCAAACCACATTCAAAACATCATGTACTACAAACTATCTAGGTCTCCTATTCCTAGTTCATTTTCTCCTAAAAGTGTATTGCCTCACTTTTCTGACTCATTTTTTTAATAATAAATGTTTATTCATTAGCGTGATAGAAACTGAACCAATCTCCAGGTTTCTGCCAACAACATTTGAGCTCTTAACATATGGATCACTACTAATGGGTCATATTCCCTTGCTTTCCCTTCAAATCTCCAGTACAATTAAATGATCCAATTAAAGCTTAAAGCCAACAATAATATTTTTAAATAATTTTTTCCATTCATTTTTAAGATACCTACATTCCTATGTAAGCCATGGTTCTTCTAATGCAGCCTTTCCCAACTAGGTGTACTCTGGATATTTTGGACTACATCTCTCAGCATTCCTCGTGGCTGCCCATGCCGACTGAGGCTGACAGGAATTGCAGTACAACACTGTTCTGGAAAACACCAGGTTAGGGAAGGCTGTTCTAATATTTCCACATTCCCAGCATAGATTTGACACATTTGTATGCATCAGGGATAGGGAACCTCAAGCCCATGGGCAGAACATAGCCCTCCAGGCCTCACTACCACCCCACTATTCTCTCCAGCCCACACCCCTCACTGGTCCTGCTTTGCACCCTCATTGAGTATTTCTGTTATGAACTATGGCTTTTCTGGATGGAGGATAGAGATTGGTGTGTGAGTGTCATTGTTAGAAACTGAGATATGAAAGCTAGGAGCTAAACAGCATATTAAACCTAGGTTATGCGCACAACATTGGAATGTCTAGGCGCACTTTTTATAACAAGAATACAAAGATGAAAATGAATGAACTGCAGCTAAAAATCTTATGTTCATTTTTCATGTGGTCTAGTCTGAAGACTTCAAAAAACAGCCATGCCTCCCCCACTCATATTCTTAAGAGGGTCCCTTCTGCAGTCTTCAGAGAGTGGTTAGAAGTGGAGGCAGAAAAAGGTCCCCCTTTCCTTCCACTCTGAACAGGCCCTGGATTTTCCCTACACCCCCTTTCCTTCATATAAATGTATCTTGTTGGCACCACAATTAACACATATTAAATGCCTACACAACTGATGGCAAAGATACCCACCTTGAGTGTCCAGTTTGCAAACCTAAGATTTAAGTCTCCTTCAATGATCCCACTTCAAAATTTGTTTTGATTTTAAGCATCACTGTGAGTCTGAGGTAGATAACACTTTAACATGCACTACTTAAAAAGTCATCATAACTAACTGGCTAGTATTTTTTGAATGAAAAGCACATCATACATTAAAAGTACATTAAACAAGGCAACTAAAACCTAAGCATAACATGTTGGGTTTAAAAGGAAAAGAAGTTTTCAGGTACCCAATTCATGCACGTTTTACTTGAGAAGTCCCATTGAACTTGGTTGGAATTTACTTCCAAGTAACAGTGAGAATTTTAATCTGAAATCTTAGGCGCAGTACTGCTCCCAGAGCTCAGAAGCTGCCCACGTTTATGAAATTCCGTCGCAAAACGTGCCTTGAACAATGGGAGTTTCAAATGCTGGCAAGTGTGTGTAGAAACTAGTAAAATTTACATTGAAACCAATGCCTACTGGCATGTGATGCCCAGAAGGTTGCTCAGATGGGAATGCAGCCCTCAGGCTGAAGAACGGTTCCATGTGCCTGGCATAAAGTGAGAGTTTTATCAGAATGCAATACTCTGTGTCCTGTGCTTGCTCTGCAAGAGGTCTGTAGAGCAACAACACGAGAATGGGCCTTTTCAGCAGTGCCTCCCCACTTGTGGAATGCTCTCCCCCAAGGAGGCTCACCTGGTGCCTTTGTTTACATATCTTGAGATGCCAGTCCTCCTCTCCCAGGCCTTTCTTTAATTAGCCAATCGATGCCCCTTTAAACAGTAAAGGGGTGTATTCTTTTTGTTTTTGGCTATGGTATGTATTTCTGTGTTTTTATATTGTAAACTGATCTATCATCGTTGGATGAAGGGCAGTATACAAAATGTATTAATAGTAACAATTACAATACCACATTGGGAAACAGCTTTATTTATGCTTCTTTATTAATTATTATCATTAAAATAATTTATATTCTGCTCCTCATTTTGAGATGAAATGCTACAGCAGTTTCTTTATAGAAATGACAAGAAAGCTTGTATAGAAATATTAAAATCCTATGAATTTTGGTATATACCTATAAATTACGTATATAAATTGTAGGTATATAAACCTACAACAGTTACTAGGCTACACAAACTTTTAGGGGCGAAGGCAGAGAATGAATAATTCCGCTGCTACTATAGCAGTAGCAGTATGGCTACCAGGCTACTGTTTAAACACAAGGCTATACAGTGGTACCTCGGGATGCGAACAGGATCCGTTCCGGAGCCCCGTTCGCATCCTGAAGCGAACGCAATCTGCCTCCACACTTTTCGCTGCTTCCGCGTGACGTCATTTTTACCGTCTGTGCATGCGCTCGCGGAGAAACCCGAAAATACTTTAACTTGAAGCACATTTATCCCAAGGTATGACTGTATAACAATTTTTTAAAAACTGTCATTTTAAAAACTCAAAATAATATGTAAAAGAAAAGCCCCTCCCCTTACTTTTATAGTAGGGAATCACTGGGTGGGGGAAGGGAGGAAGAATGTTTGCCATGAGGTTGAGAACTCTTCTTCCTGTGTTATGCGGCTTCCCCCCTCCCCCCCAGGAATAAACCATTTTCCTATTCCAACTCTCTAGAACTGAATCAATAACAAATTCTCTCTCACATGCACACCCCCCCCTCCAATATAATGAAATATTCAGTTTCAGGTCTGGATGCTGCTCAAGAATCAAGTCATATCCTGCTCAGTTGTTTTCCTAAACTAAGAAGCCCCACTTCAGTTTTTCCTCACAGATGATGCTCCAACCAACCTCTCTATAGGTTTTGGCTGGCCTTTTCTTGCACTTTTTCCTGCTCTACAATAGCTTTTCTAAGATATGGTAGTTTACAGTTCTGGTTGCCACAAACCATGCCTCAGAAATACTGAAAATGCATTTTCCAGCTAATAATCAACATAGTCGTCTTACTTTGAAGCTCAACTCACCATAACAGCATTGTCAAGTAACATGAATTAAAATGCCATCAACCAGTCTGAATTACATAAAGCAAATCCTTAAAACTAAAAATCCTCTTTATCCAGGCTGCTCCTCACAGTATAGTGTATCAGCGAGACATGAAGTTAAATGTGAAAAGTAAACAAAATTTAGACAAAGGAAGCCCATCCAGTATTTTGAAAACTCAGAAATGGTTCTATTAAAACCAAGCTTTGAAACAGCAGTGTCTATATTGAAGCAAGGCTGCACTGTCTACAGTTTGCAGTTACAGCTCACAAGTAAATCCAAAACCTGAAATGTCAGTATAGTCACCCTCCAGTTTATCTGATACATACAACTGGCAACGAAATCATAAGTATACTGGCATCAATCCAGAAAATTGCAAGTGTTCAGAACACTGCCTGTCTGGTAGTATAGTCACAGAGCTGAAGAGCAGAAACCCTTTGCAACCCCACTAAGTTCTGAGGCAAGAGTTGTCAAGACTATATGTCTTGAGTTAGTCCCGGTTCTGGCATCCTCTGTCTACTCCCCTTTCCCATTATAGTTAATTATTATTAAAATGTCTCACCTCAGCGAGCCTTACCCCTGCATGTCTTGCCCCTGCTTGCACACCAAACAGTTGTGACGGGCTTCTTAGCGGAGCCCCTTGTAATAATAAAAAAATATGGGTGGTGCCAATACAGTGATGCTGCCCACTGCTAAACAGACTCATTGCAGATTTCAAAGATTTTGCTCCTGTGCAGCAGGCACTCTACCATTAGAGGAGATACATGTGTGAAAAACTCTTTTCACATGGAGATAACCATCAGTGGATGTGAGACAAAGCTGGCTGTAGGAAAGTGACATTAAATTTCACAATCCTATAGTTACACTATATTTTCAACAGTTCTCAGTTTTGCTGTATCAGTAACATTAGCACAACATAGTGTCAGCTTATCTGTACTAAAACTAAACTACAATACTGACTTACTGTACAAATGACTTCATAGATACTTCAAACAGGATTCAGATTATTATTAGGTATTAAGTTTGTATATTGCCTTTCATCCAAAGATCACAGGGAGGTTCACAACATAAAAATACAAAATGAATTGGATGTCTGCAGGTTTCTTCACTATATGTTTAAAAAACTATTTTAAATAATGTTACAGTCTTGAAAACATACCCACAAAAGTTACTACACTGGTGAGGCCTGGCACAAGGAGGACAGATAATTCCTTCTTCCCTGCAGCAGTCTAATGCATTTCTATGCAAGGCACCTAGGAGGGACAGAGTCCCTCCCCGACTAGCCTTTTCACTGTCCTGCACACAATTCCTTCTCATCTACAGAAACCAAGCTTGTGCTTTCACACACTGTGAAAACCACCAAGTTACATAGACATCTTTATAACCACAGAAACAATAAGCAAGATTTTAGGGGGGGGGGACAGAACTAGATAATGCTTGAGTGTTTTGTGAGGGGGGAGTAGGAAAGGCACATGGATTTGATTTATAAATATACCTCAACAGCTGCAGGAGAAAGAAAAAAGTTCAGATTCAAGCCCTCATTTAATATCACAAAGCACTGACAAAGCACAAAAAAACAAACAAACCCATACTAACACTATGACAGAAAGCAGTCGTAGGACACTGGATTATCTTTGTCCATCAAGCAGTAAAGTCAGGCGGAATTTTTAAACAAAAAGCAGCCTTAGAATGAGAATCCCGGGTTCTGGGTTAACCTGTAGTTTATAAATCTGAAGTTATAGTACATATATATCCATAAGGGCAGAGGAGTGCTAAGAGACTGACAGCGACTGAAGCGATGGGGGTGGGAAGGATGAGACTGCAAAGGGAAACCTCGTACTTCTACCTACGCTTTTCTACCTCTCCCGCCGTAGTAAGTTATGGGAGCGAGAGGTACTGGCGGCGAGAGCGTTTATTCCTCCGGAGACGGGTGGGGGGTGGGATATGGAGGAAAAAGATAAAGGTACCCAACTTTAATTAAAGTACCCTGCGATTACCACCGCTTCCTTCCACACCCCCAATTACGGCAAGGATAACAAACGCCTAAATGAGCTTATTAAATGAGGTTATTAGTCGGCGGCGGCGGCGAAGGGGGGGGAGAGGCATTAGAGGGAGGGAGGCGGCTGTTCTCACGACACGGGATTCACACGACTAAAGGAGAGCCCCAATACAGCCTTTTCTCAGGCGCCCGCGGAGTCCGCCAAACCAAGCCCGCAAGACTCCCGTTTAGGAGGAAAAACTTCGCTCGCCCAGGTTCAGAAATGCCCCTGTCCCCGGCCTCCCCGCTCGGGCCTCCGCACCCCGCTGCCTCCAAGGAGGAGGAGGAGGGTTGCGCGCTCACCTTCCAGCAGCCTGGTGATAAGACTATCCACATTCAGCTCCCCGTCCGCCATTTTGTAGCTAATGGACTCAGTCCCGGGCGGGGACGGAGAGAGACGGCGCTTCGGCGAGGAGGCGGTGGCGGCAACGAAAGCAACAGCGTCTCGTCAAGGACCCTCCTCCCGCCGCCGGCGGCAACTCGCCCGAGCGCGGGACCTCAAAGCGCCCGGCCCAGCGAGCGTTGCGGGGAGGGAGGGGGGTCTTCCCTCAACGCTCACTCGCTTTCCGGCTCCGCTGAAGAGGGAGGGAGAGAAAGAGGCACGAAACCGAGTCCGCCAATCCTCCTCCTCCTCCCCACCCTCCTGCCTGCCTTAGGCCCTGCCGCGCATGCGTCGCGAGTCCCTTTCCACGATCCTTCCTCCCGCGCCTCTTGCCGCTGTTGCTTATACTCCAACAACAACTGCGCGGGAGTATCGGGTTCGGCTCTGAGAGAGGGCTGCGGAGCGGCGCCGGCCGAGGCAACAAGCGCGCAGGCGCGACGGGCTCGCGAAGCCTCTCGCTCGTACGCCCGGGCGCTCACGTGGGCGCGCACGCGCTTCACCCGGCTTGCCTGCCTTTCTTTCTCTTCGCTCTCTCTCTCTCTCCCTCCCCCCCTCCCTTTTCCATCCCGCTTGTGTCTCCTGGTAACCGGGCTGGGGCCTAGTGCTTAAATGCAAAGTGGAGCCTCTACGCCTGCTGCGCGCAGAACACCGTGCAGCTTTCCTCGAGCGCCGCGTATAATAGGAAAGAGAAGCCCCCACAGGGCCAGACTCATTTCTGCTCTTTTCTCATCTACTGTTTTAGTTCGCGCGGAAAGGCAGCCTTGCTACTCCCTAAAGGGGGAGGAGTGAAAACCCTCCCAAATTCACAGAACAATAAGCAAGGGCTACACCACGCATTTAAAGAACACGGCTTCCCCGAAAAGAATCCTGGGAACTGTAGTCCCCCCGTGATAGGAATTTTGAGGTCTTAGATATATGGTAATGTTCATAAGTGTACCAACCAAGCACGTAGATAGATCAGCACAGGAAGACCGACCTGAAACCATTTTGATTCCCAAACTGACCAAATGTTTTCCCTGCAAGGAAGGAGGGGGGTCAGGGAGCCTTCCCATTGTCTCAGGAATTGAGTAATCAACATTTTAATGGGTGACAGACTATCAGGAAAGGCAATCAGATAACCTGGCAAACAGGAAAAACAACATTCAAATTTCTGTTTTAGACCGCCTTTTCTGTGATGTAGTTATGATGTTTCTGGGGTGGTCTTGATCTACACAGGTGGCAATTTCAAAAGTCTTTATAAGGTCTTGCGTGCCATTGTTCTGGGTTCCTCCTCCTTTTCTGCAGGTGAGGGGAGCACCCTGTTGCAACAGATCAATAAAGATCAAGCTTACTAGCTTCTTTGCTTCTCAATATTCTCTGGTTGGCCTCTGTTATTTTCTCCTACCAGTAGGGAACCTAACGTAAGGACTCGATGGGCTCTTGGATACCCCATAAGGGAATAGGGCAATTTTTGTTTACAACACCCCCGCCCCGCACAGAACTGTGATTCCCATCACCTTTAACAGGCTACAAGATGGATAGGCAAACTAAGTCCCGGGGGGCTGGATCCAGCCCAATCGCCTTCTAAATCCGGCCCACAGACAGTCCAGGGAATCAGCGTGTTTTGACATGAGTAGAATGTGTCCTTTTATTTAAAATACATCTCTTGGTTATTTGTGGGGCATAGGAATTCGTTCATTTCCAAAAAAATATAGTCCGGCCCCCCCACAATGTCTGAGGGTCTGTAGCTGACCCCTAGGCTACAGAGACCAGTATCCTTTGGGGGGAATTGAACGTGCATTAACTGTGGTTTAAATGTATGGTGTTGCCCTGTCCCGAGTTTCCCAGTTCTCATTTCCAAAAGTTGCCTACTATTTTTGTGACAAGTTTTGTTGGTACCAATAAAAGTATTCCCCAGCCTGGATTTGGGCATTCTGCTTAGGGTTCACTGTATTTGTGCAGCCTGCTGTCGGAATGGAAGGTGATCGACAAGTGTGAAAAGGGGTGTGCGGTCAATGTGCGTATTGTTTTCTACCTTCTGCAGATAATTTCATATAATTATAATAACAGAGTACTTTGAACAGGGCCGTGGCTCAGCGGTAGAGCCTATGATTTGCATGCAGAAGGGCCCAAGTTCCGTCTCCGGCATTTCCAAGCAGGATGCCAGAGATCCTGGAGATGCTGCTGCTAGTCAGATGTAGACAATACTGAGCTATAAATCAGGTGTGGGGAACCTTTGGCCCTCCAGGTGTTGCTGAACGACAACTCCCATCATCCCTAGTTGCTGGCCATGCTTGTTGCTGAAAAGGAAAAAAGGGAAGAAAGGTGGCAGCCCTTTATGCAAGAGACACTTGCTTGGCTTGGAGGAATATACATATTTTAAAGTTCATTTTGAGTGTTCTTTTGGGTAAGTCTGGAATATCAGAAAGCCTATAGATTATGCTGCAGTCCTGGGTGAGGTTTTTTAACCCTTTCACCACCACCAAAAGTGTGGTGGTAACTAGGCCCCCTCAACAGTGCCCCCCCCCCCCAGATTGCATCTCTTTCAGTGCCTTGGCTGTGACAGCAGCCCGGCAGAGGCCTATCCTCTCCCAAGTCCGCCGGCAGGGGGGCTGGCAGTTATTTTTGTGCAACAGTCTCCCTATGAGATCACTGCTGCTTGGCCCTCCATCTCTCTGCTCTCCCTGTGTGCCCCAAGAGTGGCCTTTCAGCTGCTGTGGCTGAGAAACTCACGTGAGGCTCTTAATTTAGCACAGCCACTGCCAAGTTGCTTTTTCCTGGTTTCTTTCCCACCATGTCAATTTCCAGGGCATGACGCATGTTTACCCCAGATAGCAAGGGACATTGACTTAAGGAGGGTTTACTTCTGAGTAAAGTGCACACTGGGTGCAACCTTCAAATTAGTGCCTTCCTGCTCGTGCAACTGTACCCCCACAAAAAATAAAATTGAAGACATAATTCAACAGAACCATAGATTAAGCCACTGATACAAATAAGATACCAGAGCATAAAGCAGATACAAAAATATGAGAATAGACTGTGTCGTCTGCAAAACATATAACCAAGATGCAGGGTTACAAATACTTCCAAATGAAATGATATCTTGGAGAAATAAAATTCTGTTTCACAACTGTTTAATTCTTTTGTAATTGATGCATTTTGTTTTATTGTTTGTTGATATTTTGTTGGTACTATGTTGCAATGCTATGTGTGAAAAAAATGTTTGAATTTTGTTAATTAATTTTGGTTGAATTGTTACCGGATGACAATGGGATTTCTTCTGTATATTTTGACATTTCTGTGGGTTGTAAACCATCCTGGGTACTGTAATGTAGATAGAGGTGGCATAAAAATTTCCTTATTTCATGCAGGTAACAAGGAGGGGATGGGGAGAAAGGAGTGGCAGAAAGAGAGAGGAGGGAGTAGCAGAAACATAACAGAGAAAAGTGGGTATCCCTTGCCCACCTTTTTCTCTCGTCCCACTCTTCATCAGAGTGGTACCTAACAGTTTATCCCTGAGGAAATGCAGTCCTCCATACACGCACAAAAAGATTGCCCACATCTGTGTGTTGGCTTAACAACCTTCTCTTTTGTCACAAGTGGCAGCAGTGTCTTCCACAGAGGAAATACCTGGCAAATATGCAAACTAGACTGTAACCTGGGTGGGTATAAACTCCCAATTTCAGATAAGTTCCAGTTATAACCAGGGAAGGCAATGAGACACATGGCCATTATTTTTTATGAATACAATCGCTCCAGTCCACTTATTGCCACTGCAAGCCAAACATTTTGATTTATTATTCCTTGCAGAACCAAAGCCAGGGCACATGGAACAGGCGAATAGAAACTGCAGTGCAGACAGAGGCTTCCTATGTTTGTATTGTCGTAATGACCACATGTCATGGGCTGGAAGAGTACAGTGGCCCCATTCTTAATCTGTCTTCTGACTGCTCCTGCAGTAGTGCAGTGAGGCAGGGACTATGGGGACAAAGCACCACCATCGTTTATCTCTCAGCAGGGGCAATGACCATCTCCAGAGGTGCTATTTGCCAATCATCTGCCTACCAAATAAATAAGCTTTTCTCCAAGAAAACTACCAAATAAACTAAGCTGAGGAAGAGGCAGGTTGAAGAAGAAAATGAAATGGGGCAGTGATCACAAGGTATACTTGAGGAAAGGTGTGCCTGAGATGGTTGATTTATTTTGTCCCTTGAATTGCAGGCTTTCACTCATACAAAAGTATTGCTCTCCGTGCTAAGCAGCTAAAATCTAAGCAGCTAACTCCCCCCACCCTGCTCAGCTCAGCTCTACCAGCCCCAGTAGCTGGTAATATATTTGGTCTGTTGCTGTGTGCTGTCTGTTTCTCTTGCTGCGAGTGCTGCTGACGCAATTGGCCATCTGACCATAATTTAGCATCCCCCCCCAGCTGTCTCTGCTTTTCCTTATTTCTTTTCCTTCTGCATCTTTGTTCTTTCCCCCCAATATCATCCTTTCCCTTTCTCTTAAGCCTGGCTTGTCATGGATGAAAGCAAAGGTTCCTGGTTACTGCTTAGGCCGGGACATTGCAAGTCCTCCTGCTGCTTCCTATACATTGCCATTTTTGATATAACATTGCTGGCATACCGCTAATAGGATGACCAAGAAGACAGGGTTTCTGGACTTGAAATAATTGGGTAGCAGGGACGGATTTCAGAAGGCACAGCTTTCCTCACCTCTGCGTGATAAGCTGCACCTAATTAAGTTCCATCTTCTACACAACTGTTAAGTTACAAAGCAAAGGAGGACGTGGCTCTCTACTTCTTTATCCATTACAAGGGTTGGCCTAGAAATGACCCCATGAATCACTTGTTGAAGCTATTCTACACTGATTATCAACACCTGAGGACTAGGGCTGACTTATATGCATCTTTATTCCTCCAGTGCCTCTTGCATCTGTTGTTAGAGGCCAGAAGCTACAAGACACAGCAATTGTAGTCAGGGTTTTTTCAGCTAACTCACTGCAACTCCGTTACAGCACCTCTCAGGTGGGCACCATTGGCATTCTACGAGAACGAGGGAGGTGTTCATGGTGGGTTCTGGCACCTCTAGAAAAATAGTACTGGCAGTAGTAGCCCAGGGCCATCTACCACAACCTGTTAGATAGTAACAAAATAAAAAAATAAATCCTTCCAGTAGCACCTTAGAGACCAACTAAGTTTGTTATTGGTATGAGCTTTCGTGTGCATACACACTTCTTCAGATACACTGAAACAGAAGTCACCAGACCCTTATATATAGTGAGAGGGTGGGGAGGGGTATTACTCAGAAGGGTGGTGGGAATGGGTGACTGGCTGTTAGATGGTAAAAACAATTATAAATAGTAAATTATCAGTTTTAATCTTTTTTTAATTCCCTCTTGTCTTTGTTCCCCATTTCTTTCATTTTCTAATTACCAGCTCACCCACTCAGGACAAGAAGGGTCCTGTGTA